ATTCCACAATTGTGGTATCATCCAAGCCATGCCAGAGGACTTGAACTAGATAAACTAGTGAGAATGCACAATAGCGATAGCAAAGCTCTGTAATGCCAAAGAGCTATATCAATATATATATATATATATATATATATATATACACCGGTGTTCTCGAAACCTTTGACAGCTTTAGAGAAAGAAAACTTCGTCGTCAATCCTGTTTCAAATTCCGCAATAAGTTTATACGCCTCATCAACAGAATTGACGTATCCTAAATTATCTGCATGTGTACCATTAAGCAATGGTTCGCGACTTAAAATTCTCGCTATGCTGTTTCTGTTTGTTCCTCAAGAATCATGGGATTTACAGCTTCGAATGTTCGGCTACAACACTTGCGGATTTCCGAGAATCTTCGGTTATGTTTTGCAAGTCATTAAATATTCCATCTCAGTCCCTCTCGACCGAGGTGGTTTTGGTGGATGGAATCTAATGCTGACTACAGTAATCAGACCCCTGTGTAAATTGGACTGTGATAAATGAAACAAAACTGTTAAAGGTTTAGGTTTTTCCTTTTTCGCAATTCTCAAAGCTTTCTTGATCTTGAAACTGATGAAATTTTGATCATAACCGTTCAAGTTATCGATTTGCAACATGAGTGCATTACTAGACATTGACAAGATCGACGACATCGTGGAGATGGTAAACATAATGGCGACACTTAAAGTTCCGTTCAAAGGGCTGAGAACGTTGGACCAAATGAAAGCAAAAGTGAAAGAGACACTCCAGTCGTTAGAGAAGAAGTCAAGTTGGACGGCAAAGGAGGTGAGAACCCTACTATATCTTTTTAAAATATGGACACCCAGCAAACTCAATTTATAAACGACATTTTCAGTACAATGGCGGAATTATCTAGATGTGACCCTTAATAAATGGTAGAGGCAGACCATATCGTGAAGTTCAGTGACAAATTGTTTGAACAATCTCTTCATCGACTAACTAAGTCATCGTTTGCGATTTTATCCCATGGCGATCCATTCAATGATGGCATCTCAGAAATGAATGGTACTTGAAGAAACCTTATTTCGTGGACGGAAATCGTTGCACTCGTCATTCACCCGCCAAATGTTTCTCTAAGTTCAAACTTAACAGTACGTCAGAGCAATCTAAAAGGCGGCTAATTACTTATTGATACTTCCATAAACGATTCTTACAACTGGGTGTCAGCAAAATGATTAAAAATAAGAAATTGGAAATTTTTGCTTTACAGAGTTTATCATGCATACTAATGTTCGTAATTTAGTAGGCTTCGTTGAACAACGATCGAGTCTCGAGGGTTCAAGTTGATAAGACGGCTCTTAGAACATCGAGGATTGAAAATTTTGGTGAAATCTGCTTCAATTTTGCTTTTTCCTATCACTTTGTGGTTGTAGTTCGAAAACATTTTAACCATTTGGGAAAATGTTGACGATTGTATCAGGTTTACATTTCTTCATTTTCTTAGAAATGCTTGCATAATTTCTGTAAAATAAATGATCACGGACTTAAAGCCTGGAGTGACCTGATGCTTTTTTACGGTAAAAGAAAGCCACAGATTCGTTATACTATTCGTAATCGTCAGCGATGAGTTGTAGTCCTTTCCTACTATGGCTAAACATTAAAAATTGTTTTTGTTCACACAATACATGCATATTTACCTAAGTAATCATGGGTAACGTACCGCAAACAATAGCTATCGATTGTTGCATTGCGGCCGTTTTTGAGCTTAAACCAGCCTAATGAATCTATTACCTAAATTAAGCTGCGCTCAGAACAGCGATGTGTGTCTAGAAGTGATGTTATTAGTAACAGGGATTTCCAACATGACCGTAAAATGGTTAAATTAACCAATTAGGCCAAAAAGTAATAATTAATTTACACAGGCGAATATTGATGCACAGCATTTGTTTCATTTTGTGCCATTTATCAGGCCTTTTCAGTGTTGACGGAGGCAAAGAAAGAAGACGAGAGAAAACGAGCAACCTTGCTCAATTTCTACGAACGCACGGATGTTTGCTTGCAAAGTATAGATGGGAAAGTTCATAACCTTTTAGAACAGAACATCGGGAACCTCAAGGAAAAAATAGCTTCCCACAAACAAAATCTTCTGAAAAAAGAGTACATTGTTCTTGTTGCAGGTTTGTTATAAATAAATAGTTTGACCGCCACTGCTTTGAAATTTTAGTTTCGCCAGCTTCCTCACCCAATAGACTTAAATTCAAGACTGGAAAAGAAAAGAAGGCTTCATTCAGCTATTCTACTAATCCAACCTCAGCTAATTAGAAAGCTAATGATCGAGCCATGAATTAAATTAAAACTATATTTCTTTGAGGGAATTACTTTCAGTATATTTCATCCTTCCTTAATTGTGCTTTCGTGTAATATACTCCCTTAAGTAAAATTAACTGTTTACACCCTAAGATCAGTTTGCATATTCCCCATACTGTTCTCTAAACATTTCCTAAGGTACTGACAAGGAGACTTTGTTTAACAATCACGAGCTCCTTTACTTGATGATCATTTCCTCAATTTCCATGACCTGAATATGTGAATCAGAGGTGATCTTGTAAGGAGAAATTAAATGTTTGTTACTCTTAGGGATTAAAGGGTTGACAGAGGGAACTTTATCGCTAATATCTTCTAATCAAACTTGACAGTCACTGAATCTCACAACATTTAACTTTTATTGATGGACTAAAGATCATTCATTTATTTATTCCCAATTTTTCAATTATCCAATTTGCTACTTGGTTCTTGTATATTATAAGGGGTTCCACTGACCTGTCCTTTCACCTCACAACTTTTCCCAAACATCCTACTCTTAGTACACAGGCCCCCCATTCAAACCAGGTTGCAGCTGAACTTGGCCAGCCTGGTTGATAATTAAGTACAACACACTTCACAGTGGGAATCTGCTGGTCCAGACCAACTAAAAAACTATTTATTGATAGGTTCTTTAACGGAAGTCTGTCTTTTGAACGTGGCACATAATATGGCCAACCTCGAGCTGCTATCTGGGTGAAAGCTATATAATCGTGGACAGCAAGAGGAATAGTTTTTTTTTATGAAAACGAATTAGAAGAAGAAGGGAAATGGTATTTTGTTGAGGATTTCTGGAGGAAACGACAGGGGAGGCAGATTCTCTTGTTCGACGTAACTGAAGTAGAATCGACCCATTCTTACCAATGTTTTTTTCCAACTTCCCTCCCCATTTTCACCTGTTTATACTTACCAGGCGAAACAAGTTCAGGAAAGAGCACTTTGTTAAATCTTATCCTTGGAGAACAGCTTCTTCCTTACTCCGTTCTGAGTACCACATCCACCATCTGTGAACTAAGATATGGAGATACACCAAAGCTGGTGGCGCACTTTAAAAAAACAAAGAATTAGGGGATACCACAAAGACTGTCGTCTTAGAAGAGCCATCTGAAGCCTCCGAGCAGAGTTACCTTCAACAGATTTCCGAATTCGTCCACTTAAAGACTAACAGAGAAAGGGGCTCAGATTACGAAAAGATTGAGTTGTTTTGGCCACACAATCTGTTGAAGGTTAGACATGAGCAAGCTCAGTAATTATTCGGGGTCTAAGAGTTGACCTTAAGAAACATATTGTCGATGTCAGCAAGCTTAAGAATGTTCGTGCATGAATGTATTTTACGATTTATAACTGTCTTTTATATTCCTTTATAACTGAAATTGATATTAGGGATGTTAGAGAAATTTAAAGTCTCCAAATTCCTAACTTTTCCCAAATCATTTGCCATTCTGCAAAGTAACTCCTTGCACACGTTGTTATTGGAATTTTACTTGGTTTTTGTCGCTATTTTGTCATAAGAACTGATTGTTGACATCTCAGTTGGTTGTTGACATCTCAAATGAATAGTTACACACATCTCTTTTGATGTATCACTAATAATTGAGTGACAGCAGTATCGCCTGAAAGTCACGTCCGACTAAATTCTGATGATAAATTCGGCTAAGGATGTCGAAATGTCACTTAAAAGGAACAGTTATAGAGGACATTAGATTGAGAGTTGAGAATGATCCGGATTTAATCTCGCTCTGTGATTGGTCCAGAAAACTCATGCCCATTCATCAACCAATCACATTCAAAATTAAAACCAATCGCAACTGACTTGTGTTTTCCCCTGAAAAGAGTTGTTCGCTTGTTTTTTCTTTGGGTCCTCTGATTGATTGTTGTGATTACTTTGAGTTTGGTCTTATGACAACCAATCGAAACGCAATCTAGAGAGAGATCCCTAAGGTCAAAGGTCAAATCGCATATGTGATCTGCGCATTAAGAAATGAAAATGAAAGGGATCTTCGCACTTAACCAGTAGTGAAAACATGGTATCAAAAAAATTTAGGCCTGTACAGAGCGTGAAATTAATTTTTTTTCTGATAGCCACTTCGCTCCTAAATTTTTTCAAAGTGGTAGCCAATTCAAAAAAAGTTGGTCGCCATTTTTAAAGACACACAAAACCTTTTTTTAACGATGTCAGCGTTCTAGATAGACCCTCCAAAATTAAGTCAAGTGAAAGATCTCCAACGTGCTACAAATTGGACACTAGTATGGATGAATTACAACGCTCAAGCTCACCCAAATCCAAGATGGTGTCTAGTCATCGATTTAGATGCATGTGCTGCGTTTTGGAAACAAACTTAAAGAGGAAGTTTGCAACGGCTTTATCTTTGCAAATCTTTTTAATTCACTTTATCTCTAATTAAGGTTATGACGAAGCATTCTAGTCGCCATTTTGGCGACTAATTTTCAGGATTTGTTCGCCAAAGTGAAAAATGTAGTCCCAGTGGCGCCTGTATTAGGCGCAATTTCACGCCCTGCTGTATGGGATTTGAGGATCGAAGATCGAAGCAAAGATCATTTTCGTATTCAATATTTTGCTAGTGACATCTCATATTTTACGTGTCTTTTAGGAAAATATCGTAATAGTCGAAAGTCCAGGAATTGGCGAATCTACCATCATGGATGACATTGTAAAGGAGTACCTTCCGGAAGCTTTCGCATTTATTTACGTCATCAACAGTGAAAACGCCGGTGGAACACAGCGAGATAGGGTAAGGCACTTTAAAATGCGAAATGCCTTCTCATTGCAAAAATAATTAAAGGAAAAATGTGCTGCAAGACTCTTACAATTTTTTGAATCCTCTATTTTAAAGATGTGTAAGACTAACTTAACTGTTCAAAACTTTTCGTCAAATGAGCTAGAAGAAGGAACATAACGAACATGAGTTGCTCCTGCAGAGCGGTTACGCGAGGCATTAATAACCGTTTTAAAAAGGAAATGTCTGAACTAGCCAAAAAAGTCGACAAATAGCTAATTCTGTGTCTTTGCCTTCAGGTAGAAAAGCTTATCGAACACGCAAATTGTGCCCTATTCGTTTGCAACAAGTGGGACCAGGTGCCGTCAAAAGAATCTGACGAAGTTAAGAACTATGTAGTGACGAAGCTCACGCAGTGCTGGCCTTCTTTAGATCCAGAATCTCAGATCATTTATATGTCAGCAAAAGAAGCCAGTGAAGTTCAGACGTTTGGAGTGGTCACGGAGGAGTTTGCTGAACTAATGAATGGTATCAAGTCCATGGTGTTGAAAAGTATTGAAGCAAGACTAGAGATTCAGTGGAGGTAAATTGCTTTGAATCCCTAGCGACAAAATAGTTATGAAGAAGTTGCATCTGTTGGAAAAGTCTCTTTGGTTCTGATAGTAGAATGAAAAATATCCTTATTTTGATTGGCTGCGCGAAATGTATATTTTTCAGGCAACGAAAGGCATAAGCCGAAGGTAATACAGTGCATAAATTTTCAACTCATGCAGTGCGAAAAGCGCCAAGAGACTGTTCAGCCTGGCTTTGTATGAACGACGAAGTATTAAAGACAATTGTATGGTGACGAAGTATTAAAGACAATTGAAAATAATGTTCTTATTTTTAGGTGGCTTGACTATCTTCTTGCTCGTATGGCCCTCCAAACGAAAGCGTTCATACGTAATTCGTCCGAAGATCGTAAAAATGTGACAGATAGAATGATCTATATCACTGACCGCCTCCAAAGTATTGAAAGGCAGCAAGGTACAGTAAGCAAAGAGCTGCAATCATACCTCGAAAACAAGGCAGACCACGCTGTGAGTGCACTTTCCAGATACCTTAAGTCTCCAGAAGTTATGCAGCAGTTTTCTTCGTGGACATTAGATGACGTTCCAAACACTGAAGAAAGCTGGGAACTGACTAAGAATTACATCCAACAGCTGCAGATGGAGCGACTTGTAGAAGTGATAAAGGAATGGGAAGAAATGAACCATGTCTTTTCCGATGCTCGCGCCTCTTTGATTCAATACTTTCAGGAGAGGTTAAGCTACGTCAAAGGTCAGCTTCGAACGCTGGAGGGTCATGTCGTAGCCGAAGATGCTGCCAGCTCCGGAAGTGACCCGCTGGCATCGGACGACTTTAGCTTCGCCGAAAAAGTCATCATCGGGGTCACAAGTCCAATTTGGGTTCCAGGTAGTCTGGTTGTCCCAGTGGGCAATGTTCCGGTAGTTGGCGCCAGATCAGTTAAAGAGAAGTTGGAAAACTGGAATAAAATAAGACAGTACAAAAAAGATAAGTGTACCTTTATGGCGGAAGCTTCCCAAGAATATCTGAATAAAATAGCTGAAGAACAGCATCTAAAGTCGTTCGTGATGGAACAGCTCAAAGAAGCTCAGGTTTGTCTTAGGCAGGTCCTAGATCGGATCCCTCAGCTCATAGAAGAGAGCAAAATGTTGTGTCAAAAATTAAGAGATAAAAACCGTTCTAAGAAAGAACTAAAAGATTTCTACAAACTGTTACACGAGAAGAGTTTACAAATAAGGGGTGAGATGGCCCTGTTTGGCATCAAAGAGGTTCGCGCCGTAGACATTAGCTGCGACGATCTGGAGTGGCAAGATCATGCACCTCTTGGAGGAGGAGCGTTCGCTACTGTTTATCGAGGAAAATTGAAGATACGAGGAGAGGATAAACCCGTAGATGTTGCTGTGAAAGAGTGGAAAGAGGAGCTCACCAGAAGTACTGCTAGTAGCTTCCTTTCTGAAGCAGAGATACTCAGGTTGGTTTTGTTTTTTTATGGATCCTGGAATGTTGTGTTGTTTATCAAAAAAGGCCCATCAACTAAAACCTCGGGGAAGCACTAATGACTCACAAGCTCATAAGCTCATTAGCTCATAAGATATTTTCTTAAATCTTTTCTGTTCATCGAGCAAATCGTAATAAGAGGATTCATTTTAATTATATGATTTTTTTTCCGACGCTTTCAGAAAACCTAGAATCTAGGTATATTTTAAGGCACATCGGGATATTGATTAGTTTAGATTTAAAAATATTCAAACCTTTAAAGGTAAGGAGTTCCATAAAAAGGGGGAGTAAAAGTTCTAAAATATCAGGTTCCATTTTTAATTTTCCCAACAATTTATTATCCTTAGAACGTTTAGAGATTTAAAGGTTGGAAAAACTAGCATCTAATAGAACTCTTAGGTTGGAGTAGCATCTAATTTCCCCTTAGATCATCGCCGCTGAATCAAGCATGAAAGTCATGGGAATAAGGGAAATGATTGTCAACAGAAGAAGCTCTTTATTGATGATCAAAATTTTCCTGTCAGTACCAGAAAATGAATAAAGGGGGGGTAAGTTTTTTAGAAAAACTGTGCTGCGTTGGTGAGAGTGTATAACGGGGTAGTTAAATGTTATTAACTGAGTTGATACCGTAAATTGACCACCGTAAAAAGTTTGAAAACTGACGTTTCAAGAGTGTTAGCCCTTCGTTAGAGCGATTAACGAGGGGCTAATACGCTCGAAACGTCAGCTTTCAAACTCTTTACGGTGGCCAATTTACGTTAGCAACTCAGTATCAGAGAATGTTTGGATAACAGTGTGGAGAATATGTATACTGTTTTATGAGTGTAGGTTGTTCACGCTACGTTTTCTTTATTTAGGAAACTGCATTATCCCTTTATTGTAAAGTTCTATGGTACAGCACTGCGCAAGGAAGGGGAGCGGCTGAAAGCAATACTGGTGATGGAGCTCTGCAAAGAAAACTTGATGAGGCACATTTTCCGGCATGAAAACAATATACCTGGTAAGTCATCAACTGCTTCAGCTGCGAGAGATGTGATCGGATGGGCAAAAGACATCGCCAATGCTTTGGAATACATTCACAGACAAGGTATCGTTCACAGAGATCTCAAGCTGGAAAATATATTGGTGAGTTAAAAGTTGGCACAACTGGTTATCGTGATCATTTGCAATTGTGATCATCTTCGTCCTTTAGACTCATCTCGCATTCTAATTCGCTCACCTTCAACCAGTTTTCCTGCTTTCTACATGCATGGAATACCTGTGGCAGACCACGCTATAAATTCGCTTGAGTGTCATTGTAGTCAGTTATGGAAATTAGCCGCGTGTTTAAGCTTCTCACTGAAATTGGCTGGGGTCACACATAATATCCTGTGTTGTCTGTAGTTTTCTATCTAATTCCTGTAATTTGAAGGGTCAACATTAAATTTATTATTTTCCACGTAAAACCAGTGTGACTGTAGATGACGACTTACGCATCCCAAGTTAACACCTTTAGACGTCGTTTTCATGCCTTGCCTTCCTTTAAGAGGTGTCATCTGCGGTTACAACTCATAACGTTTTATGTATTAAAACTGCTTGGAATGCGTTTCGAAGACATTTTAAAAATAGCGACAGATCTACATTTTTAATGACAGAGCCTAATTATTGTGGATATATGAAAATCATATATGTGCATTGCGATGAAGAAACTATAAGAGATCCTCGTAGCTATAAACACTACGGAACTAGTAGTTGAAATAAGACTTGAAAAAATTTCAGTTCTGTATGGGATTTGAACCCATAACCACTGCGATACCGTTGCAGCGCTATACCAACTGAGCTAACAAGCCAACTGGGAGCTGGTAATTATGTTGGATCCAAATAAACTGTCCAAGTGATGAATAACGATTGTAGATATATGCAAATCATATATGTGCACTGAGGTGAAGAAACTATGAAAGATCCTCGCAGAGCCTAATTCACCTCTATTTGGCCTTTCCTGACGACTACCCTTTTTCCTACACTTTTGTGTAAAAAATATATCAATTTCCATGAAGTTTATCTAATTCTCTCACAGCTGTCGCAAGAGAATATTGCCAAAGTAGCCGACGTCGGTGTTTCCAAAGAAGCTAAAGCGATCACGGGTACAATGACGGGAACTCCTGTGTATCTCGCTCCGGAAGTGGTCAAGTCCCGTTTGTACGATTACAAAGCAGACATCTACAGCTTCGGTATAATGCTCTGGGAGATGTGGTATGGTAACAGAGCCCTTCTTGTTGCGGATGCCGATGTGTATGAGGTTTTTGAAAAAGTGGTTGAGGGCGTAAGACCTACGCATGTGGAAGGCTCAAACGAGCCTCCACCTGGTTGGCAGGATTTGATGCAGCGTTGCTGGGACGAAAAACCTGATAATCGACCAGATGCGAGAGAGTGTTACGAGAAGTTGACTAAGCTCTACCAGGAAGTTGGCGCACCATCTTCATAAACAATGGCTATTAGGCAACCACCCTTAACATATTTGCTTTTAAAGTTTGGACTGTTTTCGGAGCAACAGTGGTTTAAAGTGTTTTAAGATATCCCGTATGACTATTATAGCAAATAGACTAGCCTCACCCGCGCCAATTTTCCCGTTTCAAACTTAGCTCATACATCATAGAAACATACTCTGGTCTTAGTCAGTGCTGATGCTAAGGACTTCTATCGAGATCAGTGTCATTTTGGATGATTTCAAAAGGCCTAAGCGCACAGGTGTAGGTGGCTCCTCTGTTGCTTTGTCTGTCAGAGGATCTTTTTTTACGGTATGCTTCGTTAGGCATAAAAATTAAAGCAAGAAGTGTATGAAATACATTGATACTTAGGTACTGAGTTGAAGAAATGTAGGAGTGGTGTATGGTAGTTCTCTAAATCTCTGCAGCATGATTGTTATAATATTTATACTATCTTTATGTCCTTGTGTTCTCTAGACCTTGCAAGGGAAAAGAGACTCGCGAAAGTCTTAATTAAAAAGAGAGAGAGAGAGAGAGAGAGAGAGAGAGAGAGAGAGAGAGAGAGAGAGAGAGAGAGATAAGCGACCTTACTCTCACGGTTAATAATATTATGAAGGTAAATATTGTTCTGTCATCTTGTAAGAAAGCTTTTCACTTGTGATTGTTTACTCCTTAAAGATTTCGTTTGAGAGTTCCGTTTTTTAAGTACTTATATAAAATATAAAGCAGGAAGGTCAGAAATCACCTATCTACTTCTCACATAATCACAGGGATAGAGTTGTAAGCACAAAAAGGGTCAAATGATGTAAGCAGGAGTTCCCTTGGAAGGAATTTCAATACTGAGCAGCGTATGTTTTTATGACTGTGATGTGCGATCAAACTTGGAAAGAGAGTCTTATCATTTCCCCCAAAAAATTGGTAAACGAAGCATTTACGAAGATGATTAGACTTAATTGTTTCACAATCACAATCTCTGAAGGTCAAATAAAGACTCAATCCAGGTTTTCCTTCTATCGATCTTCCACGCTTTCTACTTATGCTTACAAAGGAATAGGACACGAGATACTTCACAGACACTACATGTCTTTCACAGTTTCATGCCAATGTCTACCAGACTTCACTGTTTATGCAATACATTCTCCGTTTTAACTATGCCTTCGTGTCCGTCATGGCCGATCTTTTGAACTTAATCGCTTTTAATCTCTGGAATGAATTTCCTTGGCTTACCTCGAAGCGATACTCGTCCTGCAGTAAGTCGTATGAAGCTCACTTTTTGCATATAAATAGGAAACAGGGACCGCGTACCGGCTCATGTTGACAGACGTCACGCAGCTTTCCATACTCGTCTCCTCATTTGTCATATGAGGTTTACTCGACCCCCATGGCCGAGGGAACAATTTTCAGAGTTTTTCCACTGAGAAGTCTAATCCTTTACCTGTGGTCATAACTTGACAGAGTATCTAAGAAAATTCCTTTTCCCGAACGATAAACGCCTTGATTACGTATGGTTGCAACGCCGACGCTATAAACTCGAAAGACAGAAAAAACATATTTTTGTTGTGGTTTGGTTGTTGTTGTTTTCGTGTTTCAGTTGATTTAACTCATCTTGATCACAAAACGTGTTCTCTTTCAGAAAAGTATGTGATTTCTTAACCTTATAAAAACTAACGATGAATATTTATCATTGTATATTTTATCCCTTTCTATATGCGGGAGATATGTCAAAGTGTCTGTCAGTTTTTCAAGACTATTCGCTCCATTAAACTATATATTTTTCACTATTTTTTCCTAATAACGCTTCTTTTGTTTCAGTTTCTTTTTAATGGCTAGATTCTTGTCATTCGTGGTCGTAAACACGATTTATGTTTTGATAAGAAGCTGTCTTGCATGTTTATGAGAAATTAGCAATTTAAACCTAATCTGCAGGACTCATCATAGAGAATGGATCTGGAAAGTTAAACACCACTAATTTCACATTTTTCTTTAAACTAGTGTTTGTTCTTGATAGGTGAAAGATATTCAAAAAAGAGCATGTTGTTGAGTCTGATTCTTGGGGAACAACTTCTTCCTGAATCCTTTTTTGGCACCTCTTCCGTTGCCTGCGAATTAAGATATAGAAAACCTACAAGCTGGTAACGCACCATAAAGACGCAGATCCTCAAACAGGCCTTCCTTCAAAGAGTATCCAGCCTGGCGAGATGGCTGTGAACTCTCAACAAATCCTCCTTCAAAAAATCGCCTGGTTTTTCCAAAATGAAGATCTGCAAGGTTCAGCTTTAGATAAGATTGAGATCTTTTGGCCAAAAACCTGCTTAAGGTTGGTGATTAGCAAGCTGAGGGTATAAATTGTAAATTGTGACTTGAGGGTTGCTAAAAGCTACCATCTAGCATTATTCTTAGCAAATTTAGGTCTTGCAATATATTGTTGATTGACGGATTATCTTTGACACCTAACATACATCGTTTTCGTTCGCAATCTAATCCTTCAGGAGCATAGTTGCAGCTTGATTTCTTGGTCAGATAAAGAGTCAGGGAAGTTTGAACAACAACATTAACAAAAATACTTACTTCAAAAAAGGTAATTTGACCTGTTTTAAGATTCACTTATCTCTTATCGTTTTCTCCTCTAGGAAAGAATCTTTGTGGTTGACAGACCAGGATTTGGTAAATCACCCATCGTGGACGAGAAAGTAAAAGTGTACCTTTCAGAAGTATTGACAGTTTAGCACAGCAACAAAGGGTGAGCTGCATGGACAGGTGAAGTTAACGCACCCGCAGCGTTTGCCATGGCAAGGCATTTATTTATTTAACATGCATTTATTTAACTTTGCGGTATAATTGACTGTGAATTTATAGAAATCACATACTTGAACTGCGCATAAAGATGTGAATATGAAAGCAATCTTCGCAGAAATGAATACTACTTGATCAAGTCCTGTTTGTACGACTACAAAGCAGACATCTACAACTCAACTCAACTCTATCAGGAAGTTGGCGCACCATCTTCGTAAACACTGGTTATTGGGCAACCACCTTGAATTTGTTTACTTTTCAAGTGTAGACTGTTTTGGAACAACAGTGATTTAAAGTGTTTTAGGATATCCCATTTGACTCTTATAGCAAATATATTAGCTTCACCCGCGCAAAATTAGTTCATACGTCATAGAAACCTATTCTGGTCTCAGCCAGTGCTAAGGACTTCTATCGAGATCAGTGTCATTAAAGATGATTCCGTAAGGCCTAAGCGCACAGATGTAGGTGGCACCTCTGTTGCTTTGTCTGTGAGACGATCTTTTTTTTTACGGTACAGGGTTGTCAGTCCATTGTCCTGCTCTTAGCCTAAAAGTAGCTTCGTTAGGCATGAAAATTAACGTAAGAAGTGTATAAAATACATGGATTCTTACGCAGTGAGTTGACGGAATGTAGGAGTGGTGCATGGCAGTTCTCTAAATCTCTTCAGGATGATTGTTATAATATGCATACAAACTTTATGTTCTGGTGTTCTATAGACCTTGCAAGCGAAAAAGAGACTAGCGAAAGTCTTAATGAAGCGACCGTTCTCTTATGTTAAAAAGGCATTATCCAGTCATATTGTCATAGTATCGTTAACTGATACAAACATACAATAGTTTCAATGATGTAGTAGATTTCTTTTAATAAGAGCTGGCTATCATGAGTATTAATCTCCTTAGGACCTATTTTTGGGGGCTTTTGACAAATAGTTGGCTTGTTGCTATTTTGAACGAGGAACAACAACAATATTCTGAAGGCGAATATTGTTTTGTCAGCTTGTATGAAAGCTTTTACCGTATTTTAGAGTTAGTTTTACCATCTGGTGTAAGACACTTGTGATCGTTTACTCCTAGAAAATTTCATATAAAGCATTATGTTTTTTAAATATATACATAAAATATGATGCAGGAAGGTCAGAAATCATCTATCTACTTCTAAATGATCACAGAGATAGAGTTGTAAGCACAAAAAGGGTCAAATGACGTGCACAGAAGCTCCCTTGGAAGTAATTTCAATACTGAGGAGCATACATTTTCATGACGGAATTATGTGATCAAACTTTAAAAGAGAAAACAGTCCCATCATTTTCCCTTAAAAATTGTTAAACGAAGCATTTACGAAGATAATTAGACTTACACTTTTCTTAAAATCGCAGACTGTAAAGGTCAAATAAAGACTTGATCCAGTTATTTCCTCCATCGATCTTTCAACACCTTCTACTTATGCTTTGAACTCTATGGATGAAAAAGTAGGAGCCCTTTTGGAACAGGACGTCGGAGATCTAAAGGGCAAAATCGTTTCTTACAAACGGAATCTTAAAATGAAAGAATGCATCGTGTTCATTAACCACCGTAGTTCCCCCGTTGAGGGGAGAAGCGCATATTACAAGGAGGGCACTTAATCGAGGAAGGAAGAGGGGCTTATTAAGTCAGGGCAGAAAAAGGACAAAAATCAAAAGAGCAAATGACACACATAAAGGAACTCTGCACGCAAATGGAGATAGAAATGGTTGGAACGGCTAAAAAACTATTCTCTTGCACTGATTCGCTGCAGTTAAAGCCTGAAAAGTTATAATTAAAGTGGCAATAAATACGGGCTTTCCTTGTATCCCTGCTGTTAACCCTTCACTCGCATGAGTGACCAAGACAAAATTTCTCCCTACAATATCAATACAATATCAAGCAGACAAGTGATGAGAATAACGAAAAAATATCAGTAAGGGGAATAAAAGTGGATGTAATACCAAATTAAACTTAAATTACAAGAACTGCATGGGAGACAGCAAGGAGAATTACTAATGAGATCTTGGGAGTTAAAGAGTTAAAGAAATTGAGGAAGGACGGGGGACGCTTATTCGAGATGGGCGCTTTTTTGACATTATGGTCTAAGGGGTGGACATTTAGTCAGGGAAGGGGGCTTTTCATCACGAGGGCGCTTATTCGAGGAAGATCACCGATGTACCCTTTCGTCATTCCTTCCATCGATTCCCTCCTCCTTTCAGCCATTTTTTTTTTTTTTCTTTCTATATTTGTAGTCCACAAAAAGTGACGAGGAAGCTTTAGATACATAGACACATCGTCGACGTCGTTGTTTCTTTAATTCCCTAAGTATTGCCCTTTTACAAGACAAAATCCTAAAGGTTAAAATCGATTGACTAAATTTCGTGGTTGTTATAATTGACATCCTAGGAACTTTTGAATCCCCCACCATAAATGAAAAGGCAAAGGCGTACCTTTAAGAAGCCTCCGCATTCATCTGCTTCGTCAGTGGTGTATATGACGGAGGAATGCATAGATACAAGGTAATTTTATACGGTACAACAAAAGATTTTAAAAAATATATACAAACAAACCAAAAAAGTAAAAACTCACATGTTGTGGAACTTTCCCAAAAGATTCAACTTTACAGGAAGGGGGGAGTTATTATTTTTTTTTTTTGTTAACCCATTCAATCGCAAGATCTCATTGGTAATTCTCCTTCAAGTTAATGTCGGCCATACTATTCTTATGATGTTATATAGTTCAGAGAATTTGGTATTGGATCAACTTATAATCCCATAATTGATATCTTTCTTTATTCTCGTCACCTACCTGCTTGATAATTTATTGATATTGTAAGGAGAAATTCTGTCTTGGTCACTTGTGGGAGTGAAAGGGCTAAAATGATTTAATGGTTGCTGTCGAGAAGTAATTTTCTGCAGTTGCACTTCAGTGATCGTTGTTGTCTAGAAGAGGTGGTTGTTGTCAAGATTTTAGAACAAGATTAATTGAAGGAGCCATCCTCGGGACAAAAGGTACAGAAGGGTGTGTATCGTATAAAGGTCGACCATTGCTCGAGGTTCATCCGAAGGCACAACTCATGTTTCTTTTAACTGTTTGTGATCAGGTATAAAAAATAAATCGCATACGCCAAACAGATCAGTGCATTTCTGCACCAACGAATGAAGTCTTCGTCAACTTGTCCTCTTTTGATTTTAACCAAGTTGGATCAAGTACTGCCACAAGGGGCTTACAAGTTTAAGAGTTGCATTATAAAGGATCTCACAGAGCGTTGGCCCGGTGAGGACCCGGAGTAACAAATCATTTAGATTTCATCAAGCAATGAGAGCAACGCACAAATCCTCGGAGAAACTTCTAATGATGCTACATGCGCTTCACTGATAAATGGTATTTCATCCATGGTTTTAAAAGGCAGTTAAACAAACTTGGAGAAGCAACGGAGGTAATTTGTCTCAGACTGCTAAAGGCTTTTCTGAATGTCCATTAGGGGTTCAAACTAAGTAAACTTTGCGAAATTTCCGCCCTTCCCCGATGCTAATCAGATTGTAGAATATGAAGTCAAAGAAATTGCGAGAAAGAGTCCTGAGTAAAATGTAATGAAGGGTTTGGAACCTATGTTCCCTTACTACCAAATAAGCAACGAAGCCACATGTTTGGGAGGGGCAAATTTAGTGAGTTTCGCGGAGTCATTCTCAAATGAGGAATTTAATTGCAGATAAATTAAAAAAGTAAATAATGTATCCCAAGTGAACTGCAGTTAAAGAAATTGCAAAGAATAACTTCGAATTGGTTATTTGTTAATGGATTTACAGGTCAAAAGGTGATTTACACAATTAGTTTGTAGTTACAGGCTTTGCTGAATTTCTGCTGTTCGCGCTAACTCGTGATGTTCTATTTTTCAGCTGCTTTACTACCTTCTTTCACATATGGCCTATCGCACCAAAGCAACTCTACGCGATCCTTCAGTAACAGAGGTGATGAACTTTGTGACTGAAAGTCAGCAGTGCGCGGTAGACAAAAAGCTGAACTCGACAATCAAGGCCTCAGCTGCCTGGGAATTGTCCAAATTCCTCAACTCCCCAGAACCTCAGCAATATTTTACTTCGTGGTCATTAGACAATGTATCAGACGTCGGGGAATTGAAAAGTGACAGAGGAAAATATAAAAAAAGCATCAGTGAAACGACTTCAGGAGAAGATCGAAGATTGGGAGATACAGATCATTGTTTTCTCAGAATCTCTCACTTTACTGACACAGAACCTGTTACGGTATTCCAAATGAGTTGAGCGACAGAATCAAAATGTCCAGAACTCACTTAAAGCGGATAGTGTAGCCAGCTCATCATCAACTGATCCAGCTTGAGAGAGATAGTCATTATCAGAGTCGCGGGTCCTATCTGGGTTCCCGTTTTTTTGTAAAATGGAACTATGGCTGCCAAAGAAAGGCTAGATAATCGGAGTTAAAAAAAAAAAAAGTAAAAGATAGACAAGTGCAAGTTCATGGCAGAAGCCTCTCAAGAATATCTTACAAAGATGGCTGACAGACAACAAGTTATGTCCCTCGTCGAGGAAGAGTTTAAAACTGAAAAATTCTTGTTACAGCAGAAACGCTTACAGCAAGATGTTAGAGATTTATACATGTAAACTTCAGATTTAAGAGGAAAGATGGCCGACTTTGGCATCAAAGAAGCAGGTACCATGGACATCAGTTGCGAGGACTTAGAATGGAAAGATGACCGAGGATCACCTCTCGGAAGTGGCTCTTTTGCTTCCGTTTATCGAGGAACCTCAAAGCTGCATGAGGAAGAGAAGCCCGTCGACGAAGCACTGAAAGTGTGAAAAAAGGCGCTGACTAGTGGCAGTGCAATAAGCTTCCTTTCTAAAACAGACACCCTAAGGTTAGCTTATGCAGTTTTACAGTTTTGTTTTTTTCTTTGTTCACTGCTATGTTTAGTTCACCTTTACAATCTAATGGCCTTCACTGAGCACGAACTTGACACTCACCTAGTTCGCTGGCGAACTCACCCAGGATGTCAGCAAAAGGGACGGCGGAGCTTATTTTAATTCAATTGAGGAGGCTTGAAAACGAGCGCCGGGGACGCTAGTTTGTAGAGGATCTGGGGCCGATTTCCTCCACAAATTTTGAAATACATTCCTCCTGCGTACGTCATACAAAAAACAAAATAAAACAAGGGGCTAAAGTTGTTGTCGACTTCTGCTCACCCAAGTTTTCTGCGAATCCACTTGAGTTGCGGGCGAACTCACCTACGCTGTAAAAGAAAGTTGTAAACAAACCACTGACTCGGGTTGCGTGCGAAATCACTTAAAGATGTTACTAAAGTAACCTGACTTGCTACCGAGTTAACTTTGGTTGCCAGCAGACTCACTTATCCCGATTTCCTCCACAAAATTTTTAAATACACTCCTCCTACGTACGTCATACTAAAAGCAAAATAAAATGGGGGGCTAAAGTTAATTACGACTTCTGCTCACTCAAGTTGTCAGCCAATCCACCTGAATTGCGTGCGAACTTACCTGCGTTGTAAACAAAAGTTGTAAACTAACCAACTCAGGGTGCTCGCGAAATCACCTAAAGTTGTTAGTGAAGTAAACTGAGACGCCACCGAGCTAACCTAGGTAGCTAACCAAGGCAGACTCACTTATCCTAATTTGTTGGCGACTGAACCAACCTAACTTGTTAGCGAACCAAACTTAGTTGTCTGCAAACTTGGCTACTTGTTAACAAACCAACCTAAGTTGTTAGCGAACTAATCTGAGGTATTGGCGAACTCATCTGTAAGTTGTTAGCGGGCCCAACTAACTCGCTACCGCACCAACCTGAGTTATGAGCTCACCTATTTTAAGTTGTTCGCCTGCAAACCTAAGTTGGTGGCGAACAAAGCAAAGTTGAATTTTTAACGCACCATCTTGAGTTGTAAGCGTACTCACTTAAGACTTAATTGACCGAACCAACTTATGACGTTAACGAACTAGCTTAGGACTTCAAACGAAGTAATTGTGGGTCGTTTCCCAGAGTTATGGTTGGCTAATTCCTTAAGGTCTGGTAATTCGATTTCCCTGATGCTTTCTAACGGAAAGTGAAGAGTTCTGAGTTCCTCCCGGTGTGACCATTGTACTCTCCTTTTCGTAAAATATTTTTACGGTTGTCATGTGTAGAGGTAATGAGCTACCGAGACTGGGACGACCAGCAAACAATTATTTCAGAGCTCGATTTCTTATTGTGCCTTTTTTAGGAAGCTGATTCATCCCCTCATTGTAAAGATGTACGGCGCAACACTTCTGAAGGAGAAGGGTGAATTGAGACCAATCCTTCTCATGGAGCTCTGCAGGGAGAACTTGATGAAGCACATTTTCCGAAATCAGGACAATGTATCTGGTCTCTCTACAAAAACTTCGGCTGCAAAAAACGTGATCGGATGAGGAAAAGACATTGCCAAAGCTTTGGAATTCATACATAATAAGGGTATTATTCACAGAGATCTCAAACTGGAAATACATTGGTATGTAGGAGATAACTCGATGCGTGCACAGTGATTGAGTTCAAGGGTTCTTTCGTCCTCCCACAACAGGACAATAGAAATAGCCTCTGTTGAATAGATGCTGTAATCACGATTTTTATCTATGTCAATGATAGGTAGGTGGGTGAGTGGCTGGATGGATTGATGGACTCGAATTCTGATGGACTCGGAATCTGAGTCTTACAGTCTCGCACTATGCACGACAGACTAGTCACCTGATACAATAACTTCTTTTATAAAGGGGGTAAGGTTCTAAAGAAACTGTGGTGCTGCGTGAGTGAGAGAGTAAACCAGGGTAATTTAGTGTTATCAACTGAGTTGATAACCTAAATTGGCCACCCTAAAGAGTTATAAGGCTGACGTTTTAGCCCTTCGTCAGAGCGATTGACGAAGGGCTAAGTTCACCGATGCAGCAGCACAGTTTCTTTAGACACTTACCCCTTTATTCATTTGTCTTTTAATTGCTGCGACCACTAACTCTTGCCTCAGAATTTTTTAATCCAGTCGCTCTGACGAAGGGCTAACGCTCGAACGTCGGCCTTTTAACTCTTTACGGTGGCCAATTTAGGTTATAAACTCAGTTGAAAACACTAAATTACCCTGGTTTACTCTCCCACTCACGCAGCACACCAAAGAAATGAATACTTGTATATGTCATTCGTTACATTTGAGCAAGAAATGAAAAATGAAAATAGTTACTCGCACTTTGGCCCTCGGCCCTTTTTCAATTAGCTCCATTCCTAGCCAAAGGGACGAGGAGGCGTCTTTTTTTTTTTCGAGCAACAGAGAATTCTGGGTAGATCTCACCCTGACAACCAAACGACATGACGTACTGTGCTTTACAGGCATGAAACTTCTGTGACGATCCACGTGGTACAGGGTTCCAACAAGGGAATATAGACTGTTTATATTCTGCTTGTTCTAATCAGTGAAAGAAATGACATTACGAATGAATAAAGTAAACAAAAACACAAGTCAGCAACGATAAAGAAAGAAGACAAGCAAAACTTGAGCGCCATCAGAGTCTCACCTTGAAATATCGATTTGCCTAACCTCAATTTTTGAGGACCTGCGATTTTTGGGATATAACGCTCCTCTTTGACAAACATTATAAAAAGACTAGCATTGATTATAATCAACAAAACGTAATTTCCTGTAACTTTCTATGTACCTATATCTATATTTGAATAATTCTTCTCAAAATTTACCTATTGTGTGACTAGTCACGCTGACTGCCAGAAAAGCTCAGACAATGCCGTCAGTGACAGGGATCTGTGTCAATGCACTACAGTAATCAGACCCCCTGTGTAAATTGGACTGTGATAAATGAAACAAAACTGTTAAAGGTTTGGGTTTTTCCTTTTTCGCAATTCTCAAAGCTTTCTTAATCTTGAAACTGATGAAATTTTGATCATAACCGTTCAAGTTATCGATTTACAACATGAGTGCATTACTAGACATTGACAAGATCGACGACATCATGGAGATGGCAAACACAATGGCGACGCTTAAAATTCCGTCCAAAGGGCTGAAAACGTTGGACCAAATGAAAGCAAAAGTGAAAGAGACACTCCAGTCGTCAGAGAAGAAGTCAAGTTGGACGGCAAAGGAGGTGAGAACCCTACAATATCTTTTTAAAATATGGACAACCAGCAAACTCAATTTATAAACGACATTTTCAGTACAATGGCGGAATTATCTAGATGTGACCTTTAATAAATGGTAGACGCAGACCATATCGTGAAATTCAGTAACGAATTGTTGAACAATCTCTTCATGCTAACTGAGTCATCGTTTGCGATTTTATCTCATGGCGATCCATTCAATGATGGCATCTCAGAAATGATTAGTACTTGAAGAAACCTTATTCTCGTGGACGGAAATCGTTGCACTCGTCATTCACTCGCCAAATGTTTCTCTAAGTTCACAGTACGTAGAGCAATCTAAAAGGCAGCTAATTACTTATTGATACTTCCATAAACGATTCTTACAACTGGGTGTCAGCAAAATGATTAAAAATACGAAATTGGAAAGTTTTGCTTCTACTGTAAGAGTTTATCATGCATACCGCTGTCGTTAATTTAGTAGGCTTCGTTGAGCAACGATCGTGCTTTGAGGGTTCAAGTTGATAATACGGCTCCTAGAACATCGAGGATTGAAACATTTTGGAGAAATCTACTTCAATTCTGCTTTTTCCTATCGCTTTGTGGTTTTAGTTCGAAAACATGTTAACCATTTGGGAAAATGTTGACGATTGTATCAGGTTTACATTTCTTCATTTTCTTAGAAATGCTTGCATAATTTCTGTAAAATAAATGATCACGGACTTAAAGCCTGGAGTGAGCCGATACTTTTATACGGTCAAAGGAAGCCACAGATGCGTTATACTATTCGTAATCGTCAGCGAAGAGTTGTAGTCCTTTCCTGCTATGGCTAAACATCAAAAATTGTTTTTGTTCACACAATACATGCATATTTACCTAAGTAATCATGGGTAACTTACCGCAAACAATAGCTATCGATGGTTGCATTGCGGCAGTTTTTGAGCTAAAACCAGCCTAATGGGTCTATTCCCTAAATTAAGCTGCGCTCAGAACAGCGATGTGAATCTAAAAGTGATGTTACTAGTTATAAGGATTTCCAAAATGACTGTAAAACGGTTAAATTAACCAATTAGGCTGAAAAGTAATAATTAATTTACACAGGCGAATGTTGATGCACAGCATTTGTTTCATTTTGTGCCATTTATCAGGCCTTTTCAGTGTTGACGGAGGCAAAGAAAGAAGACGAGAGAAAACGAGCAACCTTGCTCGGTTTCTACGAACGCACAGATGATTGCTTGCAAAGTATGGATGGAAAAGTTCATAACCTTTTAGAACAGAACATCGGGAACCTCAAGGAAAAAATCGCTTCCCACAAACAAAATCTGCTGAAAAAGGAGTACATTGTTCTTGTTGCAGGTTTGTTATAAATAAATAGTTTGACCGCCACTGCTTTGAAATTTTAGTTTCACCAACTTCCTCAACCAATAGACTTAAATTCAAGACTGACAAAGAAAAGAAAGCTTCATTCAGCTATTCTACTAATCCAACCTCAGCTAATTAGAAAGCTAGCGATCGAGCCATGAAGTAGAATAAAACTATATTTCTTTTAGGGTATTACACTCAGTATATTTCATCCTCTCTTAATTGACATTTCGTGTAATATACTCCCTTAAGTTATATTTACCCTTAATAACTTAAGATCAGTTTGCATATTCCCCATACTGTTCTCTATACATTTCCTAAGGTACTGACAAGGAGTCTTTGTTTAACAATCACGAGCTCCTTTACTTGATGATCATTTCCTTAGTTCCCATGACCTGAATATGTGAGTTAGAGGTGACCTTGTAAGGAGAAATTAGATGCTTGTCACTCTTAGTGGTTAAAGGGTTTATAAAGGGAACTTTATCCCTAATATCTTCTAATCAAACTTGACAGTCACACGAAGACTTTTTTAATTCTACGGAAACCCTGAATCTCACAACATTTAACTTTTATTGATGGACTAAAGACCACTCATTCAATTATCAAATTTGCTACTTGGTTCTTGTATGTTGTAAGGGGCTCCACTGACCTGTCCTTTCACCTCACGACTTTTCCCAAACATCCTACTCTTAGTACACAGGCCCCTATTCAAACCAGGTTGTAGCTGAACTTGGCTAGCGTGGTTGATAATTAAATACAATACACTTATGAAAAAATGAGTGGACAAAGTGGGAATCTGCTGGTCCAGACCAACTAAGACTATTTATTGATAGTTACTTTAACGGAAGTCTGTCTTTTGAACGTGGCACATAATATGGCCAACCTCGAGCTGCTATCTGGGTGAAAGCTATATAATTGTGGACAGCAAGAGGAATAGTTTTTTTATGAAAACGAATTAGAAGAAGAAGGGGGAATGGTGTTTTGTTTGGGATTTCTGGTGGAAACGACCTGGGAAGTAGATTCTCTTGTTCGACGTAACTTAAGTAGAATCGACCCATTCTTACCAATGTTTTTTTTCGTTCCTCTCTCTCTCGCCTGTTTATACTTACAGGCGAAACAAGTTCAGGAAAGAGTACTTTGTTAAATCTTATCCTTGGAGAGCAGCTTCTTCCTTACGCCGTTCTGAGTACCACATCCACCATCTGTGAACTAAGATATGGAGATACACCAAAGCTAGTGGCGCACTTTAAAAACAAAGAATTAGGGGATACCACAAAGACTGTCGTCTTAGAAGAGCCGTCTGAAGCCTCCGAGCGGAGTTACCTTCAACAGATTTCCGAATTCGTCCACTTAAAGACGAACAGAGAAAGGGGCTCAGATTACGAAAAGATTGAGTTGTTTTGGCCACACAATCTGTTGAAGGTTAGACATGAGCAAGCTCAGTAATTATTCGGGGTCTAAGAATTGACCTTAAGAAACATATTGTCGATGTCAGCAAGCTTAAGAATGTTCGTGCATAAATGTATTTTACGATTTATAACTGTCTTTTATATTCCTTTATAACTGAAATTGATATAAGGGTTGTTAGAGAAATTTAAAGTCTCCAAATTCCTAACTTTTCCTACATCATTTGCCATTCTGCAAAGTAACTCCTTGCACACGTTGTTATTTAGAATTTTACTCGGTTTTTGTCGCTATTTTGTCATAAGAACTTATTGTTGACATCTCAAACGAATAGTTACACACATCTCTTTTGATGTATCACAAATAATTGAGTGACAGCAGTATCGACTGAAAGTCACGTCCGACTAAATTCTGACGATAAATTCGGCTAAGGATGTCAAAATGTCACTTAAAAGGAACAGATATAGAGGACGTTAGATTGAGAGTTGAGAATAATCCGGACTTAATCTCGCTCTGTGATTGGTCCAGAAAACTCATGCCAATTGATCAACCAATCACATTCAAATTAAAACCAATCGCAACTGACTTGCGTTTTCCCCTGAAAAGAGTTGTTCGCTTGTTTTTTCTTTGGGTTCTCTGATTGATTGTTGTGATTACTTTGAGTTTGGTCTTATGACAACCAATCGAAAAGCACTCTAGAGAGGGATCCCTAAGGCCAAAGGTCAAATCGCATATGTGATCTGCGGATTAAGAAATGAAAATGAAAGGGATCTTCGCAGTAATGAACACTACTTAACCAGTAGTGAAAATATGGTATCAAAAAAAAATTTAGGCCTGTACAGAGCGTGAAATTAATTTTTTTTCTGATAGCCACTTCGCTCCTAAATTTTTTTAAAGTGGTAGCCAATTAAAAAAAAGTTGGTCGCCATTTTTAAAGACAAACAAAACCTTTTTTTAACGATGTCAGCGTTCTCGATAGGCCCTCCAAAATTAGGTTAGGTGAAAGATCTCTAACGTGCTACAAATTGGACACTAGGATGGATGAATTACAACGCTCAAGCTCACCCAAATCCAAGATGGTGTCTAGTCATCGATTTAGATGCTTGTGCTGCGTTTTGGAAACAAACTTAACGAGGAAGTTTGCAGCGGCTTTATCTTTGCAAATCTTTTGAATTCACTTTATTTCTAATTAAGGTTATGACGAAGCATTCTAGTCGCCATTTTGGCGACCAATTTTCAGGATTTGTTCGCCAAAGTGAAAAATTTAGTCGCAGTGGCGCCTGTATTAGGCGCAATTTCACGCCCTGCTGTATGGGATTTGAAGATCGAAGATCGAAGCAAAGATCACTTTCGTATTCAATATTTTGCTAGTGACATCTCATATTTTACGTGTCTTTTAGGAAAATATCGTAATAGTCGACAGTCCAGGAATTGGCGAATCTACCATCATGGATGACATTGTAAAGGAGTACCTTCCGGAAGCTTTCGCATTTATTTACGTCATCAAAAGTGAAAACGCCGGTGGAATACAGCGAGATAGGGTAAGGCACTTTAAAATGCGAAATGCCTTCTCATTGCAAAAATAATTAAAGGAAAAATGTGCTGCAAGACTCTTACAATTTTTTGAATCCTCTATTTTAAAGATGTGTAAGACTAACTTAACTGTTCAAAACTTTTCGTCAAATGAGCTAGAAGAAGGAACATAACGAACGTGAGTTGCTCCTGCAGAGCGGTTACGCGAGGCATGAAAGCGTTTAGAAAAAGGTAATGTCTGAACTAGCCAAAAAGAGTCGACAAATAGCTAATTCTGTGTCTTTGCCTTCAGGTAGAAAAGCTTATCGAACACGCCAGACAGATATCTCTTGACAAACAAAGGGAATCTTCCTCAAATTGTGCCCTATTCGTTTGCAACAAGTGGGACCAGGTGCCGTCAAAAGAATCTGACGAAGTTAAGAACTATGTAGTGACGAAGCTCACGCAGTGCTGGCCTTCTTTAGATCCAGAATCTCAGATCATTTATATGTCAGCAAAAGAAGCCAGTGAAGCTCAGAAGCTTGGAGTGGTCACGGAGGAGTTTGCTGAACTAATGAATGGTATCAGGTCCATGGTGTTGAAATGTATTGAAGCAAGACTACAGATTCAGTGGAGGTAAATTGCTTTAAATCCTTAGCGACAAAATTATTATTCAAGAAGTTGCATCTCAGTTGAAAATGTCGTTTTAGTTCTGAGAATTGGAATGAAAAATATCCTTATTTTGATTGGCTGCGCAAAATGTATTTTTCAGGCAACAAAAGGCATAAGCCAAGGTAATAAAGTGCATAAAATGTTAACTCAGTGCGAAAAAAGCAAGAAACTCTTCAGCCTGGCTTTGCATGAATAAATATAGTGACGAAGTATAAAAGACAATTGAAAAAAATTTCCTTTATTCTCAGGTGGCTTGACTATCTTCTTGCACGTATGGCCCTCCACACGAAAGCGTTCATTCGTAATTCGTCCGAGGATCGTAAAAATGTGATAGATAGAATGAAGTTTATCACTGACCGCCTCCAAAGTATTGAGAGGCAGCAAGGTACTGTAAGCAAAGAGCTGCAGTCATACCTCGAAAACAAGACAGACCACGCTGTGAGTACACTTTCCAGATACCTTAAGTCTCCAGAAGTTATTGAGCAGTTTTCTTTGTGGACATTAGATGACGTTCCAAGTACTGAAGAAAGCTGGGAACTGACTAAGAGTTACATCCAAAAGGCGCTGATGAGGCGACTTCAAGAAAAGATAGAGGAATGGGAAGAAAAGAACCATATCTTTTCCGATGCTCGCGCCTCTTTGATTCGATACTTTCAGGAGAGGTTCAGCTACGTCGAAGGTCAACTTCGGATGCTGGAGGGCTCTGTCCTAGCCGGAGATGCTGTCGGCTCAGGAAGTGACCCTCTGGCATCGGATGACTTTAGTGTCGCCGAAAAAGTCATCATCGGGGTCACAAGTCCAATTTGGGTTCCAGTTGGTCTGGTTGTCCTGGTGGTCAGTGTCCCGGTAGTTGGCGCCATAGCACTTAAAGAGAAGTTGGAAAACTGGAATAAAATAAGACAGTACAACAAAAACAAGTGTGCCTTTATGGCGAAAGCTTCCCAAGAATATCTGAATGAAGCAGCTGAAGAACAGCATCTAAAGTCGTACGTGATGGAACAGCTTAAAGAAGCTCAGGTTTGTCTTAAGCAGGTCTTAGAACGGATCCCTCAGCTCATAGAAGAGGACAAAATGCTGTGTCAACAATTGAGAGATGAGAACCGTTCTAAGAAAGAAGTAGAAGATTTCTACCAACCGCTACACGAGAGGAGTGTAAAAATAAGGGATGAGATGGCCCTGTTTGGCATTAAAGAGGTTCGCACCATGGACATCAGTGGCGACGATTTGGAGTGGCAAGACTATGCACCTCTTGGAAAAGGAGCATTTGCTGCTGTTTATCGAGGGAAATTAAAGATGCGAGGAAAGGATAAACCTGTAGATGTTGCTGTGAAAGTGTGGAACGAGGAGCTAAACGAAGATACTGCTAGTGGCATTCTTTCCGAAGCAGAGATACTCAGGTTGGTTTTATTATTTTATGGATCTTGAAATGTTATATTGGATATGAAAGAAGGCCCAACCTACCAAAAACCTTGGGGAAGCACTAAATATATTCTGGCCGGTAGCCAATGAGATAATTTCTTAATCGTAAAATTCTTTTCTGTCCATGGATCTCATCGTAATAAGGGGATTTCTTTTAATTACAGGATATTTTTTTGACGCTTTCATAGAATTTCACAGAATTTAAGGCACATCGGGATATTAATTAGAACAACCTTTACGGGGAGACAAATCACCATTCATTTTCCCAACAATTCATCACCCTTACAACTCATAAGTTGGACTAGTGTCTAATTGCTCCGTACATCACCGCTGAATCAAGCATAAGGTCATGAAAATAAGGGAAGTGATCACCAACAGCAGAACTCTTGATTGATAATCAAAATTTTCTTGTCAGTATTAGAAAATGTTTGGATGACAGCATAGAGAATAAGCATACTGTTTTATGATTGTAAGTTGTTTTACGGTACGTTTTTTCATGTAGGAAACTGAATTATCCCTTTATTGTAAAGTTCTATGGTACAGCACTGCGCAAGGAAGGGGAGCGGCTGAAAGCAATACTGGTGATGGAGCTCTGCAAGGAAAACTTGAGGCACATTTTTCGGCATGAAGGTAATATACCTGGAAAATCATCAACTGCTACAGCTGCGAGAGACGTGATCGGATGGGCAAAAGATATCGCCAATGCTTTGGAATACATTCACAAACAAGGTATCGTTCACAGAGATCTCAAGCTGGAAAATATATTGGTGAGTTAAAAATTGGGACTAATGGTTATCGTGACTATTTATAATTATAATCATCTTCTTCCTTCTAGACTCATCTCGCACTTCATCGAATTCTAATTCGCTCGCTTTCACCCAGTTTTCCTGCTTTCTACGTGGGATACCTGTGGCAGACCACGCTATAAATTGGCTTGAGCGTCGTTGTAGTCAGATGTAGAAATTACCCGCGTGGTTCTGCTTCTCAATGAAATTGGCTGGGGTTGGATGGGCGACCGTACATGATATCCTGTTTTGTCTAGTTTTCGATTTAATTCCTGTACATTGAAGGATCAGCATTAAATTCATTGTTTTCCACGTAAAACCAGTGTGAATGAAGATAACGACTAACGTATCCCAAGTTAACACCTCCAGGCGTCTCGTTCTCACTATGTCTTGCCTTCTTTTAAGAGGTCTCGTCTGTTTCGGGTTCCACTTCGAGAAACCTTCAATATTGTAATCCCTCGGTTTCTACAGGACAATTTTTCTTAATGGAAATCACAAGCGGTTAAAATGTTTATCGTTTTATCGAAAACTAACATAAACAAAACTGACTCAACTTAGAGGGGTTAAAACTTTGTATTAAAACTGGTTATGATGCGTTTCAAAGATATTTTGAAAATAGCGACAGATTTTCGGCCTTTCCTGACGACTACCCTTTTTTAATATGACTTAATTTTTTTAACAGCCGAAATTTTTTTACTTTGGTACTAGAAATATATCAATTTCCATGGAATTTATCTAATTTTCCCACAGCTGTCGCAAGAAAATATTGTCAAAGTAGCCGATGTCGGTGTTTCTAAAGAGGCCAAAGCGATCACGGGTACCATGGTGGGAACTCCTTTGTATCTCGCTCCTGAAGTGATCAAGTCCCGTTTGTACGATTACAAAGCAGACATCTACAGCTTCGGTATAATGCTCTGGGAGATGTGGTATGGTATCAGAGCCCTTCTTGACGTGGGAGGAAATGTGCAGGAGTTTTTTGAAAAAGTTGGTGAGGGTGTAAGACCTAAACATGTCCGAGGCTCGAAAAAGCCTCCACCTTGTTGGCACGAGCTGATGCAGCGTTGCTGGGACGAAAAACCTGATAACCGACCAGATGCGAGCGAGTGTTACGAGAAGTTGGCTGAGCTCTATCAGGAATTTGGCGCACCATCCTCATAAACACTGGTTATTAGGCAACCACCTTGAACGTATTTACTATTCAAGTGGAGACTGTTTTGGAGTAATAGTGATTCAGAGTGTTTTAAGATATCCCATATGACTGTTATAAAAATTAGGTTAGCCTCACCCGCACCAATCTTCTCTTGGTTCGTACATCATAGAAACTTATTCTGGTCTTAATCAGTACTGATGCTAAGGACTTCTATGGAGATCAGTGTCATTTTGGGTGATTCAGGAAAGGCTTAATTAAGCGCACAGGTGTAGGTGGCTCCTTTGGTGCTCGTCTGTCAGATGATCTTTTGTTACGGTACAGGGTTGTTAGCCCACTGCCCTTCCCTGAACCTAAAAGTGGCTTCGTTAGGGATGAAAATTAAAACAAGAAGTGTATGAAATACATAGATAATTACACAGTGAGTTGACAGAATGTAGGAGTGGTGTATGGTAGGTCTCTAAGTCTCTGCAGGATGATTGTTGAAATATGTATACTATTCTTATGTCCTAGTACTCTTTAGACCCTCAGACCTTGCAAGCGAAAAAGAGACTCGAAAAAGTCTTAATCAAGAAAGAGAGAGATAAAGAGATAGGCGACCGTTCTCTTATATTAAAAAGGCACAGTCCAGTCATATTGTCAAAGTATCGTTAACTGGAACAAACATACAACAGTTTCAATGATTTGGTAGATTTCTTTTAATAAGAGTTGGTTACCATGTGTATCAATCTCTTTACAACTTATTTTTTTGGGGCGTTTGTCAAATAGTTGACTTGTTACTATTTTGAACGAAGAACAACAAGAATATTCTAAAGGCAAATGTTGTTCTTTCAGCTTGTATGAAAGCTTTTTGCCGGATTTTAGAGTTAGTTTTACCATCTGGTTAAGATACTTGTGATCGTTTACTCCTAGAAGATTTCGTAGAGAGCATTCTGCTTTTTTAAATATTAAGACTAAACATAATGCTGGAAGGTCAGATATCACATATCTACGTCTAAAGAAATCACAGAGATGGAGTTGTAAGCACAATCAAAGTGCTCTGTGACCTTGTGTGAAAAGTGAAATTTACTGTCTATCTTTGTAAATATTGGAAAATCAAGGCAATACTCTCTTAATGAAAACATTAATTATCCCCTCTTTATCAAATGAGACAAACGGGAACGAGTTTTGAGTGATATAACTAAGCCCATACTGCCACCGTCATTTTGGATTTCCGCCCAGGTAGATTTTGGTCACGTGCTAAGCAACGCGTAATCAAGAATAAGATAGAATCTCATTTCAGGCCTATTTATCAATTTTTGGAGTATAACTTTTGCATTTCAAATTGTCTTGAAACTTGAAACAAAATTGTTCTTTAAAAATTCACTGAAAATCGGTAGCCAAAATTATTTGTTTAAGTGTTAGTTGATTTTCGTGTTAACCTGTAATTTTGTCAGTCGCCGGCACCTTTTGTTGCTTAACACAGAAAAAAACACACGATACGGAATGTAATGATCGATTTTGTCCCCAATCTCAAGCCATAACAGAAAAAGCTTATGAACACCTGTAAAATCCGAGCGCTTAGGAGTAAGTGATATTTTTAATGAATCTTCGGGTTGTTTTCAAGTTCAAGGATTGTAAATTACAATTTTATGAAAAACGAAGGTTGTTCTCTTATTTCAGTGTGAATCCTCGCACGCCTGACAGTCGCTGGCACCACTTGTTGAAACCAAAGCGAAAAAAAAATTAAACTCTTTTAAGATTATCATTGGCTTCTTTTTTCACCCAAACCTTTATTCTTAGCAACAAAGGTCGCCATTTCGTTTGTTTATTACTCGCCAAAAACTATCAAATGCACTCAAAAGCCTAAAATTGAAAAAGCGTTTACAAGAAGCGACGAATCGAGCGAGCGAGCGAGTGCCATTCTCCACATCATATCTACAACTCACTCTTATGCATGCGCGCAATTCACGAGTTAAAAGTGACAAATGACGTGAAGTTCCCTTAAAGGAAGTTCCCATTTTCATGACGGAAGGTGATAAAAATTGGGAAGAGAAAACAAAGTTTCAATACTGAACAAGCGTAACATTTTCATGAAAAACAAACAAACAAGAAGAATGTGTCAAGATAAAACTATCACGGAATCAAAACAAGATAAAACATAAAGTCCCATAAATATAGTGTCTAATAAAGCTTTTTCACCACCGGTCGCTCGTCCTGTTTTCGGTGGTCTGTCGCTTTAGTGTCAGCCAACTGCCGACAGTTGGCAGACTTTCGGTGGAGGGGAGCTGTTCTTCACAATTACCTAATTTTTTGGAGAACCACACGACACGATGATGTCTACGAGGCGTTCCTTTCCACGTGTAAACCCCATGTGAAATAATTTGCTACTGTCTGAAATGGACAAAAAAATTTAACTCTAGAAATTTTTTAATTTTGTAAAATGAGAAAAAGGCTTCGTTTCTATTTTATACTTGTAATTCATCTTGATTTAAACCCACCCACTGAAATAGTTGGGGAAATTTCACTTCCATATTTATTTGACTTCCTCTACTCACTGCATCCTGATTTAACAACTCCCTAAGCCCCTTTCACTTCCTACAGTCCTGCAAGCGCTTTCAGATTGCTGCGATTTCATAGCAATCAGCGATCAACCAATCTTGATATTTTAGAGAGTCCCGCTTTTAAATTTTGTATACTTCTTCTATTTCTACTCTATTGCTCCTCAACTTCGATCCTCTTTGTATGATTTAGCAAAGGGTGAAGGTAGGTATATGATGATAAGTGATTTGATATCCATAAAACTCATCATGCAGACTTGATACTAACTTTGTGATATAAACACTACGTGAAAAACGTTACAATAAACTATATTTTAGCTCTGAACCTAGTGAGATTCTCTTCAAATTATCAGAGATCAAATTGGTGGAAATGTGTCCTGGTAGAGCATGGTCAACCTTTGACGACATGCTGTGGCATCTGGTCGTTTGTCTGCTTCTTCATCCAAGCAACCTTGCATTACATCTTGCAATGTAGGCGGAGGTTTCTTCCTGTCTTGGTCGACTTGAGTTGGTCTATTACGTTCAGCATCCTCACCATAAACCGCTCTCACGTCTCCCTCTACATCTGTAAGGGCTCTTTTTCCATGCATCTCCCAGAGCATTATGCCGAAGCTGTAGATATCGGCCTTGCTATCATAAAACCCTGATTTGATCACTTCTGGGGCAATGTAAAAAGTTTCCTTCATTGTTCCTGTAGTCATCTTGGCTCCTCTAGAAACACTGACATTAGCGACCCTGACATCATCTTCATGTGACAGCTGTGAGATAATGCACATAACAAAAGACAGAAGTAGAAGACTCTTTAGGCTTACTAGAAAGCTAAATGTGTTTCTCTTTTCTGCTAAGCCTGCGGTGGTTCTCGTCAAATGCAGTGTAAATGTAATCGCAGAGTTAGTGAATGTTTGGGCTGTTTTTTTATCATATGCCACTCTGAAATATGATATGATCCGTGTGCCATTTTTCGTACTTACCATGATGTTTTCCAACTTGAAATCTCTGTGAACAATGCCCTGACTGTGTATAAAGTCGAGAGCATTGGCGATGTCTCTCGCCCATCGAATTACACTTCTCGCGGCACCAGGTGTTAAGGACAGACTAGGTATATTGTCCCGATTCTGGAAAATGCGTCCCATCAAGTTTTCTTTGCAAAGTTCCATCACAAGAGTTACTCTCAACCGTTCTTCTTCTCTAATCAGGGCAGCACCATAGAAATTTACGATGAATGGATGATTCAGCTTCCTAGAAAAAATTTAGATTCATGAATTACCTTTAGCCCAATGTCTTTGAGACAATACCACTCTTTCTTTCATCGGTTAATTGTTGCCAAGCTATGATTTCATTTTGTTGTTAAATGTTTTCATTTTGTTTCATTGTTTAAATTTCTCCTTGTAACAAATGTAAACTATCAAAAAAGTAAAGCCTTGGGTCCAAAAAATTACCTACGAAACAAAATAAAAAAGTTACAAAGACAATTGAAACAAGGGAATAAACAAAGGGCTAGAAAAGGATAACAAACCAGCGCAAAAGACATGAAATCTAAAAATGAATTAAGGAAACCAACCTCAGTGTCTCTCTTTCGGAAAGAAAGTCACTTGCATCAAAATTTTCCAGTTCACTATTCCACACTTTCACAGCTACTTCGACGGATTCATCTTTTCTTCGCATTTTTAATGTCCCTCGATGGACAGTGGTAAATGCGTCCCTACCGAGAGGTGAAATTTTATCGGCTCTCAATTCTAGATCGTCGCAACTGATGTCCATGATGGATACTTCCTGAATGCCAAAAACGGCCATTTTTCTCCTCAATTGTAAACTTCTCTCATGTATCGGTCTGTAAATATCTAGTTCTTTCTGTGAGCTGCTGTCATTTGTAAGTTTTTGGCACAATATTCTGTCAGCCTTTATGAGCTCGGGAATGCGATTTACAACCTGCTCGAGACAGACTCGAGCCTCCTTAAGCTGTTCGACCACTAAAGACTTCAGGTTCTGTTTTTTAGCCGCTTCAAGTAGGTATTCTAAAGACGCTTTTGCCATGAAGCCACATTTGTCGTTTTCGTACTTTCTTATTTTATTCCAATTTCCTAACTTTTCTTTCATAGCCACAACCCCAACTACTGGTACGCTGAGAACGAAGGCAACCACGCCAATTGGAACCCAAATAGGACTTGTGACCCCGATTACTACTTTGCTAGCCACAGAAAATTTCTCAGAAGGCAGGCAGTCATTTGCTAGAGCAGGCACGTCTTCTGCTATGACGAAGCTCTCCAGGTTTTCAAGTTGTTCCACGACATAGCTGTATCGCTGTTGAAAGTGCTGGATTAGAGAGCCACGAGCACCGGAAAAGACTTGTTCACGTTCCTCTCATTCTGCAATAAATTCTTGAAGTCGCTTCGTTAATGCTTCTTGGATGTAAATTTTGGTCACTTCCCATTTCCCCATCGCCCGTGGAGTATCGTCCAACGTCCACGAAGTGAATTTTTGCACAACATCTGAAGACGTGAGGTACTTGGACAGTGAGGTGACAGCGCTTTCTGTTTGGTTTTCGAGGTACTCCTGTAGCTCCCTACCAACTGAATTCTCCTTCTCCTCAATGCCACGGAGGCGTTCATTCATGAAAATCATTCTGTCGAAGACTTCCTGACGATCTTTGGACGAATTATTAATAAACGCTTTCGTGTGAAACACCATGCGTGAAAGAAGGTGATAAAGCCACCTAAAAATATAATGTAGATTATTTCACTTTATTATTTACTAAAAAAATGGATGTAGCTTTGAAGGAACCCTTTGATCGACTACCCAAACTCGGAATATACTTTGCTATTCACCTCCGAGCTACTCAGGAGTCTCGCACTCCCGAAAATATTGAAATCGTTCCAAGAATAAACGAGTTAAAATCATCTTGTTGTGCCATACTGTCTTATGTTCACTTATCGCGGCTTGGAAAACATCCACCATCTGCCACCTCCACCTAGGTAATGGTAGTTAGTTAGTTTTACTTATTAATCAGTACACTGCATTTAGGACGTGCCAAGAGAGTTGAAAATGACACTTGCGCTTTTTATTGTGTCTCGTAAGGACTCAAGAACACTTACCTCCATTGGACGAACAGTCTTTCTTTGACGCTTTTCAAGACCATGGACTTGATTCCATTCATCAATGCAGCGAACTCCTCTGAGATTATTCCAAGAGTTTGGGCTTCTCTGGCAGTGGTGGAGGACATGTAAATGATCTGAGATTCAGGGTCTACGTTAGGCCAGCAGCGTTTAAGTTTTCTGACGATGTGATCCTTAACCTCATCAGTTTCTTCTGATGGCACTTGGTCCCACTTGTTACAAACGAACAGAGCACAAGCTGATGAAGTTTCTCTGAAGTGTTCAAGAGACACCTGTCTGGCGTGCTCGATTAGCTTTTCCAGCTAGAAAAAAAAGTAAAATAGAAGAATTTCTTGAGAAAAAAGGAAAAGAGAACGCCTTCGTAGGTCCTCTCTGCGTGACTCTCTTAAACAAAAAATCTTCAGTGGAGTATTGTCAACAGAAGAATGGAAATCTATCAAAATTATCACCATGATGGTTCGGTTATATATCAATTGATATCCTCCACGCACAAGAAGGTCGGAGAGGACGCCAAAATAGGAAGAGTAAGGCGAGAGGAACGCGAAAGAGAACAAGAAAAGGCATAAGTAAAAAGTCGAATATTTAGCGGAGAACAACGCGAGAGGGAAAAACAAAGACGCTCCAGAAAACAGACTGAAAAGCGGTCATCAACAAAGAGAAGCGAACCACAAAGGATCTATGAAAGAAGAGAGGATAAGTCGTGTCTTATCTGGGTTTTCTCTTACGCTAAGGCCCAGAAAAACCTTTTCTTAAAAATCGTCGTTTTAGATATAATTCAAAGCACATTTTGGTAAAACAATGACTTTAACATTCATCGCTTAAAAACCCTCGCGCCGGTTCATCGCTCGAATAACATTTCAAACTGTTTATATTCTTTAAGTTATTTCTTGTCCTATCGTTTGGAACGTTTATTACAGTCTTGGTGTCAAGGGAAAATAATACATCTTACGGATTTTGTTTTGCCTAGAAAGTTTTCAAATGACAGCGAACGGCATGAGAAAGTTTCTACCTCTTTTTCTCTTGAGTCAACCGTAGCAGGATCTACTCTATTCATTTCAAAAAATCGCGCTTTGTCGAAGATGTGTTGTTTTACCCTTAGGACGAAGTGATGAACTTTCCCAAAATTGAAATCAAATGAGATTGAATCAGCGATTTTCATGTTTACATTAAGTCTGACGCGGTAATTTGATTTTGACAATATTGTCAGGTGAGAACCCCTCAAACATCGGGCCGCAAATGTGTGGTACAAACAAACTCACAGGTAAAATGGAGTTAGTCTTACTGCGGGATAAGTGAATTCCATTATTTGGTTACGGTACTTTTCAGCGCTATGTTTTCATGCTTTCTACTCGATTCGTTTGAACTTCAGGAAATGGTCTCAATTGCCTCACAAAACATGGAGCCACTTTCTCTTCGCTCTACATTGCGAGGCGGACTTACTGATGCTCGGGTTGTGATGAACATGCTTGCGATACGATAGTTCTTTTCTTTATACTGGAAACTAATGAACCAATCTCTGAAATTGATGGTCATCACATTTTGCAGGAAGCGTCCGAGCTCAGTGATCGGGTTCCTGGCAATTTGAGCTCACAAGCACGCTGGTAAGTACATGTTTAGCGTAAATAATTGTTGTTTACACTTTTCGATTTCTGTAACCTTCTTGGATATTTTCTGTTGAATTGATTGAGTGATAATCTTGGAATTTCATAGGTGATTACGAACGATAAATTCGTATCGGCACTATAATTTCGGGAAGTTTTGTTAACACATTGTCTGTTTACAATTCGCGAACCATTTCTGTAACCTGGATGGATATTTTTTTTGAATTAATTGAGTCACACCCTTGGAATTTCATCAGTAATAAGGAACATTAAATTAGGAACGTTAAAACCAAAGCAACAAATGAGGCACATACAGGACACTGTACATGACTGACTCTCAATAAATTGGCCTGGCGTAACTTGTTGATTATTTTATTATTTTGTGGCCCCAAAAGCCCGGCTTATGAGTCTGGTGGTACTAAACTTGATATATTTGATACGCAAGGCACCTTTCAAGGAGGAAGGTTAGAATAATATTGCTATATATTGCACCAGGTTTACATATGTGGGTAATATGCTTCTGCTTTATTTTGTTGTAAGGGGTTTCTTTTTATGTAACATATATCTATTCTTTAATTTCCTCCCAAACCTGCTTGCAAATAATCAAATTTTATGTATGAGAAGTTAAAAAAGAAGTGTTGCAGAGCTCTTTTTCCAGACTGAATTCAGGTGAGAACATCAATAAACTAGTTGATGTCATATACTTCCTCTGAATCTTTAATTTTTTGCCCTGGTTTTTTTCACAAAGCCTCTTCTATATCACTGTGCCAGCTAATCATTAAAATCTCAGTGAATAGATATGCCATATTTTAAAATTTTTTTTAAATTCCTCTTTAAGTTTCTGGCATCTACTATTTTAAAATTTATAACTGGCACTCCCTTTTCATCTTTGGAAGGATGTAATACCCATTTCTTTAACCCTTTAACTCCCAAGATCTCATTAATAATTCTCTGTATTGTCTGCCTTTGAATTCACGTGATGTTAGTTTGGAGAATTTTGAATTGGATCAACCAACAATCCCTTAATTGATATTTTTCTTTATTCTCATTACTTGTCTGCTTGATATCGTACTGATGTGTAAGCTAAGAGAAATTTTGTCTTGGTCACTGGTAGGACTTCAAGGATTAAAACGGGGGATTTTATTACACTGCATGTAATGATTAAAGTATTCTTATGCTTTCAAATTTAAAAAAAATGTGATGAGAATCTGCATGTTAAGAAACAATTACAATGGAAAAACCTGTTGCTGGAAGCTTAATATGTCTTTAATGTTTAAATTTTCATGGGAAATGCTTTTCTTTGAAAGCGGGGATACAGAGGTTTTAGAGCTGTTAGAAATAACGTTAAAAACAGTGTTTTGCGAGTAATGAAAGCAAATTGACAAAATTATAATGGTGAATTTGCTTTGTTAACAACTGGGTTGAAAATCTATTCACTAAAAAGGAAACCACCGTAAAGATAAAAAAAACTGACGTTTCGAGCGTCTTTTCGTCGGTTTGGGACCCTTAACGGTGGCTACGATAAACGTTTCGCATCTCCCGGTTATTCGACACTGCGACAACAGGTCAACTTCCCACCGACGCAAGCAAACCACATAGTTTCTTTGAATAAACTAAGCAACCGACTTTATTCGATTGAAAATTGATTGATATTTTTCTCAAGAATTTCACTGGCTAGATGGATTCTGTTTCTAAAGGGGTACTTCCTTCCAGCTTACCATAATATTTTACAAAAAACCATTAATACTGCCTCAAAGAGCTATCCTTCTACTCATGTTCTATATGGAATACTTCGCTGAAATAAAAAGTTTTGGTCATGAGCGAGCGGAAAGTTGTAGTGTACTTCCGGAATACTTTTGAGAAATAAATTTGCTGTAAATTGAAAGGTCAATATCTCCCATGTTATGTCGATTGACAGTGAACTATTTAACTTGGATGTAGAGCTCTTATAGCAGGTTCGACAGGAGAAGTAAAAAAATGGGCAACTTCTTACCACGAGAGGAAAAAATTATACAAGTTGCTTAGGTTTGACCTTTGTACGACTATTAACCGCTTCTAGCACGAACAATAGCAAAGGAAAACATTTTAAGTTATCGTTAATAATCGTGGCAATGTTAGCATGTTTTGCTTCTAAACAGCCATTTACTGACTTTACTTCTTTATTTATACTTGCAATATCGTTTGAACCCTCGAAATAAATCCTATCTTAGTCACAAAGGAACCGCGCTCTTGTAGGGATACATCACGCACAATACGCGACTTTGCTAATATTGGGTCAGAATGGGGTTTAGCCGAGCATATGCCAGGTCGCTCAAGGCGCACGTTGTTTCGTGCAGCCTCGATGTTTGTTGTTGTTTTAGGAGATGCAAAGCCAAAAAAGACTTGCTAGTGACTATGAAATATACATGGTGTGCCTACCGTTTACTGGCATAAATAACTGAAAACAAAATCTAACATAACAATCCTATCTTGTTTATTTATGATTCTATAAGCTGTTTCGATTATTATATTACGCCTGGGTGTTACTTTTTGACACGAGCTCAGGTTTTGGGTTGTGTTTCCCCTCCCCCATTTATGTCATTAGTTAGTCACGCAATATTTGATACCGACAAAAATTAAAATTTACCCTGTAGAAAGATTTTTTATGTTGAATAGAAAATATTAGAATATGTGCTTTTTGTGGTCACTAATCGTTGTTTCTGTGACAGCGAAGCAGTTAAAAGCGGGTTGTTGCTTCAACGCTATTGAACTCTATCGTACTCAGACAGGAGAGCAAAGCATGATGCTCTGGGAAAAATAATTTTTTAGGGGCCTTTACATGATATCGGAATAAGTGTTGTTCAAGAACGAGTTCATACCGGTTGCCACATGGTACCAGAGTAAGATTTATTTGAAGTTAGTCATTTCTGAATGAGCTTATCGGGGTTTTCATTCCAAAACGATACACCCATTCTATTTGTATGAATCCTCTTTAGGAGCGAAGGAAGCATAAAAAAAGATAGAGAAGAACATAAGTACTTGTTTTTACAGGCTTAATTATCTTGCATGTAAACACGGTATGAAATTCATTTCGTTCCGGACCGAAACTCATTTCGGAGATATGTAAAAGGTCGGGGGTGACTGGGCAAATCACTTTTTTTTTAATGGGGGGCAAATCTTTGTCTCTAAGTGCTGACCAGTGGGAAGAAGGCGATTGGAAATGGGTGAGGAAGCTTGTCGTACCTTTAAGGGGTCAAAATCAGCGATCTGGTACCTTTATGAACATTTTGCATGTAAAATCAATAAAACTTACTCAAATCCTGTGTGTCCGTTGAAGTTTCGGCGATTTATGCCGTTTTAAGCTTGCTTTACCATCACTGTTATTCATGTCAAAAGACGAAGTCAAGGCTGCACACTCCGGATTTGACCGTTGTCAACGCGCAGGTGGTTTGCACACCAAAAATCCTGATCGGCACCTCGACTTAATCTATTGTCTTGATCAGGTTCCGGATTCCTACGTCAAACTTGCGAAAAGCTACGATACCTTAATATTGATCTTAGGTTCGTACTTGAAAATTTGTTCTCTTTTAATATAAGCTTTTCACCATGATTTTAAAAGAAATACTCCATCCCCAAAGTTCCCAAAATGAAATCTTAAATCATTTATCTTTAAACTTTGCCACTCTTAGCTTTTCTATGATTCGCTTCGTGGTCAATTTCACTGCATCTCTTCTTCTTCGATAGCATTTTAGCGAAAATAATCCAAGCTTAAGTGCTCACAGCAAACTCCGCAGAGTATTCAAATTTTGTCCGTTGTTTATCTGTGTAAGTTTCACTTCGTTGTCTTATCGGTTGATCAGGACAATAGATTAAGGCGAGGTGTCTCTGTGGAGATGGGGTAAGTATTGTATCTTGACCGACTACTCGCGACAGAGAGAAAATTGACTTTGTACCCAAGTTTCTTCCACATAGCCAGAAAGAATTGAACTTGGAAATTCAGGTAGAAAACGTTTGTTTCCAGCGAAATGCACGGGGAGTTTTGGTATTGACACATGTTCCAGGGTGCAATAATCTTAGATCGTAAAATGTGGCTGAGAAAAATGCCGATCGAGAGGATCATTAAGCGGATTTTGGGGATGAAATATTATGATTTGCTGTATTTATGAAACTTTTCTCGGGATCACTTACTTCTTGCGGGAATCGACCGTTGCAAATTACAAAAAAATTGTCAGAGTTGAACCAGCGTATTAAATATCTGACGTCACGCGACCCAAAGGGTTGTCTACTTGTGGTAATTCAAATTTCGCATTTCATTAGTTAGAGTTGCTAAGATTAAGACATTTGTCATATGCAGAGGCTGCCGAATTGAATAACAAAAAAATTCTCAAAAAGACGCCGTGTATTTCCAGCCAGAGGACAATCATGAAACGAGAATGAGAGAAAAAATTTAAATTAAAAAAAACTTGCAGGTTCAAACACGATTGGAAAATTACTTTCCTTTTTAATTTCCTATGCTAAACAGAGGAGGTTGTAACGTTAGGGAAAAACTGTGGGGCAAGTAATCATACCTGGTGACTTTAAGAGAAGATATAAGAGAAGCCATACGATTCTGGTGGTTGTATGACTGACTCGATGTTCTCACGCGTATACTCTTCAAACGAACGATGATGTCTTTAAACGCGAAGTAGTTTACTGTCATTTCTTTCACTTTTGGCTCATTTTCTCAAACCGAAATCATCTTTCACGCTCAATACAATATAACTTTGACTAATGCTGACATCATACACTTCATCTGAAGAAGAAAACATTTCCTATCTTCGAAAATTTGCTCAAAACATCAGGAACAAAAACGAAGGTCCTCAGCTACTTAAAGATACCGCTGACTAGCATGCGTGTTGATCGCTTTGCAAGTTGTGAGAACATCGTCCCTAGGTTCCAGACCTCGTCAATTTTTCCCCCTCCCTATCCCCCGAACTGGTCTCTTAATCCCCTTGAAGAAAGTCTTCTACAGCCAGTGCGGAAGAGTTTTACTACAGTTTTGAAAAATAAACTTACAAGAGCTCCGCTTTAGGCTAGGCTAAATCTATTTATTATTACGTCTCTTACCCTGTCTTGTTGTATTCCACCGGCGTTTGAACTATTGATAACGTAAATAAATAGGAAAGCCTCCGGAAGGTATTCTTTTACCATGTCATCCATGATGGCAGATTCGCCGATGCCAGGGCTGTCAACTATGACGATTCCTTCCTGAAAGATTTCAAAATCCAGGATATAAGAGCTCACTTTCTAAATTATCCCTAGCAATAATTACCCAAGACCTTGGTCATCAGTATCTGCGGTAGGTAATCTTCTGCTTTTGTTGGCTAGAATTGTAGAAGTCCTTGCTTCTTCATTAAGAACATTTTGACGCTTTCTCAATCCAACTCCAAAAGTTGTCTTGAATATAAAAATCATGATAATATATCGCACCCTAAGTAATCGATCACTGACCTTCAGCAGGCTGTGTGGCCAAAACAATTCAATTTTCTCGTAATTTGAGCCCCTTTCTCGAGATTCTTTTAAGTGCACAAAGGATGAGATCTGGCTAGCGATCTTAGCTGACTTGTCAAGGTAGACCGTCTTTGTCTCGTGATTCCTGTCTTTAAGGTGCGCAACTATCTTGGGTGTATCTCCATATTTAAGTTCACAGATGGTGGATGTGGTGCTGAGAGTAGAGCTGGGAAGGAGCTGCTCCCCAAGTATTAGATTCAACAAGGTACTTTTTCCTGAACTAGTCTCGCCTGGAATGAAAAGCAATTTTTTCAGTCTGTTTAGCTCCTCTAAATAAGATTTTCATAGTTTGACCTACGAGAAAAAAAACTGTGGTATAATTTGAAGCCCAGAACTATTAAGGCTGTTCTAGAGCTTTTTTAAGCTGTAGTATAGCTGTACAAACTACGTGAAATCTGATTACTCTATCCAATTTCTAGAAACAAACCCTATTCAAAACTGTATGTAAACTCGTGCTCAGATTCTACCGTGTAACTGTAACTTTGAAAGGTCTGGGTTCGAGAATAAGGCTTATGTCCTTTAAGTAGAGGATCACATTTTCAACCCACCTTGGTTGTCCATATAACCCCCAAAAGTCTCCATTTAACGGCTCGCAGAATTTACCTACCTGCAACGAGAACAACGTATTCTTTCCTCTTCAGACTCCGTTTCTGAGAAGAAATTTTGTCGAGTAAGCAATTATGACTAGCTTCGAGGAAAACAGCGAGTTTTGGGGAAACAACCATTATTTTTCGTTGGGCCGGTCATTAAGGGTTTTATGATACCTCAACTCTGATCTGTGACAGACCAATAACCGCAAAAAAAAAAAAAAATTTTAGAAAAAACTTTTCTCAATTATTCAATTGAAGAAGGGCACTTGTTTATTTAAAATTGCTCGAAAAGATCAAAATAACTTTAATTTTGAAAAAAATTTTATATGTGCTTTTCACAAAAATTCAACAAATCAAATAAATCAAAAAAACAAGTTTATTTAAACCCTACAGATCTCATTGTGCGTTTCGTAAAAACAACCGCGTTCAATTAAACAACAATATTAAAAATGCTTTTAAGGTCGTTTGCATGCTGTTCAAAGTCAACTTTTAAGTGCTTTATTTTCTTTTGCTCTTTATTTTCTATTACCTCTTTTATGCTCTGAATTTACTCTCCTCTTTATTGTGCTACCTAAGAACTGCATTTTTCTAAGCTATTCAGAGTGAAAAGAACTCTTCGTTGTTCACAATTATCAACAATTAAAGCGAAATCGGTAACTTGAACCAAATGCACCATGGAAAACCGCTGTTTAGTTAATTGCGGCGTCACGACATATCGGCAAGCTACCTTTGACACCTTTGATAAAGTTATATCCATTTGTTGATCGGTTAATTCAAAGGTTTTAATCAACGTGCGCTGGTTTAAGAGTTGTAGGTCAATGCAGTGATTTCTTCAGAAGTAGTCACGGAAGAGAAAGCTGATACGAGGTGGTTCAAAGAACCATCCGAAAGAATCCATATTATAGATAAGACAACTTTTAACTTACGAACGTCGCTGTATTTATGTTCTGACATACACAAACTAAAAAGATATAGGCATCAAGAGGTAATCAATGGAAAACTCTACAAAGTGTTTTAAACTTTAAACTTGGAGTAACATTCCTGAATCGAGCGGCAGCTTCATTTCATCAACAGCTCAGTTCATAAATAATTTTGTCTGAAGCAGCCTTTAATTTTATCTAAGGTTTATTTCCTGATCCGTGACACTTAGATGAATTAACCTCGCATTGCTTATCGTCCTTACCTCTCTTGCTGTCCAACTGGATTTTTTCGGCAATATTGTAAGTTTCTGTTTCACCGCGCTTTTCATTTCGTCTAATGTTTTCAAGCCTTTATGCGAAACTCCCAAACGCGTCATTGTTTGAACCATAAATACGATGTCGTCGATCTCGTCTACAGCTGTTGCTGACAGATCCATCTCGCATATGCAAAGAAATAACTGTTTTGAGAGCTGTAGAAAAGTAAGATTCACGATGGAAATCAGTCAATCAATCCATATCAATACTACGGTGCGAGTTCTTTGAAATAGATTTGTCAATGAACAGTCTAGAAGTTTCAACGATAACAACCGCCTCTGCTCAACCGTGAAAACCTAAATCCGAGATAAAGCAGTAGCGTAAATATAAAACCCCGTATATGATAAACAGCCCAACAGAACGTTACCTAGAAGGTGCATAGCTACGTCCTTCTCTCTTTTCTTGAAACTGTTTATTGTTCAAGACATCCTAAAGAGCGTACGCAACATGAGTGCGTCGATAGACATTGATGAAATCGACGATATTGGGCGAATGTCTGAGCTAATGAAGTCTCGAGGTATATCGACAGAAGGGCTGCAGACATTAGACCAGATGAAACAGAGGGCAAAAAAGGCACTCAGAATATCAGAGGAGGTAAGGATGTAAATATATACGGCTGTGTATCGATTCAAACTCAGGGTACACTGACATTGCCATGCTGCTGCAAAATTATTAAGAAATGAACTTAAATACCGGGCCTATGGTAATAAGAATCGGTGAAGTTATCGCCCGAAATTATCAATCAACTGTCATGCGGCCGGCCGTACATTACAGCAATCTAAAGCGAAACCAATAGACACCAATAATTTTATTAGTTGTCGAATGGTTGTCAAACCAAACATTCTCCAGATTTAGAGCTTATTAATTAAACTACTAAAGCTCTTTGTTTTACGTTTATGATTTCGTTATTTCAAGCGTAAATCACTCAACGAAATCACCTAGAAGGGTGAAACTTGATAATCCGCTTAGCACGGTTCAATGGACTCCCAAAATTGTATTCAAAGCGAATATGTTTAGAATGTCAGGCGTACATATTAATATGTACAATAAACAATAAACAATATTGTTTCTCCTCCCTCGCCAAATTTGTAAAGAAGAACTTCTTTAACGAGTGCCGGTTGGACTTGGGCTCAAACTCCGATTTAGAGCTATGATGATAGGCTGTTGACAAATTTATCAGGACTCTCATCCGACGTTATTTACCGCTTTATATTGGCACTAACCGCCCTTCTCTTACAAGTAAATTCCTTTCATAGTTTCTGCTCCTTTGATAGAGGGAACCTCACCGTTTTTCTGGGTGGAGGATGGGTGGGAGATAACCCATCGATATTTTCACTTACACCGATATGTGATCTTGCGTGATAAAGGAAGGGGGGGGGGAATTGACGAGGTCTGGAACGCGGGAACAATGTTCTCACAACTTGCAAAGCGATTAATACGCATGCTAGTCAGCGGTATCTTTAAACAGCTTAGGACCGTTGTTGTTCCTGATGTTTTAAGCAAATTTTCGAAGATAGGAAATGTTTTCTTTAGATGGATTGTATGATGTCAGCGTCAGTTGAAATTATATTCTATTGAGCGCGACTTATAATTCCGGATTACGAAAATGAGCGAAAATTGAAGGAAACGACGGTAAATTACTTCGTGTTAAGACATCACTGGTCGATTGAAGTGTGTACACGTGAGCAACGACAACCAGAATCGTATGGGCCGTTCTCTTATATCTTCTCTTGAAGTTGCCAGGTATGATTGCTTGCCCACCGTTTTTCCCTAATCTTTCAACCTCCTCTGATAAGCGTAGGAAATTCAAAAGAAAGGCAATTTTCAACTCGCGTTTGAACATGTAATTTTTAAAAACTTTTTCAATTTGGCCATTCTTGTTTCATGATTGTCCTCTGGGTGGAAATACACGACGTCTATTATTTCATTCGGTAACCTATGCTGCAGCTGTATATAATGTGGATGTCTTCAAGAGAACTTGAGATAATACCTGGATTTCACTTCCACATCATATTAATAAATTCCAAACATCAATCAAGTTTTCTCTTTAGTTTAAAAGTTGAGTTGATGTTGTTATTTGCTATATTAAATAGGTTCAAAACCTTTAGATGGTATTTTCTCATATTTGCTATTAATTGAATTTACTGGAAGGTGGAGTTGTTGCAACATGTTAACATGAAATTCAATAATGAATTTTATTGATATGTAAAAAGCTTTCATTTGACTAATACTGGCAAGTCTTTGTATTATATTTCAACCCAACCATTTTCCACAACTTGTAAACACCATTACAGAGAAATTAGTCAGGGAAATGGAAAATTTGTGGCGTGTACACCATGTTTGAACTGCCATTTCCATAATAAGCTGAAAGGATTGAGGAGGGTGTATGTGGGAATAGGCTCTCTTGTCTGTATCATTAATTTGCTAATTTCCCCTGTTGGCAATGTTTTCATGAGGTTGGGCTTTCAGAGCAAAGGAACTGAGGATTTTCGTAGGCAATAACTTTTTTCAAACCTGGAAACTATCATTGTGAAAGCCATACTTGTTCTTGGTAACTCATTCTTATTCTGATGAACTAGTTTTACGAAGGATAAGTATTTTATTCCATAAATGTGATACATAGGCTGTGCCAAAAAATTTAATTTGACTCTAGTTTTATAGCTAATACCAATCCCTACACATAAAAAAAAATGTTAGGAGGATCAGAGGAAAAAAAATTTTAAAAAATGTTAAAAAATTAAAAAATCTGACCGATTGACATGATGAGTCTTTACAGTGTTGTTGTCACACAACCACTCGTTCGCGTCTGAAGCTTTTATAGTTATTGGCGATGTTTACCTTGCTTTATTCGCCATGAGATCCTTATAAACTTTGTTGGAAGAAAACAAAATGGTTTTTGACTAAAGATCTTTTACTTTTCTCTATGTTTAACTTCTAATAAGTTTTACTGGATTGAAGACCAACTCGCCGATGTCTCTACTCGATTTTATATGTCGGTGAGTTGGCGTTGGCGAGTTGAACCGTCGGCGACTTGATCGTAATTCACTTAATTGTTACAGTGGAGTTCACTCCTTTTTGAGGCAATCTTCAGCTTGATCATCCTGTTACATGTGAAAACATCATCATCAATGTTACATTTGAAGGCATAAGAAAATTTTAATCATTACGATGTAACGAAATCTCCCATTTTAACCCTGTTAGTCCCATTAGTGACCGAGACAGAATTTCTCCTAACATTATCAGTACGATATTAAGCAGACAAGTAATGAGAATAAAGAAAAATATCAATAAGGGGATTATTGGTTGATCCAATTCCAAATTCCCCAACCTAACATCATAACATCGTAAATTGTATGGCAGACAGTATGGAGAATTCCCCATGAAATCTGGATAGTTAAAGAGTTAAGACACATAATGTAGTCATATGTACCAGAAAGACAGCGAATAAATGTAACATACTCAAGTAAAGAGTTCTTATGGACAATGAAGTTTCAAACTCATTGAAATTAAGTTGACTTCATGATTCAGATCTCAGTTAAAGAAATGTGTAATATCTCTTTACATGGATGAAAAGAGAATGCCATTTATGAAATTTAAAATAGTAAATGCCAATAACTTAAAAATAGAACTTAAAAAACTACTAAAATATGGCATATCTATTCACTGAGATTTTAATCATTAGCTGGCACACAGAGATATAAAAGAGGCTTTGTGGAAACCAGGGCAATAAAATAGAGATTCAGGAGAAGCATATGACATTAACTAGTTTACTGATGTTCTCACCTGAATTCAAACTGGAAAGAGAACTCTGCAAAACTTCTGTTTTATCTTATTTGCAAGCAGGTTAAGGAGGAAATTAAAGGAATGGTTACATGTTATATAAAAAAGACCCTTAATATGTTGACAAAACTTCCCTAAATTATGGTCCCGATACGAACTTATCGTTCATAATCACTTTTGAAATTCCGAGACTTCACCTCAATGAATTTAACAGAAAAAAATCAGGAAGGTTACAGAAACGGATTCTCGAAGACGGCTCTTGAATTAAAAAACTGTAAACAACAATTATTTACGCTAACCATGTGCTTACCAGCGTGCTTGTGGGCTCAAATTGCCGGGACCCCGTTTAATTACACGATCACAGCTCGGACGCTTCTTGCAAAATGTGATGACTATCAATTATAGAGATTGATTCTTCAGTTTCCAGCATTAGGAAAAAGTTATCGTATCGCAATCATTTTCATCATGACCTGAGCACTAAGTACGCCTCAAGATGTTGAGCGAAGAGAAAGTGGCTCCGTGTTTTGTGAGACAAACCATTTCCTGAAGTTCGAACGAATCGAGTAGAAAGCATGAAAACGTAGCGCTGAAAAGTACCATGACTAAACAATGAAATTCACTCAGTAGGACTAACTCCATTTTACCTGTGAGTTTGTTTGCACCACACATTTGCGGTCCGTAATATAATTCTCAGATGTTTGAAGGGTTCTCACATGATAAAATTGTCAAACTCAAATTATCGCGTCAGACTTAATATAAACATGAACATTGCTGACTCAATCAAATTTTATTTCAATTTTGGGAAAGGCCATTACTTCGTTATCAGGGTAAAAACACTTCGACAAAGCGCGATTTTTTAAAATGAGTAGAGTAATTCCTGCAATAGTTAACTGAAGAAAGAAAGAAGTAGACACTTGCGCTCGCCGTTCGCTTTCATTTGAAAACTTTCTAGGTAAAAAAAATCTGTAAGATAACTTCTTTTCCCTTAGCACCACGACTGAATAAGACATTCCAGACGACAGGACTAGAAATACCTTGAAGAATCCAAACACTTTGAAATGTTATTCCACAGATGGCCCAAGCTCACGTCTCGAGAAAAAGCTAACGATTAATTCATGAAAAAATCTAACATAATACTTTTACCTTGTTTATTTATGATTTTATGAGCTGTTACGATGATAACGTTATGCTCCACCACATTCTAGCCAGATTTGAGTTCCAGTTTTTATATCTTCTCCATCTTATTTTATCAGTTGCATGACAAGCGTGACATATAAATTCAAAGATGTATCAATCTCCGAAATACCAAGAGATGGATTTTTTTTCCTCTTTGCACGATATCTAGAAAAACCTTTCAGGAACTACTGCATTTAGAAAACTAAAGATCCATCAATGATTCCTTTGCCGGCCGAAGTCAAAGTCAATTTGATTGACAAGCTATATACTGATTTAGGTAATTATCTGTTGTGTAAGCGTCTCATCTTACATGCTAACATGGAAATTTGCTTTTCATTTAAATCGTTCGCTGGCGGAATTTGTGGGTTTAGTTATCGAGAAGACCGAGGTTGCGTATCTCAAGTCGTTTCCTTGCATAGTTTTAAAAAAGACATCTCAAGTCACTCGCGGAGTTGCAAGTTTTCAGATTCAGAAAATGAAGTTGATCTTATTTTGTCGCTTGCCGGCATCTTCGAGACGCTAACAAGTATCGATAATTTTAAAATTTGCCCCACACATAGATGTTGGGTAGAGTTGTGGTTCCAATAGTAGATGTAGAGTGCCTAAAGAGGTGTCCGGCTATTGCAATATGGTAAGGATAGGGAAATTGGCAAGCGTGTATCATAGGTTGTACTCAAGATGTCTGGAAAATTCATACAGCCTGGCTCCGGTAAGTAGGCTACTTACCACCGTGAGAAAAATTACGTGTCCCCTCAGACTTAAATCTCGATTGGGAATTGGTCAATAGGGTACCAAAAATCCAGACAGAGGCGGAGTTTTCTCTACTAACGTCTGAACACTTTGTTGGCTTCCCGCCGTTTGGCGAGACGCATAATTATACACACGGTGGTAAAGTGCCCTTCCACACAAGCTACTAGACGCTGACAAAACTTGTTTCTCTTCACCCAAAATCACATCAAAATTTGTCCTTGCTAAATTTCAAGTGTGCTGCACGCATCATCACCCCCGGCGGATACATTTACATAACAGGGCGGGGGTGCGCGCCGGGACTTTTGAAAACGACCGTTATAAAATTAATTTAAAAGGTACCTGAGTCTTATCTGTGTGGGAGTGGCAACAATTGATGTCTACCCCTAAAAAGTACCAATTCAAAAGCAAAAAATCGAAAAATCCCAAAAATAAAAATTCCTTGATCGATGTGCTCTAGAAGCTCAAGTCAGATCTTGAAAATCGTCCTAGTAATGCTTATTTCAGGTATTTTATTGAGCGAAAAAGACCCTAAAACGTACCAGCTAGGTCGCTTTTTTTTTTTTATTCCTAAAAGGTACGAAGAGCATCCTTACCCATTTCCAATCGCTTTCTCTCCCCCGGTCAGCACCTAGAAACAAAGATTTGCCTCCTGTGAAAAAAAATAAGTAAATTTTGCCGGACTTCGAGTTCGTCTCAAGATAGAACAACACAAATACACAAGGAAACTTTTGCAGTAACTCTTTAACATCCTTTTGTCTTTTAAAAGCTCGAAGCTCAGTAGAGTCTGTCAAATCGGTCATTGTTAAAACTTTGTTTTGATGTTAACATTGGAAAAGTATGTCGGAAAAAATATTCACCAAAAAAAAATATTTCTTTGCCAGCTCCAGTAATGACAGGGGATTAAGTTTAGATGATAAAAAAAAAGGATTATGTTGACAGAAATACCGGAGGTCGAGTTTATTCGCTACATGAGGTCACAACTCGGGTAATATTCACAGTGAAAATTTGCATATTTGAGCGGTCGAACGAAAAAAATCATTTCTCGAAAAACTAAAATATATTTTCACAAAAAAACTACACCACGCTTATTAGGACGTATTGGGCTACAAAACATGAAAGTAAAAGTGAAATCGAATTTTAGGCGAATTGCCACAATATTTCAAATTTGTGCGATGGATGCTAACATCCTCTCTTAAACACCGTAATGATGAAATTATCTTTCTTCTTTGGACTGTTAAAAAAAATATCAAGCACGAACATCTCGCGAGTCGTTTTGTGGCCAACCTGTATTTAACGGTCACTCCGCCATTCTTCCTGGGTGACCGCTAAATACAGGTTCGACTGTAGAATAAAATGTGCATGCAAGGAATAGAAAGCTCGTGCCTACGCTAGCTTGATCAGTCAACACACTAAAGTAATTTTTGTCTAATATTGAGTGACCGACATGGAAAAATAGTATAGCAAGTCTAGCAAGTTTTATTGTCATATTGATAATTTTGCAAATAAATTTATCTAATCAATCCATGCTCCATTTAATAGGCCTTTTTAGCGTTGACAGAGGCCAGGAATGAAGTCGAGAGAACACAAAGGCTCTTGCTAGAATTATGCATGAGCACAGAGGCCTGCCTAAATAGGATGAGTGACAAGGACTACGCTCTTCTGGAGATGGGAGTCAAAAATCTCAAGACCCAATTGGTCTACCACAAACAGAGATTAGAGAGAGAAGAGCACGTCGTGCTTATTGCAGGTGGGTTGCTGAAAAAAATTTTGAAAGCTCATAATTACGTAGAAGTTGTAGCATGCGCGCGTGTCGTAACTTACGTTTCCTGCCAGCAGTTCCATTCGCCCTAAGGCAGACTGTCTGCCACAAGACGACGCCACTAGCTTGCAAAGGAGTAGCAAGAGACAAGGCACGAATTACTTGACGGACACTACTTATGTTGCACAGTTTCAAGTCAATGTCTACCAGACTTCAATTTAAATTGCAATATATTCTCCGTTTTAATTATGCCTTCGTATCCGTCATAGCCAATATTTTGGATTTAATCGTGTCTAATCTGTAGAATGAATTTTCTCGGCTTACCATGAAGTGAGACTCATCATACAGTAAGTCGTGTGAAGCTCAATTTTCTTTTACAAATAAGAAACAAGGGCCGTGCACCGGCTCATGTTGACAGACGTCACGCAGCGTTTTCCATACTCGTCTCCTCATTCGTCGTAAGAGGTTTGCTCAACCCGTCAGGCCAAGAGAGCAACTTTTAGACTGATTTCACTGAGAAGTCAAATCTTTCACATGAGTTCATACCTTTACAGAGTATTTGAGAAATTTGCTTTTCCCGAGTGATAAACGATTTGATGTCGTACGGCCAAAACGCCGACGCTATAAACTCGAAAGACAGAAACGTTGCATATTATTGTTGTTGTTTTGGTTGTTGTTGTTTTCTTGTTTCAATTTAATTAATTCATCTTGATCACAAAACATTTTCTCTTTCAGAAATGTATATACTGTGATTTCTTAAACTAATAAAAACTGACGACGAACATTTTTCATCATATGTATCATCCCTTTTATGAGCGGGAGATAAGTCAAAGTAGCTCCCATGTTTTCCAGACTTTGCGCTTCAGTGGAGTAATTTTTTTAAAAAATTTTTTGTCATAGTAACGCTTCTTTTGTCTTTAGGCGAACAGGGCTCGAGGCAGTTTCCCTTTAACGTCTAGATTCTTGTCATTTATGGTCGTAAAAACGATGTAAATTTTTGATGAGAACTTGTTTTTCATCTTTATGAGAAATTGGCACTTTAAACTTTACCAGGACTTATCGTAGATAATGATCTGGAAATTTAAACACAACCAATTTCAATTTTTTTTTTAACCTGGTGATTTTTCTCGACAGGTGAAAGAGATCCGAAAAAAAGCACGTTGCTGAGTCTGATTCTTGGGGAACAACTTCTCCCTGACTCTTTTCTTAGCACCTCTTCCATTATTTGCGAACTAAGATATGGAACAACCCCTAGGCTGATAGCACACTATAAAGACGCAGATCCTGAAACAGGCCTTTACTCAAAGACTATCCAACTTAGCGAGATGGCTGTGAACTCTCGACAAATCTTTCTTCAAGAAACCTCCTCGTTTTTCCCTAAGCAAGATCTGCAAGGTCCAGTTATTGATAAGATCGAGATCTTTTGGCCAAACAACCTGCTTAAGGTTGGTGATTAGCAAGCTGAGGACATAAATTGTAAATTGTGAGCCGAGGGTTGCTAAAAGTTACCATCAAGTGTTACTCTTGGCAAATTAGGTCTTGTAATGTACTGTTGATTGACGGATTATCTTTGACACCTAATATATGTCGTTTTTGCTCGCAATCTAACCCTTCAGGAGCACAGTTGTAGCTTGATTTCTTTATCAGAAAAAAAGTCTATAGATATTTCAACAACAAAAATTACAAAAGTAGTAATTAAAGAAAGAGTCATTTCCCCTGTTTTAGGATTCACTTACCTCTCATCGTTATCTCTCTTAGGAAAGAATCGTCGTGGTTGACAGTCCAGGATTTGAAAAATCACCCATGGTGGACGAGAAAGTAAAGGCGTCCCTTTCTGAGGCTTTCGCAGTTATATGCGTCATTGACAGTTTAGCACAGCAGCAAAGGGTAAGCTGCATGGAGAGGTGGAGTTAACGCACCTGCGGCGTTTGCCATAGCAGGGATTTTATTTATTTAACTTTGCGGTAAAACTGTAAACTGACTAATACAATTATCCCGCGGCAGACGAATTTTAAACCGCCCTTTTATTACGTATTGGACTAAATTGATGAGCAAAACTCGCCAGATAGAATCTAAGATGGGAATGGTAAGCTATTTTCATATAACTTTTATAACAATCAATAACGTTATTGTTAACGTTGCCACCATCATCAGTGTTATTAAAATTCTCATCATCGTCATAATAACTCCTAATTACTTTTGTCATCGTTATTATTACCATGGTCGTTATCATTATCTTTAAGATTATTTTACTGACCAGAGCAACCATTCATAACAGCTTTTGCTTAGGATATTCCCCGGTTAAACATGTTCTTATTTTTAATATCATTATTATGATTATTATTATAAAGATTATTATTATTATTACCCTCGAGGGAATTTTCAACTCCATGTGTACATTTGTCCTCATAGATGGAAGAACCAATCAAACAATGCAGAAGAGTATGTCTTGACCATCTAGAAAACTCGTCAATTTTTCCTCTTTTCTTATGTAAGAATTGGGATCAAGTATCTCAAAAAGAGGCTGATTCCATCAAAAATCACGTCGTCGGAAAAGTCAGAGAATACTGGCCTGAATTAGACCCAAATTCTCAAATCATTTACATTTCATCGCCTCACGCCACAAACGATGGAACAGTTGTCGCGGAGTCTGCGTTGCTGATGGATGCTATTAAATCCACCACCTTGAAAAACAATAAAGCAACGCTGCAAATGCAGTGGAGGTACGTTCTGTAGAGGGTGTTAATGGTCCTAATTTACCTCTTAAGGTTACTTCCCATCTTCGGAGGCCGAAAAATTGATTTTTGTTCTATTTGACTAAACTGAATTCAAATATTCAACCTAACGTTTCCATAAAAAAAATTCTGAAATCTTTAAAAAACCGAGTTATTTAGAAAAACTTACTTTCAAATAAAAGTTAATATTTCAGGAATGTGTTAAAACTGACTACCTTTATTCATTACGAAATCACTATCTCGTGCTTATGCTAATTGCTAGTTGTGTGTGCTGTGTGAATGCGAAGGTGACAATTACATGGTGCAACAAAAACAACTGAGTTCTTTAGAAAAAATCAACTTTTGATAAAATTTAACTTTCATATAAAAGTTAATAAATCAGGGACGTGTCACAATCTCGGACCTAAGCGAATCCCCTGGGGAAATTTTCGCGGCAACCGCTCATGTTGAGGCTCAATTTTCTTGTTATTTCCACATTTTGTTTACATCGCGCACAGGCAGAAAACGGCCGCGTGACGTCAGTTATCTGATACGCTAGGTGAACTCTTACATTGTTTGTAATTTGCAACGATCGATCTGGGCAAGACGCAAGTGATCCCCAGAAATGTTGCCTAAATACCGCAAATCGTGACGTTTCATCCCAAAAATCTCTGCGATGACAGTCAGATAAATAAAGGTCATTTACCTCTGTTTTTCATGTTGTTTCGAGTGATTTTGTGGACGGTTAATTTCCCACTTTGCACTGAAACCCCTCCGAAGACAAAGGAAAAACACAAGGCGTGCAACTTCCAGGACCGACCGGGCCGAAAGCCTCCAGAACTTCGCCGAATTTCTTCCGCTTCCAAACGTTGCTCACCTCCCAGCTTCGGGTACGTTATAAGTCGATAATCGTGTAAGAACCAAGCCGAAAATCAGTGCAGTTGCCCGCCTCTAACCATCTCAAAAGTCTGCTCGATTTCCGACATTCGCGGCTACACGCAGGCTACGAAGAGGTCGATCATAAGCCTTCGATTAGCCGTATAAAATTCAAATTAATCACTAACTGAGCTCAGATTTCACCCGACCCTCCCCACGCCAGTGCACAGTGTGTACCGTCTTTCGACCGACACGTTTTTTGTTGATTGATGCCTTGTGAAGAAGAAGGTGCAACCATTTTGCTCGTGCTGCGGCATACAATACCCGACAAGTTCAATAGAAGAACCTTCGTTTGTTTCTCGCCTTACCGGCTCCTAACACTTTTTTAAAAGGAAAATCGCTTAATTTATATTTTTATCGTAAACTGCAGGTATTAAGCTTTCTTCAGATGTACAGTTTGTTGGGAGTTTAGTGAACCTAATACGCTTAAGAATTTTTTTCCCGAAGGACACCCGCGAAGGGGGGAAGTAACCTTAACCTAGCTGGATTTTGCATTTTCTTCGTGGTTAAGTGATGCACTCTTCTTATCCCATTACTGTTTTACTTGTGACTCCTTGTAAGAAGACCAGGTTATGTTTCCTTTATGTCTTGATCTAATAAGATTCATTCATGTGCACAGAGAAAATTGTAATTTTACACATACGTAAAGGCGTAGAAATTGTCGGGCTTACTTTTCTAGATGATTATTAGAAAGTGATTTATGGAGAAACTTGGGTAAAAGCCATATTCCCTAACGCCTCGATAAGCTCAAAATCGCCACAATAGCAATGAATTTCTTCCTAGTTTGTTATCCGATTAGTTTGTCTTAAAGTTTCACCCACATGGAATGATAAAGAATAAGTTCAATAAACATAGTGGTTAAAAATTAACTTGAAATTTGCATACTTTCATCTCTCAGGTGGCTTGATTTTGCCATTTCACGTATGGTCTACCACATGAAAATGGTTATGGATCTTCTTTGCCCATCCACCGATCGTAAGACCGTCTCTGAACGCTTTCATTACGCTGAGAGGCAGCTGTGCTCAGTTGAATGCGAGGTCCAGGAGAAATTCAGAAAACTGACAGACGATGCTGTCAGGGATCTATCTAACCACCTCCAAACTTGTGAAGTTATGGAACAATTTACTTCGTGGACGCTTGACGATATTCCACGCACTGGAGAAAGCTGGAAGGAAACCGAACAGTTTATCCAAGATGCATTTAAGGAGCGACTTCAGAACATGATTGCCGCGTGGGAAGAAAAAAACCAAATTTTATCCAGCACTCGCAGCTCTCTGGTCCAATTGTCCCACCAGCGATTTGATGAAAGCAAGAGTCTACTTCCATACCAATACCTAGAGAACCCAGTCATCGCGGATGGTGCCACTAGTAGATCAAATACTTGCGTGTCTTCAAATCACTTCGGCGCGGCCAAAAAAGTTATGATCGGGCTGACAAGTCCAATTTGGGTTCCATTTGGCCTAGTAGGTTTAGCTGTTAGTGTTCCAGTTGTTGGTGTCATGACACTTAAAGAGAAAGTAACAAATATGAAACGTTCAAGAAAATACGGAAAAGACAACAATAGATTCATCGTGCGAGCCTCCCAGAAATACCTTTGCAAAGTGGCTCAAGAGCAACAGCTTTCGTTGATCGTGGAAGAGCAGCTCAAAGATGTTCATGTTTACCGTACAAAAGTTTCATCTCGTTTGCACGAGCTCTTAGCCGCCGACAAAATACTATGTCAGCAGCTCAGAGATGAGACCCGCTCTAGAGATGAAATTAAAAAACACTATGGCCGTTTAGGAGAGATGAGTGTTAGAGTAAAGGAAAAGATGGCCCTCTTTTCCATTAAAGAATTACAGAGCATGGAAATAAGTTGTAATGACTTGAAGTGGGATCGAGACGATCCATCTTCACTTGTTGGAAATGGAGAATCCGCTTCAGTTTATCGGGGAACATTCAGGTTACCAGGACAGAGCGAACCAACACAGGTGGCTGTGAAATTGTGGAGTAAAGAACTAAACGAATCTACAGCGATTGGCTTCCTTTCTAAGACAGAAACACTGAGGTTAGTTATTCTTAATGTTTTTTTCAAATGAAAATTAATTGAATGTAATAAATAAAAGAGGGCTGTCTAAAGAAGAATTTAATGTGACTTGACTATGATAGAAATTTAGATGATTTAGGTAGATCGGTATGATAACATAGCAGTTGAAAAACGCCGAAATATTCGGGTACTTTAAAATCCAAACGAACTTGAATAAAGATAGATGTAACTATATTTTTTGCAGGAAGCTTGGCTTTTCCTTTATTGTCAAGTTCTTTGGGACAGCATTGCTGAAGGAAGGCGATCGATTTCGGGTGATCCATGTATTGGAATTGTGCGAGGAAAACTTGATGAATCATATTTTTCAGAATCCTGAAAATAAACCTGCATTTTCCAGAATAACCTCCGCCAAGAATAAGGTACTGTGCTGGGCAAAGGACGTAGCTGCTGCTATAGAGTTCATACACAACCAGGGTATTGTTCACCGCAACTTCAAGCTGGAGAAAATCTTGGTGAGTTTCGAATAAGTCTGAATTTGATTTTTACAGTTGCCTCGATCTCAGTCTGCATGTGAGGGTCAGTTCATCATTTATTATCTAATACGTTAATCAAATAATTAAGAGTTACAAATTAAATGTAATATTTGTTAAGATCCACTTGAGTACTCTTTAATCTATAGTTCACGGTGTCAAGTGACGAACTGTAAATGCTATTGGTCAATTTTGCAAGAGGGGCCTTGAAGCTCCTAAAATGTCCGAAATTATTTCCTGGACATAGTAACTGTGCTCATATCATTCACCTCTTTTCATAGCTCTCTCAAAAAAATGTCGTGAAGGTCTCTGGTTTTCGCCCTTCCGAAGAGGCTAAGGTCATCGCAGACGAGACAACGGGAACCAATGCATACCTTGCCCCGGAAGTGATCCTTTCCAAAGAACACGATACTAAGGCTGACATATACAGCTTTGGTGTAATGCTTTGGGAGATGTGGTATGGCAAGAGAGCCCTCCTTGAAATAGGGGGACATGTGCCGGACCAAGAGGCTAAGGGTCCAAGACCTTCATGTGTACAAGACGCGATCATGCCTCCAACTGGCTGGCGAGATCTAATGCAGCGTTGCTGGGATGGAAATCCCCAGAATCGACCAGATGCGGCAGAGTGTCACAAGCTACTGACGGAGCTCTCCCAAGAAGTTTACACACCACCTCTATGAACACTAGTTATTAGGTGATCATCTTAAACGTATTTCATATTTAAAGATAGAATTACTAGGCAACAATAGCAATTGCCAGTCTGATAACAAACTCGTTCTGATTGCTATAGAAAATAGAAGAGTGACATACAAGGAAACATGTATTATGTTAGAATACAGTACCTGGCAGACTGATGCCAGACAAGAAACCATTTGTAAAGGCAACAAGTATGATTTCGCATAAAAGCTAAAGAAAATGTTTTCTGCATAAAGGTAAATCTGTGTTTGAAGACCATCATAGCAATATACCATTTTTGCATTTAAAAAGGCAAGAGCAGGTTTTTTTTTTGTCATCACACGGTTTGTAACACATCTTCACAATCAGAAAACACATAAAAAAGGAAACGATTTCTTTTCTCTTTAGCACTTCAACTTTTCTTATCAATATAAAGGTCATTAGTATCGTTCTCAACATGAACAGCTATCATTGACGTTTTTTTCTGGATCACAGATATAATAATTGCATCATTACTACAGTTTTTGAGTAAGGGAACTTGCTAAATGAGTAAAATAAATCGATAGTACGAGTCATTTCAGCACTTTGAAATATAGAAACAGCGTAAATCTCTAAAGGTATAAATGGTGTGAGTAGAAAAACGCTCAGGGATCTTGGGAGCCGAGTTTCAAAACTGAGACGTGCACATTTGCATACGAAAGTGGTACGGTTTATATGTTGGTAAATGAAACGTTTATGACGGCCAATTCAAAGGTTTGCCTCCAACACCTCCTAATGATATACTTTTAATTATTGTTCGTTTTTGAACGATTAAAAGCGATTTTCGGCCAAGAAGGAAACTGTCAAAAAAAATTGAAGCACCTCGAAGACTACTTTCAGTATAAATTTTGGAGTGGGTCATTGACAATGAAAATCGCCGACTAAATTAGATCGACTCATCGACCCGAAAATTGATATCTAAGAAATTTCTAGCCAGGTTTTCAAATTAAAGGTACATCCCGTAACATCGTAACATCCCGGAGAGACTCAGCCGGAAATATGCATCTAAGTTCATTTTCGTGACTATGAAAAGTCATGTTCTTTTCAAAGACACGTCACAATCATTATTATCTTGTAATATAACATTTCTGTTATTTACATCCGCTGTCTAAGTTAAAATAAAGAGACATTAGCATTACGTCTCAGAAAAAAAAACTTTTTTGGCTTTTAGAAAGAGGTATACTTTGTCGCTATAGAACACGAAATCTTTATGCAGTGCTGTTTTTAAGGCGGAAGTCACATGGAAATTTCCTAATTTTTAACATTTGCCTACTAACTCCAAATATGGTCCACTCTTTAAGCGCGATCCACTGCGAGATTAGTACTCAGAAGGAGTATCGTCAGTGAATGCCTTCATCCTGGAACTTTCTCTCTTGACCTCTCGATAACCCGAGGAGTCATCAATGATACCGGGAGGAAAAATACAGTAAAAACTTCCTGGTTCTGCTGCCGAAACATTCCTTTACAAAATAACCCTGACCTGAGAACTCAGAAGGCTAGAGAGGCCAACACTAGCCAAAGGCACGAGGAGGCCTCATTGCCTCTCTTCTATCCAATTTTTTTAGCAGTAGAGAATTCTGGGTAGAACTCGTGTTGGCTTGCTTACCCTGACAACCCAACGGCATGCTTCGCACGCATGAAACTTTTTTGACGATTCACGTGGTATAGGGTTCCATCAAGAGAACATAAACCATTTATATTTTGCTGGTTCTAATCATTAAAAGAAATGATACTGCGAATGAATAGAGTAAACGGAAAAACAAGTCAGCAACGATAAAGAAAAATGCAGCCAAAGTTTGAGTCCTATTAAAGTTTGGGCTTGAAATAACGATTTGCCTAGGCTCAATTTCTGAGGACTTGCGATTTTTGGGATATATCGCTCCTCTTTGACAAACATTCTAAAAAAGACTATCATTGACTGTAATTAACAAAACGTCATTTCCCGTAACTTCCCCTATGTATCTATGCCTAGATTTGAATAATTCTTCTCGAAATTTACTTATTGCGTGTAATGATTAGCTATGATTCCACAATCGTCGAATAAGTAATTTCCGTTTTGAGTCAAGTGTCATAAGGTCAGTGTGAATTTTCACAGTAAATTCGGACTGGGAATTCTTAGGAATTCCCAACCATAACAACTCTGGTTCTAAAAACCTAGAAATTCCCAGATATTCCCAAAAATTCCCAGAAATTCCCAGAAATTCCCAGAAATTCCCAAAGAAATAGTCCTAATCAGTCATTAAATTTGGTTTGACACAAATTGTGAATAAAATGAGTTTTCCTAAAAACAATGTAAAAATAAAAATTATTTTATAAATAAATACTTAAAATTAAAAAACCCCAGCTAAAATTCAAGTGTTCAATGAAATTTATTTACAAGCTTAATTGATGTTTACGTGTAAAATATTTTTAATTAATTATTAACATCAACATGTAGTAATATTAGAATGGAATTTTGATAAATTTTTCTCTTCTTGAAAATTTCTTACGGATTAATCATCAATTACAGCTATTCATAAAAATAGTCCTAATCAGTCATTAAATTTGGTTTGACACAAATTGTGAATAAAATCTGTTGATTCTTTTCAGTACATCAGGAATCAGTACATCTCTCTGATAGATTTTACTAAAAAAGGGCTGAACACATTATTTTGTTTTAACCAAGGAGGGCTTCTTTATGTAATAGGTCTCGTCTAATAACAGTTTGTAATATTTATCTTGAATGTTACCAAACGTGACTAAAGTAATCTTGAAACCTTACTGATAGATTTATTTCATTGTAAAGCATAAGCTTAAGAAAATGCGGCATGCAAGTGACTGATTCGATTATCAGAATTATGCTAGTTTCAGTTGCGCCGAACGCTATGTAAGCTTAATTCAAACCGTTACATTTATTCTTTGATAAGATTTTGATCACGTTCATGGCAAAGGTGAGAAATAAGACAAGCCAAGCCAATCAAAATTTCAAATGCGATTACAAATCGTCTTTCACCCTCATTTTTATAAAAGGAGGATATCGCATTAGGAAGTATAAGAGATACATAGATGATCCCAGTGTACCAGTACCTAAATCAACAAATTTAGCTTGACCGTAGCAAGCGTTCAGCAACACGTTCCAACACCGCCGTCTCGATTCCTCAGTCTGTAGTTTCCACTGAACTTGAAGCAGGGGTGCCAACAGAGCAGAGTGCGTCTCATACAGGAGAAGCATTTGTACAAGAGACAGAAGTAACTATATACGATTACAGAGGTGCGTTGGGACTCTGGTCCACAAATGGTTATGCACTGTCCTAAGTATAAAACAATTTTGTTGATAGCTGACAGACAGAGAAGAACAAGTAAACTTTAAAACTATTATTATTGAAGTGTGACTTGCACTTTTCATTTGTATATAAAGAAGGACTTGTATTTTGCACCAAAAAAAAGGAAATAACATTTTTCGGAGATCCAGTGATTAGGACATCTAAGAAATTAAGTTACGAAAGGAAACTCAGTTTGTACTTCTCACTGCTAACAAGTCTTGTTTTAAAAATATTTTCAGATCAGAGTTTCAAATAAAGTAAATTGAAGAAGTCATTTAAAAGGTATTGGAACTCTTACAAAAATGTTTTGTAAGAATAAAAACAGGAAAACAAATTACAGCAACCAGTAACGAAAACAGAGCAAAAAACTAAAAAAAAAACAGCAACAACAATCATGTAAAAAGAAAGATTAATTAGGTGTTGAATTTGTTTATCTAAGGTATGAAATTTCTAGGAATTCTCTGAAAACTGAGAATTCAGTTCGCAACGGATGTCATGTATAGTTTCTAATCGTTCTTAATAGCGAAGTTCGCAGAGCGTAGCCCCATAACTATACAAAATAGTAGTAACCCATCAAGCCGAAAAATTTGGTTGTACGACCGTACAAGGTGCTACTCTTAGCATGCGCGGCCAACTGTACCACGGGCACTATCTTAGCCATTACGTAATGGAAGGGCGAGGGAGAAGGTAATGCGCAGGTGCGATTGCGTGCATAACTTGGATACCACATTAGTGTGCGCCAAGAGACACCGTCAGATGACGATAAAGTGCGCATACTCGAACGTCGAGCTGCAGTGTAGCGTACTGCGGGCACACGGTTAGGCATTGCACGAGGGCTTCACGTGAGCTAGTAGATGAAATTTGCCACCCGCGTTTTGAGCGGGAAATCGAACTGGTCAGGATGTAGTTGAACAGTAATTCTCAGTATTTTGCAATTTCTAAACAACTCGTAAGACAACAATACCGGCAGAGTTTAAGCTTTGTCAACGGAGGAAATTGTTATAATTCAAGTTCGTGGAGAGAGGATTTTAATTGTAAATAGGCTGGATATAAAGAGACAGAGCGACCAAAGAAAGCAACAAGTAAACGGCGTAAAGCGAGTCCAGAAAGTTACAAAGGACGCCAAAATAGGCAGAATACGGCTAGAGGAACACGAAAGAGAACAATAAAGGGCATAAGTAAAAAGACGAGTTTCTAGCGAAGAGCAACGCGAGAAGGAAATACAAAGTCGCTTCTGAAAACAGACAGAAAAGAGGTCAGAAAAGAGGTCATCAACAGTCGTGTCCTATCTGGGTTTTCTCTTACGCTAAGACCCAGAAAAAAATTCAAACTTTTTTTTTGCCAATCGTCGTTTGATACTAGCTTCAGTTTTTAATTCAACTGATCACGTTTCGGTTAAACATTGACTCTGGCATTCATCGCCTAAAAACTCTTACGCCGGTTCATCGCTCGAATAATATTGCAAAGTGTTCGTATTCTTCAAGTCATTTCTTGTCCTTTCGTTTGAAAGTTTAATACAGTCGTGGTGTTATGGGAAAAGAAATTATCTTACGTTTTTTTTTTTGCCTCGAAAGTTTTCAAATGATGTCGAACGGCGAGCGCAAGTTTCTATTTTGTTTTCTCTTCAGTTAATTATTGCAGGATATACCCTATTCATTTGAAAAATTTGCGCTTTGCCGAAGATGTGTTGTTTTACCCTAAGAACGAAGTAATGGCCCTTCCCAAAATTAAAATAAAATGGGATTGAGTCAGCGATGTTTATGTTTATATTAAGTCTAACGCGGTAATTTGATTTTGATAATATTTTTCGATATTGTCATGTGAGAACCCGTCAAACATTTGAGAATCAAATTACGAACCGCAAATGTGTTCGATTGCATTAGATTGCATTAAATACACTAGCTCAAGCTTTCATTACTGCATGGTGTTCTTACCAATGGTCCTACCCAAACTGAACATTGAAATAAAGAATTGGTCACAAGATATATGAGTTTAAAAGGGTGAGAATCTGGAAAAACAAGGATCCTCCTTTAATTAGGACTGAAATTAATGGGGGCCCTCCTATTTTAATTCATGTTTTTAATTTAACCTGCCTCCTTCCCTGTAATGTTCAGGGCACATAGATGAAGAGAACATTTTTTTGTATTTTGATGTATAAAAGTTAAATTTCCAGTAATTGGCATCCACTTAATCACAAAGCAAGAATGTAAAGCTTTAGTTTAATTGGTTAAAAAATTGAAGTAAGACAGTTTTGCAGACCGTGTCTGACTTTTTATCCTGGCTCTGGATATTTATTTATTATAAGTAACAAAGACAATATCAGTCTCATTCACTCTCACTTTCCACTGAGCTGGTGGAAAGATGATAACATCATTATTTCTCTAAACGAAGAAAGGAAAGCCTGCCCTCTTACCACAGATAGTTCTGTTGGGCATCATTAGTTCAAGATGATTGTTCCAGGTAGGCTAACCTTAAAATTAGTTGTGAAAATTTCTTGAACCTGTTATTGTACATCTTGAATGTTTGAATCAATTTTACCTCACCAACCTAAACTGAATAAATAGAAACATGAAATTTATTTGTTCTCCTTTTGAGGTGTGCATCAAATTTTCGAAGTCATCACAGGCTTAAACTATAGGTTTACAGGAAATCTGCATGTGCATGTGTTTTTAACATATGAAACTGGGATTATGACTACTTCAAAAGACTTTACTACATGCCATTTAGGTACAGGCAGGTGTTGTAAAAAAAAAGGTTTGCTTAGCTTTTTCATTAGTACACATTTCTTTTTCCAAGAACCTTGTTTACCCAGCCTATGCTGAATTCTAATTTTTAAACCAAATTTTATTACTTTTTTTAAATTTTATTAGATCTCCTAGTATCAGTTAATATTCTTGTATTTAAAATAATTACATTAAATCTTGCAGATGCATGGCAGATTATTTTTGCTCTGAACCTCCTAACATTTTACCATTTGAAGGGACTGATATTGGCTATAAAAGTATAGTCAAATTAAAGGTTTTTGCACAACCTATGCATCGAGTTTTTGTTATAAAATATTGTATCCTTCTCAAAACTAGTTTATCAGAATAAGAATGAGTTACCGGGAACAAGTATGGCTTTCATGATGATAGTTTCCAGATTTGAAAAAAAGTCACTGCCTACTAAAATCCTCATTTCCTTTGCCTTGATAGCCCAACCTCATCAAAACATTGCCAACAGGAGTGATTAGCAAATTAATTATACAGACAAGAGGGCCTATTCCCACATACATCCTCCTCAATCCTGCTAGCTTACTATGGTCATGGCATTTCAAACATGGTGTATATGCCACAAGTTTTCCATTTTCCTGACTAATTACTTTGTAATAGTGTTTATATGTTGAAGAAATTGTTGGGTTGAAATATAATACAAAGACTTGCCAGTAGATAGTTTTATTACAGTTTTTATTCAGTGTAACGTAGGGCTGGAAAATAAACTAATAAGAGCTCCGCTTTTAGGCTTGGCTAAATCTATATATTAGTATATCATGCCGTAAATTACCTTTCAGTTTTTACGTTTTCAAGTACCGTACCCCAAGAATAAAAGATAATCAATTAGATACAAAGATAAGCGCTTGAGGTCAGTAAATCTCCACCTCCGATCGGATATGTTTACACCTTGAGAACCTAAACCCGCTACATTGCGTGATAAGTCACGCCATGACTGCCAGACAAGTACAGACGATGGCGTCAATGACATGGACCGTGACAATACACTGCCGTAATCAGACCCCTGTGTGAATTGGACTGTGATAAATGAAACGAAACAGTTAAAGGTTTAGGTTTTCCTTTTTCGCAATTCTCAAAGCTTCTTTAAGCTTGAAACTGATGAAATTTTGATCATAAACGTTCAAGTTATCGATTTGCAACATGAGTGCATCACTAGACATTGACAAGATCGACGACATCGTGGAGATGGCAAACACAATGGCGACACTAAAAATTCCGTCCAAAGGGCTGAAAACGTTGGACCAAATGAAAGCAAAAGTGAAGGAGACACTCCATTCGTCAGAGAAGAAGTCAAGTTGGACGGCAAAGGAGGTGAGAACCCTGCTATATCTTTTTAAAATATGGACAACCAGCAAACTCAATTTATAAACGACATTTTCAGTACAATGGCGGAAGTATCTAGATGTGACCTTTATTAAATGGTAGACGCAGACCATATCGTGAATTTCAGTAACGAATTGTTTAACAGTCTCTTCATGCTAACTTAGCCATCGTTTGCGATTTAATCCCATGGCGATCCATTCAATGATGGCATCTCAGAAATGAAGGGTACTGGAAGAAACCTTATTCTCTGGACGGAAATCGTAGCATTCACTCGCCATGTTTCTCTAAGTTCACACTTACCATTACGTAGAGCAATCTAAAAGGCGGCGGCTAATTACTTATGGATACTTCCATAAACGATTCTTACAACTGGGTGTCAGCAAAATGATTCAAAGAAAAACTTTGGTGAAATCTGCGTCAATTCTGCTTTTTCCTATCGCTTTGTGGTCGTAGATCGGAAACATGTTAACCATTTGGGAAAATGTTGACGATTGTATCAGGTTTACACTTCTTTATTTTCTTAGAAATGCCTTCATAATTTCTGTAAAATAAATGACCACGGACTTAAAGCCTGGAGTGACCCGAAGCTTTTCTACGGTATAAGGAAGCCACAGATGCGTTCTACTATTCGTAATTGTCATCAAAATTTGTTTTTGTTCTCATAATACATGCATATTTACATATAGCTAATCATGGGTGACGTACCGCAAACAATAGCCTAGCGGTGGTTGCATTGCGGCAGTTTTTGAGCTTAAACCAGCCTAATGAATCTATTCCCTAAATTAAGCTGCGCTCAGAAGAGAGATGTGTATCTAGCAGTGATGTTATTAGTTATAAGGATTTCCAAAATGACTGTAAAACGGTTAAATTAACCAAATAGGCCGAAAATTAATCTTTATTTTACACAGGAGAATGTTGATGCACAGTACTTGTTTCATTTTGTGCCATTTATCAGGCCTTTTCAGTGTTGACGGAGGCAAAGAAAGAAGACGAGAAAAAACGAGCAACCTTGCTCAATTTCTACGAACACACGGATGTTTGCTTGCAGAGTATGGATGAAAAAGTTCATGCCCTTTTGGAACAGAACATCGGAAACCTCAAGGAAAAAATAGCTTCCCACAAACAAAATCTGCTGAAAAAAGAGTACATTGTTCTTGTTGCAGGTTTGTTATAAATAAACAATTTGACTGCCATTACTTTGAAATTTTAGTTTCGCCAACTTCCTCACCCAATAGACTTAAATTCAAGACTGACAAAGAAAAGAAGGCCTCATTCAGTTATTATACTAATCCAGCCTCAGCTAATTAGTAAGCTAATGATCGAGCCATGAATTAAATTAAAACTATATTTCTATGAGGGAATTGTACTCAGTATATTTCATCCTCCCTTAATTGTGCTTTCGTGTAATGTACTCCCTTAAGTAATATTAACTGTTTACACCCTAAGATCAGTTTGCATATTCCCCATACTGTTCTTTATACATTTCCAAGCGTATTGACAAGGAGACTTTGTTTAACAATCATGAGCTCCTTTACTTGATGATCATTTCCTCAATTCCCATGACCTGAATATGTGAATCAGAGGTGACCTTGTAAGGAGAAGTGAGATGTTTGTCACTCTTAAGGGTTATAGGGTTAACAGTAAGACCTTTATGACTAATATCTACTAATCAAATTTGACAGTCACACGAATACTTTTTTTCTAATTCTATGGAAAACTCTGAATCTCACAACATTTAAATTATATGACTTTTATGGATGGGATAAAGATCACTCATTCGTTTATTCACCATTTTTCAATGATCCAATTTTCTACTTGGTTCTTGTATGTCATAAGGGGCACGACTTTTTCCTGACATCCTACTCTTAGTACACAGGCCTCCCCATTCAAACCAGGTTCCAACTGAACTAGGCCAGCCTGGTTGATAAATAAATACAATACACTTCTGAAAAAATGAGCGGACAAAGTGGGAATCTGCTGGTCCAGACCAACTAAGACTATATATTGATAGTTCCTTTAACAGAGGTCTGTCTTTTGAGCGTAGCACATAAGATGGCAAACCTCGAACTGATATCAGGGTGAAAGCTCTATAATTGTGGACAGAAAGAGGAATAGTTTTTTTTATGAAAACAAATTAGAAGATAAAAGGAAATTTTGTTCGGGATTTCTGGTGGAAACGTCCGGTGAAGCAGATTGTCTTGTTCGACGTAACTTAAGTAGAATCGATCCATTCTTACCAATGTTTTTTTTCTTTCTTCCCTCCCAATTTTCACCTGTTTATACTTACCAGGCGAAACAAGTTCAGGAAAGAGTACTTTGTTAAATCTTATACTCGGAGAGCAGCTTCTTCCTTACTCCGTTCTGAGTACCACATCCACCATCTGTGAACTAAGATATGGAGATACACCAAAGCTGGTGGCGCATTTTAAAGACAAAGGATCAGGGGATACCTCAAAGACTGTCTTCTTAGACAGGCCATCGGAAGCCTCCGAGCAGAGTTACCTTCAACAGATTTCCGAATTCGTCCACCTAAAACGAACAGAGAAAAGGGTTCAGATTACGAAAAGATTGAGTTGTTTTGGCCTCACAATCTGTTGAAGGTTAGACATGAGCAAGCTCAGTAATTATACACGGTCTAAGAACTGACCTTTAGAAACATATTGCACATGTCAGCAAGTTTAAGAATGTTCGTGCAATAATGTATTTTACGATATAAGAACTGTCCTTTTATGACTGAATTGATATTAGGGATGTTAGAGAAATTTAAAGTCTCCAAACTCCTAACCTTCCGCAAATCATTTGCCATTCTGCATACTAACTGCTTGTGCACGTTTTATTTGAAATTTCACTTTGCTATATTGTGACATGAACTGATTTAAGGAGTGATCGGTTGTTGGCATCTCAACTGAATAGTTACACACATCTCTTCGAATGTATACTTATTACAGTCACTTAACAATTGATCCATACGTCAGCGTGAGTTCATCGAGATATGAAGCACGCGGGAAGTTTGGAGAGCACGAAACGCCTCGAGCAACTCTAGCTTCTTGAGTGCTCTCCAAACTTCCCAAGTGCTTCATATCTCGATGAACGCACAGATGACGTATGAACCAATTGTTTTATAACATTTTCAACCCGATGGAAATTTTTTTCTCGAGGGATTTGTTTACTGACGTCATGAGCATGCACAATAGGAATACGAAGCACGCTCGCGCAATTGAATTTGATTAGACAAATTTACCAGCTATATTATAATAATAATTTAGTAACAGCAGAATCGGCTGGAAGTCACGTCTGACTAAATTCTGATGATAAATTCGGCTAAGGAGGTCAAAATGTCACTTGAAACAAACAGATATAGAGGACATTATATTGAGAGTTGAAAGTAATTTGGACTTAAGTTCGCTCTGTGATTGGTCCAGAAAACTCGTGCCAATTCATTAATTAATCACATTCAAAACTAAAACCAATTGCGTTTTTCCCTGAAAAATGATGTTCGCTTGTTTTTTCTTAGGGTTCTCATTGTATTGTGTGATGTTTTCCTTTGCTCTGATTGATTGTTGGGATTACTTTGGGTTTTGTCTTATGACAACCAATCGAAAAGCACTCTTGATAGCGATCCACGGGGAGAATATTTTGCTTCAATGACTGTGAATTTATGAAAATCATGTATGTAATCTGCGGATTAAGGAATGAAAATGAAAGGGATTTAAACCCTACTTAGGCATTAGTGAAAATATAGCTTGAAAAAAATTAAGGCCTGTGTGGGATTTGAAGATCGAAGCAAAGATGCTTTCATGTTCAGTATTTTGTTTGTTACATCTCATATTTTACGTGTCCTTTAGGAAAATGTTGTAATAGTCGACAGCCCAGGAATTGGCGAATCTACCATCATGGATGACATAGTAAAGGAGTACCTTCCAGAGGCTTTCACATTTATTTACGTCATCAACAGTGAAAACGCTGGTGGAGTACAGCGAGATAGGGTAAGGCACTTTCAGGTGCGAAATGCATTCTCATTTCAAAAATAATTAAAGGGAAATGTGCTGCAAAAACCGTATCATTTTTTTAATCCTCTATTTTTAAAAAGTGTTAGAGTAACTAGATTGTTCAAAATTTTCGACAAATACGCAAAAAGAAGGAACTTAACGAACAGAGATGCTCCTGCATAGCGGTTACGTGAGGCACAACGTTTCCAAAACGACAACTTCTGAACTATTCAAAAAGAGTCGACAGATAGGTAATTCTATCTTTTGGCCTTCAGGTGGAAAGACTTATCGAACACGCCAGACAGGTATCTATTGACAAACAAAGGGAATCTTCCTCAAATTGTGCCCTATTCGTTTGCAACAAGTGGGACCAGGTGCCGTCAGTAGAAACTGATGAAGTTAAGAACCATATCGTGACGAAACTCACGCAGTGCTGGCCTTCTTTAGATCCAGAATCTCAGATCATTTATATGTCAGCAAGAGATGCCAGTGAAGCTCAGAAGCTTGGAGCAGTCACGGAGGAGTTTGCTAAACTAATGAATGGTATCAAGTCCATGGTGTTGAAAAGTATTGAAGAAAGACTACATATCCAGTGGAGGTAAATTGCTTTGAATCATTAGCGACAAAATAATTATTCAAGAAGTTGAGAATGTATTTTTAGTTCTGAAATATAGGAATGAAAATATCCTTAGTTTGATGCTGCGTGAAATATATTTTTCAGGAAACAAAAACGCCTTAGCCAAAGGTAATACAGTGCATAAAATGTTAATTCAGTGCAAAAAAAGCCAAGAAACTCTTTAGCCTGGCTTTGCATAAGTAAATATAGTGATGAAGTGTAAAAGACAATTGAAAAATTACTTTATTCTCAGGTGGCTTGACTATCTTCTTGCACGTATGGCCCTCCACACCAAAGCGTTCATTCGTAATTCGTCCGAAGATCGTAAATATGTGATAGATAGAATGATGTTTATCACAAACCGCCTCCAAAGTATTGAGAGGCAGCAAGGTACAGTAAGCAAAGAGCTGCAGTCTTACCTCGAAAACAAGACAGACCACGCCGTGCGCGAACTGTCCAGATACCTTAAGTCTCCCGAAGTTATACAGCAGTTTTCTTCGTGGACATTAGATGACGTTCCAAACACTGAACAAAGCTGGGAACTGACTAAGAATTACATCCAAATGGCGCTGATGAGGCGACTTCAAGAAAAGATAAAGGAATGGGAAGAAAAGAACCATGTCTTTTCTGATGCTCGCGCCTCTTTGATTCAACACTTTCAGGAGAGGTTCAGCTACGTCGAAGGTCAACTTCGAGTGCTGGAGGGCTCTGTCTTAGCCGGAGATGCTGCCAGCTCAGCAAGTAACTCGCTGGTATTGGATGACTTTAGCGTCGCCGAAAAAGTCATCATCGGGGTTGCAAGTCCAATTTGGGTTCCACTTGGTCTGGTTGTCTTAGTGGTCAGTGTCCCGGTAGTTGGCGCCATAGCACTTAAAGAAAAGATTGAAAACTGGAATAAAACAAGACAATACAACAAAGACAGGTGTGCATTTATGGCGAAAGCTTCCCAAGAATATCTGAATGAATCAGCTGAAGAACAGCATTTAAAGTCGTTCGTGATGGAACAGCTTAAAGAAGCTCAAGTTTGTCTTAAGCAGGTCTTAGATCGGATCCCTCAGCTCATAGAAGAGGACAAAATGTTGTGTCAACAATTGAGAGATGAGAACCGTTCTAAGAAAGAAGTAGAAGATTTCTACCAACCGCTACACGAGAGGAGTGTACAAATAAGGGATGAGATGGCCCTGTTTGGCATTAAAGAGGTTCGCACCATGGACATCAGCTGCGACGATCTGGAGTGGAAAGACAATGCACTTCTTGGAAGAGGAACGTTTGCTGCCGTTTATCGAGGAAAATTGAAGATACAAGGAGAGGATAAACCCGTAGATGTTGCTGTGAAAGTGTGGAACGAGGAGCTCAACGAAGATACTGCTAGCGGCTTTCTTTCTGAAGCAGAGATACTCAGGTTGGTTTTGTTATGTTTTGGATCTTGGTATGTTATATTGTTAATGAAGGAAAATACATCGGTTAAAATCTTGGGGAAGTACTGGATATATACTGGCCAGTAGCTAATGAGATATTTTCTGAATCTTTAAATTCTTTTCTGTTCAAAGAGCTCATAGTCATGAGAGGATTTATCTAAATTACGTGGTATTTTTCTGGCGCTTTCAGGACACCCAGAATCTAGGCATATTTTTACGGGGAGGCACATCATCATTCATTTTCCCAACAATTCATTACCGTTAGAACTCTTAGAAATCTGCTGAATCAAGAATTACAGTCAGAGAAAAAGTGAACTGATTGACAACGGAAGAAGTTCTTGATTGATAATCGAAATTTTCCTGTCAGTATCAGAAAATGAATAAAGATGGTTAGTTTCTAGAAAAACTATGGTGCTTGGGCGATGGGAGAGTATAACAGGGTATTATAGTATTATCAACTGAGTTGATGACGTAAATTGGCCACCGTAAAGAGTTTGAAAGCTAACGTTTCGAGCGTGTTAGCCCCTCGTCACAGTGATTGACGAAGGGCTAACATGTTCGAAACATCAGCTTTCAAACTCTTTACGGTGGCCAATTTACGTCATCAATTCAGTATCAGAAAGTATTTGGATAACAGTATAGAGAATATATATGCATACTGTTTTATGAGTGAAGGTTGTTTCCGCTACGTTTTCTTTATGTAGGAGACTGAATTATCCCTCTATTGTAAAGTTCTATGGTACAGCACTTCACAAGGAAGGGGGGCAGCTAAAAGCAGTTCTGGTGACGGAGCTCTGCAAGGAAAACTTGATGACGCACATTTTCCGGCATGAAGGCAATATACCTGGAAAGTCACCAACTGCTACAGCTGCGAGAGATATGATTGGATGGGCAAAAGACATCGCCGATGCTTTGGAATACATTCACAGACAAGGCATCGTTCACAGAGATCTCAAGCTGGAAAATATATTGGTGAGTTAAGAATTGGGACTAGTGGTTATCGTGACTATTTATAATTATAATCATCTTGGTAATCGAGACTCATCTCGCATTTCATAGAATTCTTATTCGCTCGCCTTCACCCAGTTTTCCTGATTTCTGCGCGAGATACCTGTGGCAGACCACGCTATAAATTCGCTTTAAATTAGCCGCGTAGTTGTGCTTCTCATTGAAATTGGCTGGGGCTGGATTGGCGACCGCACATGATATCCTTTGTTGTCTTCAGTTTTCGATTTAACTCCCGTAATTTGAAGAATCAGCATTAAATTCATTATTTTCCTCGTAAAACCAGTGTGACTGTGGATAATGACTAACGCGTCCCAAGTTAACATCTCCAGGCGTCTCGTTTTCACTATGTCTTGCCTTCTTTTAAGAGGTCTCGTCTGTTTCGGGTTCCACTTCGAGAAACCTTCAATATTGTAATCCCTCGGCTTCTACAGGACAATTTTTTAATGGTAATCACAAGCGGTTATAATACTTAACGTTTGATCGGAAACTAACATGAACAAAACTGACTCAACTTAAAGGGGTTAAAACTTTGTATTAAAACTACTTATAATGCGTTTCAAAGTTATTTTGAAAATAGCGACAGATTTTGAAAAATTTTTAATAACAGCGCCTGATTTATCTCTATTCGGCCTTCAACTGAGCTATCTAATGTTGATCGAGAGAAGCATAGACGCAAATCTCATCGCGTATGTAGACGTGATCGTGAACCAAGTAGAATACCAATACGAAGTTTGAAAAGGTTAAAGAACAATAGCAGAAAGGTTAGAAAATTTGTCTATGCCCGTATTCTCTCATGTATCCCCATGTCATCTACATAGTACTGTTATGTTAATGCTAAAAAAAATCTCAAATAAAAAGACATTTAAGTTTAACTGTCGTGAAAGAACTCGACAAAGTATAAGAAAGGTAAAATATTGTGCCAGTCGATATTTAACACTGTTTTCTTTAACAGACTGGTGTGTTCTTGCAAGAATGGGGCACGTGTAACAAATTATTGCAACTATAGATTAAGTAGAGGCAGAAAAAAATCCTGGCCCTCTAACATATGTTGGCCCCAACAAAACAATAGCAGCTCCATATAGTCAAGCTAACAAGTTAGTTTTTGGACAGAATGCAAGACAACAATGTGTTGCAATGAGTTTGTGCTCTTTGATTTACAATAACATGCAAGGGATCAGCTCTGCAAATTATCTTATAAAAATGATGAATATTGAAAATCAACTCTATTAAAGTTTGTTACGATTATCAAGTCAATACTCAAAAAAAGAAGAAAAAAAATGAAAATAGTGTCCAGTAATAAGTATTGAAATAGGAGCCAATTATGTATGACACTACCTCCCCTCACCCCACCTCAGAAAAGGGTCTCTTCACACTGCATAACAAATACTGTTTTCAGCTCTGTATACATATGTGAGAAACCTGCATCTCTGGCATACCAAGAGAAAAAACAATTACAGGATAAACCAATAATTGCATTAAAAAAAAACTTAAGTAAGTGCAAGCACAAAAAACAAAGTTTATTTCCAACAGAAAGCCCGGGTGAACGCAAATAGGCGTCTAGTTTTTTTAACAGTCGAAATATTTTGACTTTGGTATTAAAACATATCAATTTCCATGGATTTTATTATTTATTTATCCCACAGCTTTCGCAAGAAAACATTGCCAAAGTAGCCGATGTCGGTGTTTCTAAAGAAGCTAAAGCAATCACGGGTACTATGGCGGGAACTCCTTTGTATCTCGCTCCTGAAGTGATCAAGTCCTGTTTGTACGATTACAAAGCAGACATCTACAGCTTCGGTATAATGCTCTGGGAGATGTGGTATGGTGACAGAGCCCTTCTTGATGTGATAGGAAATGTGCAGGAGTTCTTTGAAAAAGTGGGTGAGGGCGTAAGACCTACGCATGTCCGAGGCTCAAAAAAGCCTCCACCTGGTTTGCACGACCTGATGCTGCGTTGCTGGGACGAAAAACCTGATAATCGACCAGATGCGAGCGAGTGTTATGAGAAGTTGACTAAGCTCTATCAGGAATTTGGCGCACCGTCTTCGTAAACACTGGTTATTAGGCAACCACCTTGAACTTGTTTACTTTTCAAGTGTAGACTGTTTTGAAGCAACAGTGATTTAGATTGTTTTAAGATATCCCATATAACTGTTGTAACAAATAGACTAGCCACACCCGCGCTAATTTTCTCGTTTCAAACTTAGTTCGTACATCCTAGAAACCTATTCTGGTCTTAATCAGTGCTGGTGCTAAGGAATTCTATCGAGACCAGTGTCATTTTGGATGATTTCGAAAGGCCTAATTAACCGCATAGGTGTAGGTAGCTCCTGTGTTGCTTTGTCTGTTAGAAGATCTTTTGTTACGGTACAGGGTTGTCAGCCCACTGCCCTGCCCTAAACCTAAAAGTGGCTTCGTTGAGCATGAAAATTAAAGCAAGTGTATGAAATACATAGATAATTACACAGTGAGTTGACGGAATGTAGGAGTGGTGTATGGTAGGTCTCTCAGTCTTTGCAGGACGATTTTTGAAATATGTATACTATTCTTACGTTCTGGTATTCTTTAGACCCTGCCAGGGAAAAAGAGACTCGAGAAAGTCAAAAGAGAGAGAGAGAGAGAGAGAGAGAGAGAGAGAGAGAGAGAGAGAGAGAGAGAGATGGGTGACCGTACTCTACTGTCATAGTATCGTTACCTGATACAAACATAAAATAGTTTTCATGATTTATTATATTTCTTTTAATAAGAGCTGGTTATCGTGTGTATCAATCTCCTAAACACTTATTTTTTGGGGGCTTTTGTCAACTAGTTGGCGTGTTACTATTTTGAACGAAGAACAACAAGAAGATTCTAGAGGCAAATATTGTTCTTTCAGCTTGTATGAAGGCTTTTTGCCGGATTTTAGAGTTAGTTTCACCGTCTGATGTAAGACACTTGTGATCGTTAACTCCTAGAAGATTTCGTAGAGAGCATTCTGTTTTTTAAGTATTCAGATGAAATATAAAGCAGGAAGGCCAGATATCACATATTTACGTCTAAAGAAATCACAGAGATGGAGTTGTAAGCACAAAAAGCGTCAAATGAGGTGAACAGAAGTTCCCTTGGAAGGAATTTCAATACTGAGCAGCGCACATTTTTATGACGGAATTGTGTGATCAAACTTGGGAAGAGAAAACAAAGTCCCATCATTTCCCCTCAAAAATTAGAAAACGAAGCATTTACAAAGATGACTAGACTTAATTGTTTCTTAAGATCACTAACTGTGAAGGTCAAATAAAGACTTGATCCAGGTTTTCTTCCATCGATCTTCCAAAAGTTTCTACTTATGTTGACACAGTGGCGAAATGAGTACGTATGCTTGTTACTCGCTTGAATTTATGCGTATAAAAGAATGTAATCGAAAATATCTCCATAGTAACACTGTCAAGGCAGAATTGCGGCAGTTTTAAAATTCCCGCTGCTTGTTTTCATTTTGCGGCGATAAGGTTGCCGTTTTCAGGAAAGTTTCTGTCGAACCTTCTTCGTCACATATCTCACTCAGCGAAAAAAAAGTATGGTGGTAACAGGTGTGAATTCAGTGACTAAGTTGAGCAGCCGTAAGATGGCTACGAAGCTCGTAGGACCTTTATCGCTGTAGTGCTTCTCGCCGTCGCCTTCTCCGTAGGCAACCCCCCTCCCCCACCCCAGAAAAAACATTTGTTTTCTCGCGGAAAAAAATCGCGTCAGCTTATGCTTGCAGAACAAGAATCGTAGTCCACAACGCTTGAATGGCTCGAGTGGCCAAACATGCGCATTCATTTTGCCACTGTGCCCTCCACCCCCCCTCCTCATTATTAGTCAACTTTCTATAGTCCCACTTTAAACTCTTTTAGACGCAACTGGTCCCTCCCCGTTGCCTATGAAAACCAAGTGTTCCCCCCCTCACAAAATAAAATCCTTCGACCCCTCCCCACAGGTGATAAATAATGACTTTTTCCTTAAGGAAACTGATTTCCCAAGATAACAAAGATTTCCATTTTTTCATCTGCAAATAATCATGGACAAACAGCAATGAAACTCGTAACTTAGCTCAACATTACGTTAGTACATATAGATTATATACAGAACAGTCAATGTCTTGAATAAGCAATGGTTCAGGTACTTCATTGTGATGCTCATGTATTTGCTGTTCTCCCTCAAATGAATTTTCATCACTCAACCCAGTTCAATTCAGTTCGTAGGGTGATGGAGCTCTTTTGATTCGAGATCAGATGTAACTTCTCCCAATAATATCCATACGTTATCCAGCAAGTAGGTAATGCTACTCAAACTTAAACTTGAACTCAAACTTATCAGGTAGAAGTTTTTCACTTGATCCAATACAAATTTCTTGCAACTAATTCAAATGGAAATGTGTAGCAGCTATAGGGGAGAATTAACAATCAGATTTTGGGAGTTAAAGGGTTAAGCAAATTTTAGCCATTGTTTGGCAAAATCGCGTTCTGGATTATCTTTAAGAATCTTTTTCAGCTGTGTGATCTTTGCAAAATATGGATTTATATGCACTTATTTCGGACCATAGCATCTCTTGGAAGAAGTCCCCTTGTCAGCCGAAATTTCTTATTTACAGACAACTGAGCTCTTATATGACTGCGAAAAAAAATGAAATTGGCTTGACATGGTTAAATATTTTGCTTAGGATTGTATCCACAACGTGTTCACATAACTTGTGAATCTTTTTTGAGAATTTATTGCACAATTGCAATGTATGTAGTACCGTCTGAATTTAGTGACGATGACTGCAGTTATTATTACTTATAATGTAGTCATATCTCTAGGATTGTATCAGTTTATTAATTAATGGAAGATTTAACTCATTGGCATAAATTTATCTTATAGCCTGTTCTCAAGCAAATTCAAAAATCTATTCGGGCTATCATTGAACGCAATATCTCTGTAGTAACCATTTTATTTAATAGGTGCACGAAAGAAATACATTTCACGCAACAAATACAAACTTTTGCAATTCTCAAAGATCAAGTCTTCAAGTGTCCATCGCGCACAACGGAAAACCTTAATCACTTTGTTTTTAGAGAACTTTTCCCTTAGAAACATAAGAAAGTTACAAAATAGTCGTATACCTAGTATCATCGTAATGAACAAGAACTCATCTAAAATCACCAACAATTCTGTACATAACTGATTGCCTTATCGCACTAATCGTCAAAATCACCACAATCTGATTGTTTACAGACTTTGCTTAATTTTTTGGAGAACCACACAACACGGTGAGGTCTGCGAGGTCTGCCTTTACACTTGTAAATCCCAAGTAACATAATCTTGATCTAAACTCACCCATTTAAATCATGTGGAAAAAGTTCACTTCTATATTTATTTGACTGTCTCTACTCACTGCATCTTCATTGTACAACTCCGTAAGCCCCCTTCAGAAGCTAACGAGACTAATGGTGTTTATTCTTATAGGGTAAGGAGAATATATTTTATGTAATCTTGTCTACGATAATTCTAGAGAGACTTCAAAATTCTCCTTCGCATAATATATATATATATATATACATTCATTACTATTATTCTCAAAATCGTTCAGAGATTCTCTTCAAATTATTAGAGTTCAAATGGGTGGAGCTGTATCCCAGTAGAGCATGGCCAACTTCTGATGACATGCTGGCGCATCTGGTCGTTTGTCTACTTCTTCATCCAGGCAACCTTGCAATAGATCTTGCCATTCAGGCGGGGGTTTCTTCCTGTCTTGGTCGACTTGCGTTTGCCTGTTACGTTCAGCATCCTGACCACTAACCACTCTAACGTCTCCCTCTTTATCTATAAGGGCTCTCTTCCCATACCACATCTGCTAGGGCATTATACCAAAGCTGTAGATATCGGCCTTGCTATCATAAAACCTTAATCTGATCACTTCTGAGGCAATGTAAAAAGTTTCCTTCATGTTCCTGTTGTCATCTTGGCTTCTTTAGAAACATTGACATTAGTGACCTTGACATCATCTTCATGTTTCAGCTGTGAAATAATGCATGTAACAAAAAACAGAAGTAGAAGACACTTTAAAGCTTACTGGAAAGCTTCATTTGTATCTCTTTTCTGCTGAGTCTGCGGCGGTTCTCGCTTGAATGCAGTATAAATGTAAGAGCTAGAGGATGTTTGGGCTGTATTTATCATATGCCACTCTGAACTCTATTTGGACTATTTTGAACATAAGGTGGCCTTTTCTGCATAACTATCTGCACAAATTCAAGCAGTGAATTTAAAAGTGACGATTTATCTCCCCCCTTCTCCCACTTAATATCGCAAAATTAAAACGTAAGATTTTCCCTGGGTGTTAAACGCAAAGTAGGCAAAAGGGGGCCATTCCCATGTGCATTTGTGTGTCATTTTTCGTACTTACCCTGATGTTTTCCAACTTAAAATATCTGTGAACGATGCCCTGACTGTGTATGAACTCGAGAGCATTGGCGATGCCTCTCGCCCATCGAATTACACTTCTCGCGACACCAGGTATTGAGGACAGGTATATAGTCCTGATTCTGGAAGATGCGTCCCATCAAGTTTTCCTTGCAGAGTTCCATCACGAAAGTTACTCTCAGCTGATCTTCTTCTCTAATCTGTGCAGCACCATAGAACTTAACGTTGAATGGATGATCCAGCTTCCTAAAAAGAAATGAGATTCATGAATTACCTTCAACCTGGTGTCTTTGAAACAATATCACTCTTTGTTTCATCAGTTAATTGTTGTCACGCTGTGATTTCATTATGTTGTTATCTTTTTACATTTTGTTTTCATTGTTTCAATTCTTCTTTCAAAAATTGTGAACTATCAAAAAACGTGAAGCCCATAAAATTACTTTTTGATAAATGTTTTCATAAAAGAGAAAACAAAACAAAAAGGCTTTAAGACAATTGAAAGAAGAAAATAAACAAACGGCTAGAAAGAGATAACAAACCAGTGCGGAATACATGAAAACTGCATTAAGGAAACCAACCTCAATGTCTCTATTTCGGAAAGAAAGTCACTTGCATAAGAGTTTTCAAGTTCTTCATTCCACACTTTCACAGCCACTTGAACGAGTTTCATTCATCTTTTCGCATCTTTAATGTCCCTCGATGGACAGTGGTAAATGCGTCACTACCGAAAGGTAAAACTCGATCGGCTCTCAATTCTAGATCGTCGCAACTGACGTCCATGATGGATACTTCCTGAATGCCAAAAACGGCCATTTTTCTCCCTAATTGAAAACTTCTTTCATTTATCGGTCTGTAGACATCTATTTCTTTCTGTGAGCTGTTGTCATTTGGCAGTTTCTGGCACGATATTCTGTCAGCTTTGATGAGCTCGGGAATGCGATTTGCAACCTTCTCGGGGCAGACTCTAGCCTCCTTAAGCTGTTCGACCACAAGAGACTTCAGATTCTGCTCTTCAGCCACTTCAAAAAGGTATTCCAAAGAAGCTTTTGCCATGAAGCCACATTTTTCGTTTTCGCACTTTCTTATTTCATTCCAATTTTCCAACTTTTCTTTCATAGCCATAACCCCGACCACTGGAACGCAGAGTACAAAAGCAACCACGCCAATTGAATTGGAACCCAAATAGGACTTGTGACCCCTATTACTTTGCTAGCCACAGAGAATTTCTTTGAAGGCAGGCAGTCATTTGCTAGATCAGACGTCTTCTGCTATGACGAAGCTCTCCAGGATTTCAAGTTGTTCCACGACATAGCTGTATCGCTATTGAATGTGCTGAAAGAGCCAGGAGGGCCGGAAAAGACTTGTGCCTCCCATGCTTCAAGAAAGTCTTAAAGTCACTTTGTTAATTCTTGAATGTAAAATTTGGTCACTTCTCATTTCTCCATCGCCCGTAGAGTATCAACCAACGTCCACGAAGGGAGTTTTTGCACAACACCTGGAGACGTGAGGTACTTGGACAGTGAGGTGACAGCGCAAAAGATCTTCAGTGGAGCATTGTTAACAGATAACTGGAAATTCATCAAAAATTTTCATTACGATGGTTCGTTTATTAATTGATATCCTCTATTCGTCATTGTGTGGTCTAATCAATGTAGCTATGATATATCTTTCTCTTTCTCTTTCTCTTTCTCTCTTGTTAATCTTTAAGCCACCCTTCAGAAATAGTATTCCAATGTCAACATACCGTGTCAGACCCTGCTTTTCTTAAACTTTTTGAAGGCAGAGCATACAATCAGAAATAAATTGTATAAATGGGGTACATCCACAGGGAAACTTTTGTTGCCTATTCCCAAGTTGAATTGAAATTTGCAGGTTTTATAGTGGGCTCTCAAACAAACAAATACGTTAAGCCGCAGACAATTTTCTTGTAGCATTTCTAACAATGCCACATATATGTGTTCACGCGACCGACTAATTGATTATCACTGTCACCTCATTTTTTGGCATCGTACAGCCAGATGGCGGTAATTATATTACGCCTCTTACCCTGTCTCGTTGTATTCCACCCGCGTTTGATTTATTGATAACGTAGATAAATAGGAGAGCCCCTGGAAGGTATGCTTTTACCATGTCATATGTAATAGCAGATTCGCCGATGCCAGGGCTGTCAACTATGACGATTCCTTCCTGAAAGATTTAAAAATCCAGGATATGTGACTCTCACATAAAAGCTCGCTTTCTAAATTATCCCTAGCAACTATTACCCAAGACCTCGGTCATCAGTATATGCGGTAGGTAATCTTTTGCTTTTGTTGTACAATTGTTGTTAAGGCGAGAATTGTGGAAGTCCTTGAATGGTTAGCAACTTAAGCCGGAGTATGTTTATGACGTCAAATATATAATTATCGACTTGTTGGTACAACATCTTTGCAACTTCTTCATCAAGAACACTTTGACGCTTTCTCAATTCAACACCAAAAGTTGTCCTTAATATAAAAATTATTATAATACATTGCACCCTAAGTAATCGATCACTGACCTTCAGCAGGCTGTGTGGCCAAAACAATTCAATTTTCTTGTAATCCGAGCCCCTTTCTCGAAATTTCTTTGCGTGCAGAAAGGGTGAGATCTGCATGGCTAGAGATCTTAGCTAACTTGTCAAGACAGACCGTCTTTGTCTCCTGATTCCTGTCTTTAAGGTGCGCAACCATCTTGAGTGTATCTAGCTGGGAAGGAGCTGCTCCCCAAGAATTAGACTCGACAAGTTAATTTTTCCTGAACTGGTCTCACCTAAAATGAAAAGCTATTTTTTAGCCTGCTTAGCTCCTCTAAATTAGCTTGTCATGGTTTGAGCTGCGAGAAAAAGGATTATGGTGTAATGTGATGCTTAGAACTGTCAGGGCTGTCCTAGAGCTTTTCTAAGCTGTAGTATAGCTGTACAAACTACGTGAAATCTGATTAGTCTACCCAATTTCTAGAAACAAAAGAAGGACTATGGTGTAATGTAATGCTTAGAAATGTTAAGGCTGTCCTTGAGCTTTTCTATCCTGTGTTATAGCTGTACAAACTACGTGAAATCTGATTAGTCTATCCAATTTCTAGAAACAAAACCTATTCAAAGCTGTATGTAGTCTCGTACCCAGATTCTACCATGTAACTGTAGCCTTAAAAGGCCTGGGTTCGAGGCTATGGCCTAGTCATAAAAGTACTTTGGTTGTCCATAGAAGCCCCCAAAAGTTACAAATAATTCGATTTAACGGCTCGCGGACTTGAAAGGTTTTCTGTTTTCTTTCAACATCCCTTATCACGTTACAAAACGAGAGAAAATGTCGTTTCTCGTTTAATCATACATTTAAATCAGCTTCCTGACTCACAAACTTTGGGAACATAAAGAATTGTTGTGGACGAAAATGTTGTGTATTCTTTTCTCTCCAGACTCCGTTTGTGAGAGGAAATTTTGTCGTCAAGGTGTCCAACGTTTGGTGCTAAGAGGGCACGAAGTTTGTCTTTCATCTTGGTGCTTGATTAAACAAGTCTCCAGGTCCTTAAGGAATTTATGTAAGGTCGCTCGTTTACGTTTGTCCTCTACCTTAGCCTTTTTCAAAAGCACGATCTCCTAATACATGAAAATCAGTAGGCAATTCATAACTGGCACCGAGGGATACAGCGAGTTTTGGGGAAACAGAACTCATTATTATCTGTCGGACCGGTCATCAAGGGTTTTATAGTACCTCTCAACTCTGATCCAAAACAGACTAATAACCGCAAAAAAATAAATAAGTAAATAAATAAAAGGGAGTTGCACTCTTTACAAAGATCTACGGGTGCTTATTTGTTTCAAATTGCTCGAAAAGATCATGTGATACTTCGCTGCGTTCATGTTCTAAAATACACAAACTAAAATGATAAATGCAACAGGGGGCAATCAGTGGAAAACTCCGTTAAGTGTTTTAAACTCTAAACTTGGAGTAACATTCCTGAATTGAGCGGCAGTTTCATTTCATCAACAGCTCTGCTCAACCTTTTCTTCCCTAGAGCAACAACTTTACACAATCGATCGATACCAGCCAAGAACATTACTGTCTGCCCCGTGATTTTAATGCTTTGTGGAAACAGCTGTCACGTAACTGGAAGACTTAATCTGGTGTTGATGTCTACATAATTTTATCTGAGTTATTTCCTGATCCTTGACACTTAGATGAATTAACCTCGCATTACTTGTCGTCCTTACCTCTCTTGCCCTTAAACTGGATTTTTTCGGCAACATCGTAAGATTCTGTTTCACCACGCTTTTAATATCGTCCAATGTTTTCAAGTCTTCATGCAAAACTCCTAAGCACGCCATTGCTTGAAACATTACTGCAATGCCGTCGATCTCGTCTATAGCTGTTGCTGACAGATTCATCTAGCATATACAAAGAAATAACACAGTTTTGAGAGCTGTGGAAAAGTAAGATCCACGATGGGAATCAGTGATCGGAAGTCAGTCAATCAATCCATATCAATACTGCGGTGTGATTTCTTTTAAATGGATTTGTTTCCAACTAGTGAACAGTTCAGAGGGTTTAACAATAACACCGCTTCTACTCAACCGTGACAACCTATGTCCGAGGTAAGGCAATAGAGTAAATATAAAACCCCGTATGTGATTAACAGCCCAATTGTACGTAACGTAAAAGGTAACTGTTTATTGTTCAAGACATCTTAAAAAAGCGTACGCAACATGGGTACGTCGATAGGCATTGATGAAATCGACGATATTGAGCGCATGTCCGAGGTAATGAGGTGTCGAGGTCTATCGTTAGGAGGACTGCAGACATTAGACCAGATGAAACAGAGGGCGAAAAAGGCTCTCAGAATATCAAAGAAGGTAAGAATGAAACATCTTTGGCTGCGTATCGATTCAAACTCAAGGTACACTGATATTGCCATACTGTCGCAGAATTATCAAGAACCGATGACTTTAAATACCGGGTCTACGGTAAAAAGAAACGCTGAAGTTATCGGCTGAAATTGTCGACCAACTGTCTTCTGGCCGGCAATTTATATGTTTAGGTTAAAAATTGGTTTATTCAGAGACAACGTACGTTACAGCAATTCAAAGCGAAACCAATGGACACCAATAACTTTATTAGTTGTTGACTGATTGTCAAACCAAACGTATACTCCACATTTAGAGCTTATTAATTATACTACTAAAGCTCTTTGTTCAAAATTTATCATTTCGTTATTTCAAGCGTAAATCACATAGCGGAATCACCTAGGGGGGCCGAACCTTGATAATCAGTGTAGCATAATTCAATGAACTTTCCCTAAATTCTATTCTGAGCTCGTGCCGAAGAAAGCGAATATGTTTAGAATGTCAATCTGCATATTGTTTGTCCTCCCTCGTCAAATCTGTAAAGAAGAACTTCTTCAATGGATACCGGATGACCTTGGGCTCAAACCCCGATTTAGAGCTATGATGATAGGCTGTAGACAAATTTATCACGACTCTCATCCGCGTTATTTATCGCTGTATATTGTCACTTACAGCCCTACTCTAACAAGTAAATTTCTCTGACAGTTTCCGCTCTTTTGATGGAAAGAACCGCAATGTTTCTCTGGGTGGAGGTTGATATTCTATGAAAAGCCGATGGCCCATCGATATCTTCTGACAGTTAAGCACTGATGGGTGATCTTGCGTGATAAAGATAACAGTTTCCTTTGTGTTGTCCTTTTCTGTTGAAAGGCAGCTGAAAAATTCACTTCCGAGAGGATTTTTAATCGTATGTTAACGTTCGACTTGAACAAGAGGTTACACGGAGCCTATATTCTGGCCGGATTTGCCGTTCAGAGGGAACGAATCGAAGGCCGTGCGGTTTTTAGGAAAATCGCTATTAAGTGCTTTTCATTGTTTACTTAACATGGAGAGTTATGGAGATCATGACTTTGGAACAAGTTGATACCATTACAAATTGGAAATACTGAAATCGCTACATGAAATGCGGGAACTAGCGTAAAGTCAACAGAAAAGGAATAAGTCACTTTGTGACTTAGGTTGAGTCACGGAGAAATCCAGAGTGATGGTAACCATCGAACTCCGCAGAATAATAAACGCATACCTCAGGCGTTATAGAAAACCAGTGCCAAATAGACTCCTTATCAAATTTCCGGTTGCAAAATTCATCAAATTTTAACGCTGCGATTGAAATCTTTCTCTGCCTGCACGAGCCAAATTCCCCTTTTCGACTGATTGAAATTAAAGATATGAAGCAGTGACTTTCACAAGTTTCTTTTTGTCAGAAAAGTATGGGTTTTTTCGCTTTAGTAATCTACTAATCTATCCCATCGGCAATGTTTACCTAAGACAATTGAATTAATTTATCGAGGCTTATACTATTTTGCGAAACGAAACGAAACGAAACGAAATCGGGTCAGATGAAATAAAACAAAAGGAATAATGCAGATATATTTTCTAATAAGGTAAAGATAACTTTCACAAGGAATTTGGAGTAATCGTTCATTAACAAGAAGGATTTCTATTCATTTCGCAAAATAGTAATTTTAGGAGCGTTACTATTTTGCGAAATGGAATTTTTCACTCTGCGGTGACAACGTGACCTCTTCCATGTCACAAAAATACATTTAAACATTACAAATTAGTATATCAACGAAGATTTTGGCCTCTTCTTATTTCTTAAACCGTATTAAAATGTATTTCACAAAATAGTAATTTTAGGAGAGTTACTATTTTGCGAAATGGACTATTTTCACCCTGCGGTGACAACGTGACCTCTTTCACGTCACAAAAATACATTTAAACATTACAAATTAGCATATCACCGAACATTCTGGCCTCCTCTCATTTCTTAAACCGTATTAAAATATATTTCGCAAAATAGTAATTTTAGCAGAGTTGCTATTTTGCGTGACCTCTTTCATGTCACGAAAATACATTTAAACATTACATTATAGTATATTCTCAAAGATCTTGGTCACCTCCTCTTTAATGTAGTAATTTCTAAACTAATTGAATGTAGTAATTCCGAAAAATGTTTATTTTGCGAAATGGATTATTTACACTCGGCGGGCGGGAACTCGAGAATAAGGGCGAAGGGATTGTTGCAGATTCCCTTGAACTTCACAATGTTTGGATGTTTCAACTCTTGAATGATTCTTGCTTCCTTTACAAACGTTTTCTTATCCAATATGTCCTCGCCGAGCAATTTCTTAACGACGACTTTCTCCGCAGCGGCCGATTTCCTACCCGCATCAGGAACAGTCTGCCAGTTAGCAGTGAACACAGCACCATAAGCGCCCTTACCAATGATTTCCTTGTTTGTCAAACACTTGAAATCATGAACTGGAAGACCTGAACAGTCGATGGTCTTGGGCTTAAGAACAGGAAATTTAAAAGCCGTAATCTTGCCTGATTTAGCAGCACACAAAGCGAGCACAAAGCAAACTTCTTGCCGCACGTGGAACTTGCGCAAATGCGAAACACGATCTCTTGCTCGTAAGGAAGAGGTGTGCGACGGGGGTGTAATCAGAAGCGCGTAACTTTTCCATGTATATTATTTTTATTGAAAATTTTGAAGCAAAGAAACTGTATTACTTGCGATTATAAAACTGCTGGACGACTATTTCGGCATGGATATGCTTCTGTTCTCTTTACGAGACGGAGAGTCTAAACATGTTTAGACTTGACATAATTTGGTAGCCACTGGAAAACTGTCATGTTGGTTTTGCACCGAAACAGTGCACACCCTTCAAAACGCACGAAATGGGGTCTTTCAAATCTCTCAGGAGAACATGCCAACTTCCCCCTAGAATAGCTCCGTCGCTAGTAACAACAGCTTTTACCTCTTACTTTCCGCTCCCTCCCATGCCATTAATTGGACACAACCTCGGTTTGGGCCTTCAGCGGGGCTCTCTTGACTTGATTTCGGCGTCACGCAATACGGTACTACACAGTTGTCGATTTTGATTAAATGAACTGTTGCATGTTTATTGAGATGGAGTTATTAATTGGCTCTTACTTAATCATTTGAAGCTGAGGAAAGGAAAACACCGCCTTGTTGCTTGGCAGTGAAGAAGTACAGACCACAGCCGAATTAAAACACTTACGTACAAGGAAAGGCGAAACCTGTAAACCCAATCTGTCACGAGTCAGTTTTATCAGGCGGCATTTAAATCATTTATGGTCCATTTTGCAAAACAGTAATTCTTCCAAAATTACTGCCTCGCGAAATAAACTCAGAAGACGTTTATATAGGTGAAGATAGCTTAGACCTTTTGAGATTTTATAGTGCTTTAAATTGAAACTTACCGAAAACCTATTGTATGACACGAGAATAATAACATCGTTACCGCTGAGTGAAAATAGCCTAACTATTCCGCAAAACAGTAATTTTTCTGACATTAATACTTTGAGAAATTAATTATATCTGGATAGAGAAAGAGGAGGTGACCGAACCCTTCGAGAATATACTATAATAAAATGTTTAAACGTATTTTTGTGACTCGAAAAGAAAGTTATTGAGGGGTAAAAATAGTCCATTTCGCAAAATAGTAACTCTCCTAAAATTACTATTTTGCGAAATAAATTTTGAAACGGTTTAAGAAATAAGAGGAGGCCAAGATGTCCAGTGATATACTAATTTGTAATGTTTAAGTGTATTTTTGTGACATGAAAGAGGTCACGTTGTCACCGCAGGGGTGAAAATAGTCCATTTCGCAAAATAGCAACTCTCCTAAAATTACTATTTTGCGAAATATATTTTAATACGGTTTAAGAAATGAGAGGAGGCCAAAATGTTCGGTGATATACTAATTTGTAATGTTTAAATGTATTTTCGTGACATGAAAGAGGTCATGTTGTCACCGCAGGGTGAAAATAGTCCATTTCGCAAAATAGCAACTCTCCTAAAATTACTATTTTGCGAAATACATTTTAATACGGTTTAAGAAGTAAGAGGAGGCCAAAATGTTCGTTGATATACTAATTTGTAATGTATAGATGTATTCTCGTGACATGAAAGAGGTCACGTTGTCACCGCAGGGGTGAAAATGGTCCATTTCGCAAAATAGTAACTCTCCTAAAATTACTATTTTGCGAAATATATTTTAATACGGTTTAAGAAATAAGAGAAGGCCAAAATCTTCGTTGATATACTAATTTGTAATGTTTAAATGTATTTTCGCGACATGAAAGAGGTCATGTTGTCACCGCAGGGTGAAAATAGTCCATTTCGCAAAATAGTAACTCTGCTAAAATTACTATTTTGCGAAATGAATAAAAATCCTTCATGTTAATGAACGATTTCTCCAAAATCCTCGTGAAAGTTATCTTTACCTTATTAGAAAATATATCTGCATTATTCCTTTTGTTTTATTTCATCTGACCCGATTTCGTTTCGTTTCGTTTCGTTTCGCAAAATAGTATAAGCCATTTATCGACACAACGATATCTGCTGGGTTTTACCCGATATTCCTCGCTTTTGGCTTTTGTTCGTTTCGTCACAATCATTTCAGAATGGTGAGTGAGAAAAAAAAGCTTACCTTGCGGAAATGTCCTAAAAAGGAGTGATCGGCACTAGTAGTGCACGCATCGAGTTCTGGATGCACTTGAATAGTCTGTTTAACAAATGCAGACGTACAGTTATTTTAATCCCTACCAAATTATGTCAAGACGAACAAAACAAAAAAGTACAGCCGTCCTGCCTCGAAGCAGGACAGATTTTGTCAGCATGAATTTTACGAGGTGAGACTGACAGCTCGTAGTTGGCAAATCACATCTTTTGTTTTTAGGTGCTGACAGGGTTGGTGGGGGAGGGGGGGGAAGGAGGCAATCGGAAATGGGTGAGGATGCTTGTCGTACCTTTCAGTGGTCAAAATCAGTGATCTGGTACCTTTTACGGTGTCTCAAACTTTAGTGGACTACCAGATACCCAACTGGTACCTTTTGGGGTGTTTTTCGCTCAATAAAATGCCTGAAATAAGCATTACTAGGACGATTTTAATGATCTGACTTGAGCCTCTGGAGCATATCGATAAAGGAGTTCTTATTTTTGGGATTTTTTAATTTTTTTGTGTTTAAATTGGTACTTTTTAAGGGTAGATATCAGTTGTTGCCACTCCCACAGGGATGAGTCAGGTACCTTTTATAATTTTATAGGGGTCGTTTTCGAAACTCCCGGCGCGCATCCTCGCTCTCTTGTGTATAGGGGTTCCCTGGGGGGTGCTGATACGTGCAGCACACTTGAAATTTAGCAAGGAAAAATTTTTGTCAGCGTCTTGTAGCTGCTGCGGAAGGGCCCTTTACCACTGTGTGCTTAATTACGCGTCCCGCCAGACTGCGGGAAGCCTACAAAGTGCTCAGACATTAGTATAGAAAACTCCGCCTCTCTCTGGATTTTTGGTAGCCTATTTACCAACTCCCGATCGAGGCCTAAGTCTGACGGGACGCGTAATTTTGCACAAGGTGGTAAGTAGCCAGGTTATATGAATTTTCCAGACGTCTTGCATACTATATGTGGAACACGCTTGCCAAATAGGCATTTGGAATCGACTTAACCCTACCATCTCCGCAGGTAACTTAAAATGTCTTTTATACAACTACGCAAGGGACCGACCTGAGATATGCAACGTCGGTCTTCTCGATAACTATATCCAAAAGTCCTACAAGCGAACGATTTAAATGAACAGCAAATCTCCTTGTTAGCATGTAAGATGAGACGCTTATACAACGGATCAATTGGTTAAACGGTGTGTAGTTTGTCAATCGAATTGACTTTTGTAAACATTCTTTGACTTCCGCCGGCAAAGGAAACATTGATGGATCTGGACATTTTAGTTTTCTGAATACAGCAATTCTTGGAAGGTTTTGATAGATATGAAAAGAGAGGAAAAAAACCCATCTCTTCGTAATTCGCAGGTTGATTCATCTTTGAATTTGTGTCACGCTTGTCATGCAACTAATATAATAATGTGGAGAAGATTTACAAACTGTAAATTAAATCCGGCTAAAATATGGTAGAGCATAACTTGATCACCGAAACAGATCATAAAATCATAAATAAATAAGGTAAGAGGTTATTTTAGATTTCTTTACAAACTATAGTGATTTATGCCAGTAAACGGTGGCGACAAGTAGACACACCATGTATACTTCATAATCGCTAGTGAGTAAATTTTTCCACACTTTGAGTTCGTCTCACGATATAACAACACAAATACACAAGGAAATTTTTACAGTAACTTTTTAACCATCCTTTTGTCTTTTAAAAGCTAGAAGCTCAGTAGATTCTGTCATATCGGTCATTGTTAAAACTGTCTTTGTTTTGATGCTACTTTTCGACATAGAAAAAGTCGGACAAAAATGTTCACCAAAAAATAAATATTTCTTTGCCAGCTTCAATAATGACAGGGGATTAATTTAGATGATAAAACAAAGGATTATGCCGACAGAAATACCGGAGGTCAAGAAAATTCGTTACATGAGGTCACACAACTCGGGTAATATGCAGGGTGAAAATTTGCATATTTGAGCGGCTGAACGAAAAATATCATTTCTCGAAAAATAAAATATTTTTTCACAAAAAAATACACCACAATTATTAGGACATATTGGACTACAAAATATGAAAGTAGGAGAGAAAACGAATTTTGGGCGACTTGCCACAATATTTCAAATTTGTTCGATGGATGCTGACATTGCACGTAATTGAAAAAAAAAGAATGGACTATTTCCTTGCAGAATATCTAAATAGATTTGATCTGCACATCGTGGAAACTTTGAATAAGGAAATTGTATTTATTCGAAAAGAGATCATTTTATCTTTTCAATCAGCGACAAATGCTCAAAAGAGCGGCTCAGGGCCTGTTTACATGGAGGCGGGGGACCCCAGGTGGGTGAGGTAACCCGCCTTGCCGTGGTCGAAAAATAAAACGCGTTTACATGTAATCTTACAACCCCGGGGTGCTGGGGTGAGGTTTCTTTAGGTTGTTGTTGCGCTTGCGATTAGGGAGTTTCAACATAGGCGTCCCAAGCTCACATCTCGAGAAAGACGAAAGATCAATTCTCGGACACATTTGTGTTTGTTCATGAAAGTGTCACGCGTTGTGTTACGCGGTGTTAAGTTACGCGAATCGTAGGCTTAATACGTTATAAGGATTAGTTTGTGAAACGAAATATGGTCGATTTACAACGCTAAATATTCCGAAATGTGAACACCCCTTGTATGTCCCTTGCGGTTTCTGGTGATTTTCGCCAGACGGTTAGGAAATGTACAAAGTTTTAAAACACACGTGTTTAACTTTTGAGCTTTTTGCCATGAATACGACCCCAGTTAGGCGGGTTACCCCACCTTGAGACGTTTACATGGAAAATTCTCACTCCGGCTGACAGGTTTACCCTACCTGGCAGACCGGGCAACCCGCCTTGGCGGGTTACCCCACCTATCATGTAAACGTGATCAAGATTTAATAAGAGATTATATGGAAAGGCGGGTTACCTCACCTACCTGGGGTCCCCCACCTCCATGTAAACAGGCCCTAAATTTGCGAAGCGAGCAAGGTCCGAAATACGATACGTTAAGTTCAACAGGGTTGCGCCATTCAATGGAATGATGGAGTGGTGGAATGGCGGAATATTCTACAACGCGGAATGCCTTGTTGTGTGAAACAAAAATCTCACAAAAATGGAATTGCAATGAAATGAGAAAATTATTTATAATCAACAGGCAAAGTTTAATCATAATAGGAGCTTAGGGATAGACCCTCAGAGGAAAGTTGAGGTACTTGAACTAGCCCCTATAAGTTATTATTACTATAACTTTTGTTATCATTATCATCATGATTATAATAATTATTATTTTATTATTAATATGATAACTTGTTACCATTTCATTTGTAGTTGAGTGTCAATTATTCACTACATTGGTGAATCAACTTTCTATTGTGGAACAGGGCTCTCATAAGTATGTGGAATGTGGCAGGTTTCCGTTTAGCATGCGTGACAAATCTTCTTTAACGCTACCTTATCATCATACAGCCCCTGGTTCTTTTCGATGCTTCAAAAAATTGTGCTATATCTGTAGCCATATGCAGTCTTTACTGCCTATTTTTTATCAGTGCGTTAACAATTCAACCAATTCACAGTAATGGTTTGTGCGTTAATTTAAATAGATATTTTAAAGACTCGAAAGATAAGTGTAAACTGAAGAAAGCTTGGTTAACGTTTATGCGCGGCCCAGCACTTCAAGTCTGAGTACACTCGATGCCAAAACTTAACCTCATTCCCAAGCTATGGCCACCACATTGGTTTATGCCAATTAAAAAAATGTTACGAAGCGCCTATTGTGCATTTTCCTACGGAGGAAAACCCAAACCGAATTTCTGATTCTAGCCTGTTTACGGCCAAGAATAAGAATAATTCTGGCAAGTTTACGGCCAGAATAACAATTAATTCCAAATCAAAGTCGAACTCGAATCTAAGCTCAAGTATGTCAGTACAGTCAAACTTGTATTAAGGTCATTAAGCTGCACCGTATTAAATGATCATCCTGTATTAAGCGGTTGTAAATTCCCCTTAAATACTGTAACGTTAAAATTATCTTTCTTCTTCGGACTTTTAGGAAAAATATCACGCACGAGCATCTTGCAAGTCATTTTCTGGTCAGCCTGTATTAAACGGTTACCCCGCCATTCTTCATGAGTGAGCTCTAAATACAGGTTCGACAGTAGAATGAAATGTGCATGCAAGGAAAAGTGCCCGTGCCTACGCCAGCTTAATCAGTCAACACACCGAAATGAGCTGTTTCCAAAGAAACCACCTCATTGAAGTAATTTTTATTTAATATTGAGTGACCGACACAGTAAAATAGTATAGCAAGTCTAGTAAGTTTTAGTGTCATACTGATATTTTTGCAAAGAAATTTAATCAATCCATGCTCCACTTATCAGGCCTTTTTAGCGTTGACAGAGGCCAGGGAAGAAGTCGAGAGAAGACAAAAGCACTTGCTAGAATTATGCGTGAGCACAGAGGCCTGTCTAAATATGATGAGTGACAAGGACTATGCTCTTCTGGAGCTGGGAGTCAAAAATCTCAAGAACCAATTGGCCTATCACATACAGAGATTAGAGAGAGTGGAATACGTGGTGCTTTTGTCAGGTTGGTTACTGAAAAAGTTTTGAAAGTTCATAATTACGTGGAAGTTGACGCATGTGCGCGTGTCGTAACTTAAGTTTACTGCCAACTGCTCCATTCGCTCAGGCAAACTCTCCGCCACAGGACTACGCCACTTGCTTACACGAGATACTTGACAGACACTACATGTCTCGCAGAGTTTCATGCCAATGTCTACCAGACTTCACTTTTTATGCAATACATTCTCCGTCTTAACTATGCCTTCGTGTCCATCATGGCCAATCTTTTGAACTTAATCACGTTTAATCTCTGGAATGAATTTCCTTGGCTTACCTCGAATCGATACTCGTCCTGCAGTAAGTCGTGTGAAGCTCACTTTTTGCATGTAAATAGTTGACAGGGACCGCGTACCAGCTCATGTTGACAGACGTCACGCAGCTTTTCCATACTCGTCCCCTCCTTTGTCATGAGGTTTACTTAACGCGCATGGCCGAGCGAACAACTTTCAGACTTTTTTCACTGAGAAGTCAAATCCTTTGCCTGTGGTCATAACTTTAAACGCCCTGATGACGTATAGTTGCAACGCCGACGCTAAAAACTCGAAAGACAGAAACATTGCATATTTTTTGTTGTTGTTTTGGTTGTTGTCGCTTTCTTGTTTCAATTGAATTGACTCATCTTGGTCACAAAACGTGTTCTCTTTCAGAAATGTATGTACTGCGATTTCTTAAACTAATAAAGACTCACAACGAACAGTTTTCATTGAATGTTTCATCCCTTTCTCTATGCGGGAGATAAGTCTAAGTGTCTGCCAGGTTTTCAAGACTATTCGCTTCAGCAAACTATATTTTTCACTGTTTTGTCCTAATAACGTTTCTTTTGTCTCAGTTTCCTTTTAACGGCTAGATTCCTGTCATTCGTGGTCGTGAGACTGATTTTTATTTTTGATAAGGACCTTTTTTGCATGTTTATGAGAAATTAGCAGTTTAAACCTAATCCGCAGGACTCGTCAAAGAGAATGGATCTGGAAAGTTAAACACCATTAATTCCACATTTTTCTTTAAACTAGTGTTTGTTCTTGACAGGTGAAAGAGATTCGAAAAAGAGCATGTTTTTGAGTCTGATTCTTGGGGAGCAACTCCTCCCTGACTCCTTCTTTGGCATCTCTTCCGTTGTCTGCGAATTAAGATATGGAGAAACCCACAAGCTGGTAGCGCACTATAAAGACGCAGATCCTGAAACAGGCCTTCCTTCAAAGACTATCCAGCCTGGGGAGATGGCTGTGAACTCTCAACAAATCTTTCTTCAAAAAATCTCCTGGTTTTTCCAAAATGAAGATCTGCAGGGTTCAGTTTTTGATAAGATTGAGATCTTTTGGCCAAACAACCTGCTTAAGGTTGGTGATTAGCAAGCTGAGGGCATAAATTGTAAATTGTGACTTGAGGATTGCTAAAAGCTACCATTTAGCATTATTCTTGGCAAATTTAGGTCTTGCAATATATTTTTGATTGACAGATTATCTTTGACACCTAACATGCATCGTTTTCGTACGTAATCTAATCTAATCTTCAGGAGCACAGTTGCAATTTGATTTCTTGATCAGATAAAGAGTCAGGGATGTTTCAACAACAACATTTACAAAAAAACTTATTTCAAAAAAAGTCATTTGACCTGTTTTAAGATTCACTTATCTCTCATCGTTTTCTCCACTAGGAAAGAATCTTTGTGGTTGACAGTCCAGGATTTGGTAAATCACCCATCATGGACGAGAAAGTGAAAGTGTACCTTTCTGAAGCTTTCGCAGTTATCTGCGTCATTGACAGCTCAGCGCAGCAACGAAGGGTAAGCTGCATGGACAGGTGAAGTTAATGCACCCGCAGCGTTTGCCATGGCAGGGCATTTATTTACTTAACATATATTTATTTAACTTTGCGGTATAATTGACTGTGAATATATAAAAATCACATATTGAACTGCGGATAAAGACGGGAATATGAAAGCGATCTTCGCAGTAATGAACACTACTTGAGCAGTATTGAAAATAAGGCCTGAAAAAAAAAATTCAGGCTTGTACGGGACTTGAATTCATGACCTTTGCGATACCGGTGCAGTGCTCTACCAATTGAGCTAACAGGCCAACTGGGAGTTGATCGTTATGTTGGTTCAATGTAAACCCGTGAAGTGATGAATAAATGACTGTAAATATATGAAAATTATATACGTGAACTGCGCATAAAGACGTGAATATGAAAGCAATATTCGCAATAATGAAAACTGCTTGAGCAGTAGTGAAAATAAGACCTAAAAAAAAAATTCAGGCCTGTATGGGAGTTGAACGCATGACCTCTGTGCTCTACCTGCACTGCACCTGCTGATTACTTATTACTTTTGTCATCATTATTATTACCACGATCGTTAACATTATCTCTATTATTATTTACTGCCCAGAGCAATCATTTATAACAGCTTTTGCTTAAGTGTATTTAATATGTTGTTATTATTATTGTTATCATTTTTATGATTATTATTATGATTATTAGTATTATTACCCTCGAAGGAACTTTTAACTCCATGTGTACGTTCGCCCTCATAGATGATGGAACCAATCAAACAATTCCGAAAAGTATGTCTTGACCATCCAGAATCCTCGTCAATTTTTCCTCTTTTCCTATGTAACAATTGGGATCAAGTATCTCAAGAAGAGGCTGATTCCATCAAAAATCACGTCAAAGGTGAATTCAGAAAATTCTGGCCTGAAATAGACCCAGATTCTCAAATCATTTACATTTCATCGCCTTACGCCACAAACGATGAAACAGTTGTCGCGGAGTTTGCGTCACTGATGGATGCTATTAAATCCACCGCCTTGCAAAACAGTAAAGCAACGCTGCAAATGCAGTGGAGGTAGGTTCTGTAGAGGGTCTTTAAAAAGTCGATGAGGGTATTATGGTCCTAATTTACATCTTAACCTAGCTGGAGTTAGCATTTTTCTTGGCTAAGTGATGTACTCTTTTGCATCCAATTCCTATCTTATTATTGACTCCTTTTAGGAAGACCAAGTTATGTTGCCCTCGTGTCATGATCTAATGAGATTCATTCATTTGCACAGTGAAAATTAGATGGTTATTGGAAAGTGCTTATTTAGAAACTTTGCTAAAACCCATATAGCCTTGATACGCTCAAATTCGCCAAAATAACAATGAATTTCTTCCTAGTTTGTAATTCGGCTAGTTTATATCTTAAAGTTTCACCCACTTGGAATGATAAAGAATAAATTCAATAAACATTTTGGTGAAAAATGAACTTGACATTTGCATATTTTCATCTCTCAGGTGGCTTGACCTGGCTATTTCACGTATGACCCACCACATGAAAATGGTCATGGATCTTCTTTGCCCGCTCACCGATCGTACAGACGTCTCTGACTTACTTTCTGAACGCCTTCGTTACGTTGATTTACATTCTGAACGCCTTCGTTACGTTGAGAAGCGGCTGCGCTCAGTTGAAGACGAGTTGAATGAGCATTTCAGAAAACTGGCAGACGATACCGTTAGGGAACTTTCCAAACACCTCCAGTCTTGTGAAGTTATGGAAAAATTTACCTCTTGGACGCTTGAAGATGTTCCACACGCTGGAGAAAGTTGGGAGGTAACCGAAGATCATATTAAAAAAGCATTTAGGTCGCGACTTGAGAACACGATTACCGCGTGGGAAGAAAAAAACCAAATTTTATTCAACACTCGCAGCTCTCTGGTCCAATTGTCCGACCAGCGATTTGATGAATGTAAGAATCTACTCCCATACCGATACCTAGAGAACCTCGTCATTACGGACGCTGCTGCTGCTAGTGGATCAAATACTTGCCAGTCTTCAAATGACTTCGGGGCGGCCCAAATAGTTATGATGGGGCTGACAAGTCCAATTTGGGTTCCATTTGTCCTAGCAGCTTTAGCTAGCAGTGTTCCAGTTGTTGGTGTCATGACACTTAGAGAGAAAGTAAAAAATTTGAAACGTTCAAGAAAATATGGAAAAGACAAACGTAGATTCATCGTGGGAGCCTCCCATAAATACCTTTGCAAAGTGGTTCAAGAGCAACAGCTTTCGCTGATCGTGAAAGAGCAGCTCAAAGATGTTCATGTTTACCTTACCAAAGTTTCATCTCGTTTGCACGAGCTCTTAGCCGCCGACAAAATACTATGTCAGCAGCTCAGAGATGAGACCCGCTCTAGAGAGGAAATTAAAAAATGCTATGGCCGTTTAAGAGAGATGATTGTTAGAGAAAAGGAAAAGATGGCCCTCTTTTTCATTAAAGAATTACAGAGCATGGAAATAAGTCGTAATGACTTGGAGTGGGATCAAGCTTCACTTCTTGGAAATGGAGCATCCGCTTCAGTTTATCGAGGAACATTCAGGTTACCAGGACAGAGCGAACCAACACAGGTGGCTGTGAAATTGTGGAGTAAAGAACTAAACGAATGCAGCGCGATTGGCGTCCTTTCTAAGACAGAAACACTGAGGTTAGTTACATTTAGCATTTCCTTCAAATGACAGTTAATAAATATAGTTGAATTTAATAAATAAAAGAGGGCTGTCTAAAGGAGAATTTAATGTGATGTGACAACTATAGAGATTTAGATGATTTAGATAGATCGGTATGATAACACAGCAGTTGAAAAACGCTGAAATATTTGGGTACTTTGAAACCCAAACGAACTTGAATAAACGTCGATGCAACTATCTTTTGCAGGAAGCTTGGCTTTCCCTTTATTGTCAAGTTCTTTGGGACAGCATTGCTGAAGGAAGGCGATCAATTGCGGGTGATACATGTTTTGGAATTGTGCAAGGAAAACTTGATGAATCATATTTTTCAGAATCCTGAAAACATTCCTGGATCGTCTGGAAAAACGTTCGTCAAGAATAATGTACTGTACTGGGCAAAGGACGTAGCTGCTGCTATAGAATTTATTCACAACCAGGGTATTGTTCACCGCAACTTCAAGCTGGAGAAAATCTTGGTGAGTTTCAAATAAATGTGAATCAAATTTTTACTGCTGTTTCAATCTCAGTCTGCTTGTGAGGGTCAGTTGACCATTAATTATCTAATATGTTAGTCAAATAATTAAGAGTTACAAATTGAATGTAATAGTTGTTAAGATCCGCTCAAGTACTCTTTGATCAATAGTTCACGGTGTCAAGTGACGAACTGTGAATGCTATTGGTCAATTTTGCAGAGGGGGCCTTGTAGTTCCTAAAAGACCCGAAAATATATATTTTTTTACAGCAACTGTGCTCATATCATTCACTTCTTTTCAAAGCTTTCACAAAGAAATGTCGTTAAGGTCTCTGGTTTTCGCCTCTCTGAAGAGGCTAAGATCATCGCAGACACCATGACGGAAACCGATGCCTACCTTGCCCCGGAAGTGATTCGTTGCAAAGAATACGATAACAAGGCCGACATATACAGCTTTGGTATAATGCTTTGGGAGATGTGGTATGGTAAGAGAGCCACTATTGAAAAAGCAGAACATGTGTCTGACCAAGAGGCTAAGGGTGTAAGACCTCCATATGTACAAGGCGCTATCAAGCCTCCAACTGGCTGGCAAGATCTAATGCAGCGTTGTTGGGATGGAAAACCCCACAATCGACCAGATGCGGCAGAGTGTCACAAGCTGCTGATTGCGTTCTCCCAGGAAGTTTACGCACCACCTCTATGAACATTAGTTATTAGGTAATCATCTTAAACGTATTTCCTATTTAAAGATAGAATTACTGTGCAACAATAACAATTGCCAGTCTGATAACAAACTCGTTCTGATTGCTATAGTAAGTAGAAAAGACTGACATACAAGGAAACATGTATTAAGATAGAATATAGTACCTGGTCGACTGACGCCAAACAAGAACTCATTTGTAAAGGCACCAGAAAATGATTTTGCATAAAAGCTAAAGAAAATGTTCTCTGCGTAAAGGTGAATCTGTGTTTGAAGACCGTCATAACAATCAGGAAAAAAAAAGAAAAACATAAAAAAGCGAACAATTTCTTTTCTCTTTGGCACTTCAACTTTTCTTATCAATGTAAAGTAGTAGTAGTATTATTAGTATTGTTCTCAACATATACGGCTATTAGTGACGTTTTTTTCTGGATCACAGATATAATGATTGCATCATTACCACAGTTTTTTTGCGTACGAGAACTTTCTATATGAGTAAAACAGCGTAAGTTTCTAAAGGTAAAAATGATGTGGGTAGAAAAACGCTCAGGGATCTAGGGAGCTGAGTTTCAAAACTGAGACGCGCACATTTGCATACGAAAGTGGAACGGTTTAGGCATTGGTAAATGAAACGTTTATGACGGCCAATTCAAAGGTTTACCTCCAACACCTGCTAACGATATACCTTTAAATATTGTTCGTTTTTGAATGATTTAATTGTAATCATCTTCGTCCTTCCAGACTTATCTCGCACTTCATCGAGTTCTCATTCGCTCGCTTTCACGCACCTGTGTTGTCTTTAGTTTTCGATTTAATTCCTGTACTTTGAAGGCTCAGCATTAAATTCATTATTTTCCACGTAAAACCAGTGTGACTGTAGATAAAGACTAACGCATCTCAAGTTAACACCTCCAGGTGTCTCGTTTTCACTATGTCTTACCTTCTTTTAAGAGGTCTCGTCTGTTTTGGGTTCCACTTGGGGAAACCTTTAATATTGTAATCCCTCGGTTTCTACAGAGCAATTTTTTAATGGTAATCACAAGCGGTTATAATACTTAACGTTTGATCGGAAACTAACATGAACAAAACTGACTCAACTTAAAGAGGTTAAAACTTTTTATTAAAACTACTTATAATGCGTTTCAAAGTTATTTTGAAAATAGCGACAGATTTTGAAGAATATTTAATAACAGAGCCTGATTTATCTCTATTCGGCCTTGAACTGAGCTATCTAATGTTGATCGAGAGAAGCACAGACGCAAATCTGTATGTATATGTGATCGTGAACAAAGCAGAATACCAATACGAAGTTTGAAAAGGTTAAGGAACAAGAGCAGAAAGGTTAAAAAATTTGTCTATGCACGTATTCTCTCATGTATCCCCATGTCATCTACATTGCACTGTTATGTCAGTACTATAAAAACTATCAAATAAAAGGACGTTTAGGTTTAACCGTTGTGAAAAAATTCGTCAAAGTATAAGAAAGGTAAAATAGCGTGCCAGTCGATATTTAAAATTGTTTTCTTCTAACAAACTGGTGTAGCAAATTATTGCAACTATAAATTAAGTGGAGACATAAAAAATCCTGGCCCTCTGACATATGTTGGCCCTAACAAAACAATAGTAACTCCATATAGTCAAGCTAACAAGTTAGTTTTTGGACAGAATGCAGGACAACAATGTGTTGCAATGAGTTTGTTTTCTTTGATTTACAATAAGACACAGGGGATCAGCTCTGCAAATGATCTTATACAAATAATGAATACTGGAAATCAGCTTTACTAAAGTTCATCACGATTATCAAGTCAATACTCGGAAAAAATAGTATCTAGTAATAAGTATTGAAATAGTAGCCAATTATGTATTACACTACCTCCCCCACCCCACCCCAGAAAAGGGTCTCTTCACACTACATAACAAATGCTATTTTCAGCTCGGTATACATATGTGAGAAACCTACATCTCTGGCATACCAAGAGAAAAAACAATAACAGGATAAACTAATAATTGCATGAAAAAAAAAAACTTAGGCAAATGCAAGCACAAAACACAAAGTTTATTTCCAACAGAAAGCCCGGGTGAACGTAAATATGTGTCTAGTTTTTTTAACAGTCGAAATTTTTTGACTTTGGTATTAAAATATATCAATTTCCATGGAACTTATCGAATTTTCCCACAGCTGTCGCAAGAAAACATCGTCAAAGTAGCCGATGTCGGTGTTTCTAAAGAAGCCAAAGCGATCACGGGTACCATGACGGGAACTCCTATGTATCTCGCTCCTGAAGTGATCAAGTCCTCTTTGTACGATTACAAAGCAGACATCTACAGCCTCGGTCTAATGACTGGGAGATGTGGTATGGTAACAGAGCCCTTCTTGATGTGGTAGGAAATGTACAGGAGTTTTTTGAAAAAGTGGGTGAGGGCGTAAGACCTACGCATGTCCGAGGCTCAAAAAAGCCTCCACTTGGTTTGCACGATCTGATGCAGCGTTACTGGGACGAAAAACCTGATAATCGACCAGATGCGAGCGAGTGTTACAAGAAGTTGACTAAGCTCTATCAGGAATTTGGCGCAAACACTTGTTATTAGGCAACCACCTTGAACGAGTTCACTTTTCAAGTGTAGACTATTTTGGAGCAACACTGATGTAGAGTGTTTTAAGATATCCCATATGACTGTTATGACAAATAGACTAGCCTTACCCGCACCAATTTTCTCGTTTCAACCCTAGTTCTTACATCATAGAAACCTATTCTGGTTTCTAGCAGTGCTGATGCTAAGGACTTCTATCGAGACCAGTGTCATTTTGGATGACTCAGGAAAGGCCTAATTAAGCGCACAGGTGTAGGTGGCTCCTCTGTTGCTTTTTTTGTCAGAAGATATTTCTGTTCATTCCACTGACACGTTCTTTTAAGTTATGGCGCGTGCAGGTTTTTCCTATCAAAAGTCGCGCGTGCAACACACCGGAATTGAAAATTCGTCGTAAAATCGCACGAACCTTAGAATGAGTGTAGGCAACTTTGACTTCTGGCGAGATGAAGTGGATGGTTCAAAGAAGTATAAAGCCGGCATGTCGTCTTACCTAACTACACAGAAAATTGTTCTCTCTTTTGCTCCCCTTGGATCCTGGAAACTGTTACTATTAAGACGATCAACTAGAAAGCCTTTATAATTATTGAAACTTTTGATTAACAGAATATATGAAAAAATCGGTGGGGAGAGTTATTCGCGTATCTTAAAACCTGAACGATAGTTTTCAATAAAACAAATACCCCTTAATTCAATTTACCTTAGTTGTCTCGTGTTTAAAAGTGGCGTTTCTGGGGACCGTAGATTCTTCTCTGATTCTTCTTGTCTCAGCCAAGACTCACTATCATCAACTTTTTTCTTGTGCCTCTTACGGCATGGGACACAGAGAACTGAGGTAAGCGATTGCAAATTTCTCAGTTAAAGTAAAGCCCAGTAGCATCCATCAGGAATTGAAAACCGTGGTTCACTGTTTACTTCTATTATTCTTAATCAAATAAGGGGTGTTTTAGTCTGCAAATTTAATCATACTGGTTAATGAGAATCATACAAACTGAGGAAAACTGATCGCAAATAATTGTGAACCGTACGCATGAATAAGTGTATTGCGTTGTCAGGTGATTTAACCTTCTACAAAAACATTATTGATTATCAACCAAGCAACATTGTACATATTTCCATCTGCAATTAAAAGCACTTACACATAGATCTATGTTTTTTCAAAGTGATGTGTACTTAAGTACCCTTCATCTAATAAAGAATTTCTTCTCTTTTCGAGCAGATATGTCACGTGACAAAAATATATAACAGAAAATGTTATTGAAGGCTACCTGATTCAACTGGAAAAATAACTCCAAACAGCTTTTGAACGTCCTGAGACATATACAAGGTAATTACATCTTTGCCTTGGATACGCTTCCTGACACCATCGTGATCAGGATACTGACATGTTACCTTTGCACTTCTCCAAAACTTCCCCAAGGTGTGGCGATACCTATAGCAAATCCACATTTTTTTGTTTATCCTCCTGAACGAGGTGAAATAGGCCAATCCTTGCCAAGAGTAGTTCATTTTCACTTAAGACCTCTTTAGACAGGTGGCAGCTTATCAAATGATGTTTTAGTTCGTCATTGCATTCAGACAGTCGTACCAAACCACTTAAGCCACGCTATCAACCAAAGTTTTTTCCATCTTTGCTATTCAAAAAGCAGTCCTGAGACATAATGAACGTCTCGCTAACGAACGACTTCTTCCTATACTTGTAATTGTTTCCAACGCGATACAAGTTTGGGAGATCTAAAGGAACTCATTATAACTTTGTATACTCGATACGATTTCAATTTCCGCGTCAAAGGAGAAGCCTACTGTGGTCAGTGGTTACGCTCGTGAGGTAAAGAATGGGTTTGTGACTTTCTCACTCAATTGAAAGACTCGCGTCACTCTTATGAAATGGTTGAACGGAATACAGACTTCGAGCAGTCTCTTATTATTCTTAAAGATAGTGAAGTCATGCGTATCCTGTGAGCATGGAGAAGCCGCGAGACGCGAGACTCGTGTCTCGCGTCTCTGCCGCTCCACGCTCTCAGAGTTGGGCGAAGACAAGACACGTTATTTCTGGTGCGATACAAGAGGGTCAATGGTTATCTCGATTATCTAAACACATTTATTTACGTGGTAAAGGTTTGTTTGTAAATCTATGAATTGATGCTAGTCCTATTTGGAACGAAATGTATTTGAAAGAAAAAAAGGAATACTAAGTAAAGCAAAAGTTGTCTGCAACACGAAGCATGCCTTCACATTAAGGCTGACAGTCCTAATGTTTATCATGATACTTTAATGCATATGTTCGAATGTTCCCAAAAATCTTCTGATAATCTGTCCGCACCCACCCCTCACCCCGCCCTCCTCACTACCGTACTGTTTTCACTCAGCGGCTGGTCAGCGATCACGTTTATGAAGTAAACATGGCGATCGCTACCTGATCACCGTTCTTGTCGATCCGAATGTCAAAATACCAGCGTGATATTGCCGCGAAGATGAAGCAGTTATATTATTTGATTTGTACTTCACATTCGAGTCGAAGCTTGGGTGGCACAGGTTATTTCTTACGGTGGAATCGACGAGGGGAATTCGAACACAAGTTGTAGTGAATGAAAGTGATCCTCGCAGTGATGTGCACTACTTAGGCAGTAGTGAAAATAAGGCCTGAAAAAAATTCAGGCCTGTACGGGATTTGAGAACCACCATCATGACCAGCTCCCAGTTGACTTGTTAGCTCAGTTGGTAGAGCGCTGGGTTCAAATCCCGTACAGGCCTGAATTTTTTCAGGCCTTATTTTCACTACTGCCTTAGTAGTGCACATCACTGCGAGGATCACTTTCATTCACGTCTTTATCCGCAGTTCAAATATATGACTTTCATATATTCTTAACCGACTAGTTGTAGTGTTTTAATTGTTGGAAGAAATGGTCGCATGGGGATGGTAAGTTTAACGACCAGTTTCAAATTTTGCAGCTTGAATTGAAAGTAAAGTTCATTTGAATTGCTTTCGTATGTATTTTTGACGGTTTTAGATCTACCTGCTTGAATTTATATCGGTTACGCTTCATGTTGACAAGTCCCTCAAAATGGCGGCCAAACTTGGAGATTGCCAAAAATTAGGCAAGTTCACAGAGTTATAAAGTTCTCGTAAAGGTCGGGCCGCAAAGTTTTTTTTTGCAGTTACCTTTTCTATGGCTCCTACTTCCCAGCTATGTTAGTTGGATCAGTTAAGAACGCCTCACTTTTTCAAAAATTTACCTTGAATTTGATCGGTTTTGGCGTGTGTGATTTAGGTGAACCGATAAGGTGTCATTCAAGTCTTCCTGTTTCCTTGATTGAAACGTGATGTTTACGAAAGTCGCCTCGATAGATAAGATAGAGTTAATATACATGGCTGTGGTATTTGTTTTTTTCTGAGTTCCGCAGTTTTTTGTAAATTGTCCTCCAAAGTTGTATGAAATTAAAGTCTTGAAAAGTGTCACGACAAGCCTTTGCTCGAGTGAAATTTAATTTCCGTAAAACTCTGCAAAATAAAGAGATCCGATCAAACTGATTGTTGTTTTAGTATAGGTACATGAATGTCTTACAACACACAAGAAACGAGCGAAATCCGCGTCTCAAGCAAAATCGACCGGACCGCTCTTACAGAGACACTCTCTTAATCTTGGTGTTTTCGTGACAGAACAGATAATCGCTCTTAGTGTCAAAAACCAATCAATCTGTAGATTGCGGACAGAAAATGCAGACTACAACAACTGTTACTTGATAGTCATGTCACGCAGTATAAACAGGCTATCCTCAAATGTTATGACACATTACGGCTTAGCTAAGCCGTTCTTGTCGCTGAATCATTCTCCAATTATGAATATTGCCATTCATGCTATGATTGCGTAGTTATTTCCAAAAAGAAAATTGTGCGAAAGAGTCCTA